ACCTCATTTGCATAATTTATGAGGAAGTGCTATAATAGCCCTTGTGTTAAGATAAGGCTTTCAATGATTGGAGAATATGATCAACTCAGATATACATGTAATCCATGCAAATGAGGCTCTTATTTACAAAATCAATGATTAAAATTTATTATATAATTTGTCAACCGCAAGGGTTAACATCATTTGGCGAAGGTATGAGATCGTGGAACTCTTGTTTGCATATGCCTTCAAATGACTCGCATGTACATGATGTAAACTCATATGGGCCACTCAGATACTGTTTTGCCTAGTCAGCCTATTCTATGCAAGATCTGCTTGGAAATCAGAGGCGGTTAAATCTAAGGTCAATGCACTCTTGCACATGAACCAACCAAAGTTCAACTGTATCCCCAAAGTTGCTTTTGTCTCATTGTCCTCCCAGTTTCTCAGATAACCCCTCAGGCCAAAGTACATGTATTGCATCATCATCCTTACGGACGTTTACACCTAGAAGAATACAATGACCGCTTTTAACCTGGGTGAGGTAACAAGATCAGAACTCTTTCAGAAGACACAGCCCCACCCTATACTCAACAGTCTCAAGGACGTTTATGTCTTTGCTTCACTAAAACGAATAGCATAACAATATATTGTTACTATGTACAAACGAAAGCAAATTTCGTATAATCGTGCTCGGTCCCAAGGCACGGTTTGGGACACAACCGAGCCCAGTCTCAAAGTAACGGGTGACTCCGTAGCCTAGAACAGCTGGGGTCAAAGATCAATCAGCTGGTGTAGTGCGTGTGTGTAATGACGTGTTCCTCTCGTCTTCTCAGAAAACGTTATTTTTTGTCCAAATTAGACGTTATCTTGTCAGTATAGGTGATGCAGCATAGGTGAAAGAAGCAAGTATTCCGTGTGCAATCGTTTCAACACATCATTATCGCTTTTTCTGACTTTAAATTCGAGTTTCGGTCACGCTTTTCTCGTGATGGCTCTGAGCCTCTACACTACGGTCCTTGCGAGGACTCTTCTAGCGGTCGTCTACATCTCGAGTTTTCCCGTCCTGGGTTCGATTCCCAAAGATATGAGCACCCCTGATAGCTTTACCCGGGCTGTGTTGGATAGATACGGGTCTGGTGGCAGTTTGACCGTACAAGGCTTGCAGGTTTTGCTCCGGAACGCGTCGAGTTGCCCCGCCGGGACTCGGCTGTGCAGTGGGCGGGAGGGGGCGGCATGCGCGCCGCCGCAAGACTCGTGCAGCTCCACGGTACGTATGTGGTGGGTGGATTTGTAAGAAACAGGGAGGAGCCAGTAAAATCCCTTCTGGTCCCGGGCCAGGGTTCGAACCCACGTCCTCCCGGGCACTAGAGCTTCATAACCAGACGCTCTAACCGCTCGGCTAAAAGGTCTAGACCCGTTTGCCGGATCTGTAAACCAGACGCTCTAACCGCTCCGCTAAAAGGCCTAGACCCGTTTGCCGGAACTGTTGGTAGCGCCTATAAACCCCCCACTGTTACAGATTGATTTGACGTAACGTTAGTGTAGATAAGTAAGTGTATTCAATATTGCCGAATTTGAAGTTCTTTGGTATAAGTCATTTTCGTTCTAGTGAATTGCACTCCATTTTGATAAAACTTTGATAGGCAAAAGACGTTTTATGAATGACCTTTGCCCAACAATCATGCATGATGCAATGACCTGCAATGTATGGCAGTTTATCAAAAAAAGAACTACAAGCCTAATCCATAAAATATTTATATCTACAAAATATTATCAATGACAAATTATTATTAAGTACCAAGCGGACACGTTTGGTTTTGATAGCCTAATTGTTTCGTTTTTCTTATATACATGTATTTCTATGCGTTTTATTGAACTGCTTGATTTGGTTGATAATTTTACCTGACATGGTTGTCTTTTCTCCCTCTGTTCTTCCCGGATTCAGGACATCCTGTAATGTTACCTGTCCAAGTTGTGTGTTTGTTTGTCAACAGCCTTTTTGTTTGCCTAAGCAAAGACAGCTGTATCCAAGTTGCTCACCTCCCTACTAATCCTCCTCAAAGTACTCTGTAGCTGTATTAAGAACTATTGATTTATACCAAGTCGAACCAGATCAGTAAAAAGTCTGTCTCTTAGGCCACACCAATTTAATTTCATGGTTAACGGATTTTTCTAGAAAAATAATTGAGCGGGCGGGCGAAAAAAAATAAAATAAAAACAGGCCTTGGCATCCTATTATGGCCCAAAATGGTACGATAGGAGCCATGAAGTCAACACACCAGGCTGGTTCAAGATTTAAACAATGAATTTTTAACTTTTAATGATACCATTGCATTGAAAGATGGAATAACTGTAACAACTACGAAGAAAAGGACTGTTTTCAACTGTTCAGGGCAAAATATGAGCATTTTGCAGTTGATTCTGAATTTTTATTTTTATTTGCAAATCAGAAAAAAATGAAGCGGGCGAATCCGTTAACCAAGAAATTAAATTGGTGTGGCCTTAGAATAGCCAAGGAAATTTAACCTCCTTAGCTTGGAATAGCAGAGTTTGCTACTTGGGTAACCTAATAGCTCAATAACGTCACATGTAACTGTATCACACAAACACCTGGGTGGAGCAGGTACAAGGTGGCACAGGTTGATCATCTTCGCTCAGTTGGTCATTTATCCTGAATCACGCACTTTGGTGCATGTGAGTGATTCATCTGGAAAATCAAAGCTTTGTATGTACCAGTAGCATTGCTTTCCCAATTCCGCTTTTCTATAAGTGTACTTAATAGATTATACAACAGGTAATAGGATCGGATCGGGTCACGTATCCTGTTGGTATTCTTGTTTATTTAATATATTAAGGTTAATACAACATGTAACCAGGTTCCTGCATGCACACCACAAAAAATCTAATTCTGCTTCTACCACGAAATTAGGTCCCTGGGGGACATGAAAATAATTGAATTAAACGTGAACGGTTAGAGCTAATGCCAAAGTACTAAGCAACATTCACAAAATGGGCACAAATAGTTGCTTGGAGTTATCATGTTAGAGAAATTTGATCAAGCAAAAACAAAAGCAATTTTGTTTCCTGCTGATTCCAAATTTTTTAGTCATTACTGTCTTGGCCGATATTTCTCTCAACAAGCAGGTGCCAATTGATCTTTATCATACTCTATGATATAATAATTTTGCCTGTTTATTTAAAGGAAAATGGTTCATCATTTAAGTTATTCTGTCCACCTACAGTGTATGTCAGCAACAGAGGTGCTACAGATTCACAACATGTCGGCAGACTCAGAGCTGAATGCTACAGGACTCAGGGAGGTCTGTCCAACACTGCTGTACAACCTTGACCGTACCAATGGCTGCCAAAGTCGGGGGGAGAACAGCACGGAGTCAGAGGAGCATGGTGGATCAGGACGGCCCAGCCCAGTTGAAGGTTTGTTAGTTTGTTTGTTTGTTGGTTGGCTGGCTGGCTCAGGCTGGCTGGCTGGCTGTTAGGTCGGTTGTTACTGTTAGGCTGGCTGGATACGGATGGATGGATGGATGGATGGATGGATGGATGGATGGATGGATGGATGGATGGATGGATGGATGGATGGATGGATGGATGGATGGATGGATGGATGGATGGATGGATGGATGGATGGATGGATCATCGGGATGGATGGATGGATGGATGGCTAGATGGATAGCTGGCTAGATGGATAGATGGTTGGATATGGATGGATGGATGGTCTGTTGTTTCAGAGTTAATGGGTAACATTATGTAGTCTAAATCAGGCCAGTGTGTATTATCATAACCAACTGTTCAGTGTTCCAATAATAATGTTCCATGTTGCAGTGTGGGGATACGGTATATTGTCGGTCAGTGTGATCAGCCTGTGTTCTGTAATGGGGGCCATCGTCGTGCCCTTCATGAAGAAGAGGCTGTACACCCTGCTGCTGACCTTCCTCATTGCGCTGGCCGTGGGGGCACTGTCAGGAAGTGCGCTGTTCCACCTCATCCCTCAGGTACAGCATATTTATATACATAATGTCATGTACTATCATGGAAGTTCAGCTCTGGTTGTAAATTTACATTGTGGAGAAGTTAGACTGTTCTCCAGCTCCAAAAATTGGAGTCTCCGGAATGTTCCACTGAATCACACAGTTTTCGTCAGCTTTGAACGAATTGCTCTGAATACAATTTGTTTTTTTATGCACCATTGATCAATCGCTGATATCAAACATACACAAAGTGTATCAGGTATTACCATAACTGTGAGTTTAAACTATGTATTTAGCCACAGCAAAAGCTTAACACAGGCATTTCTTAAGGGATGCCATTGATATCTCAGAACTGGTTTAGCAGAAAGACCATCTCTCTGGACAACCTTGTTAGCTTTGGTCTGCTTACCAAGATCCACAACAATCTTGGGAAACAAACAAAAGTTATCAAGGCTTGACTCCAGGCTATCTATCTATGGCGACCACTTTTGCGTGGTCACCTTAGACAAGTCTGACAGTCACTGTATTTCGATATTTAACCTTTACCCTGCACCCTTGCTGTTCTGCAGGCCTTTGACCTTCCCCCTGAGGAGTACACAGAGAAGGCAGCGGCCATCTGGGCAGGGATCTACCTGTTCTTCATCACAGAGAGGCTGCTGAAGATGGCGTCCAAACTACGACAAAAGGTGAGGAAAGTTCAAAATCAAATCATTGGAAAGGGGGTACATGATTTGCATAGAGCAAGATTAGCAAAGAGAAATCATGACCACTGGAAATCCTACAGTACCATAACAAGCCTCTAGGTTTGTCTATTATCAAATACATGTATGTCCTTTGTTTTGGTAACATCTACCCACATACCAAATATCATAAAGATCCATCCACAACTTCTACAAGATGCACTGTCTACATTGAAACAAACCCACAGATACACAAATAGAATAGCCTTCTTGGCAAAGGAAAAAATAACAATTTTGGTCGCTGTATTTCACTTTTAATTAGATTGAATTAAAAATTGCATTATTCCATATTGAACGTATTGACACCTGTTTTCAAAAATTCTCTTTCTCTCTCTCTCTCTTCCCCAGAGGAAGGCCAGGAAGTATGCCCAGCAGACAGGGAAAGAGCTGAGGGCAGACGTGGCAGTATGTGCGGTGAGGGCACGCACCCTGTCACACGTGGATCCCCACATCACAGAACCTCCACGGCATCACGGACACAGCCACGGTCACGTCTTTCATAACCCAGACAGAGATTCTACAGAGGACAGCAGCACAGAGGACAGGGAGAGTCAAAAGGTAAAGAAAGTTACATACATTGATGAAGGTTACATTTCTAGGTACAACATTATGCAATACAAAATAGATCAAGCAACTAGATGAAAAATATTTTTTTAGTACCCGGTCAGCAAATGTGGGAGCCCTAGTATACAAGCAATTGCCATGATGTCACAGTCAGCAAGTGGTAGGCAAAAAGCAGATTTGATGATTTGCCTTTCAGCAATTTGCATATTTTTTCAAATACTTTGCATGTACATGATGTAAACAAAAACAGCGACCACTGGTATACAAATAAGGAATCGTTGGCACCCAGGCTAGTGTTGTGAAGGAGTCGAGGGAATCTCCCATCATGTTTTTCCTACATTGCTGACAAATGAGACAAAACATGTTTTACTCTCTCTCTATCCATAGAAGAGAAGCTGTTGCCGGGCGCTGTGTTCTAACACGGACACCATCGCGACCGTGGCGTGGATGGTGATATTTGGGGACGGGTTACACAACCTGATGGATGGGCTGGCCATCGGCGCGTCCTTCCAGGTGTCTGTCTTCAGCGGAATCAGCACCTCGCTGGCTGTGCTGTGTGAGGAATTCCCACATGAACTTGGTATGTTCCAGTTGACAGTATAATGCTGCCATTTTTTGCTTGGTAAATATTGGCACTAGCCAACAATGATTAGTACTATTAGGATAGTAGCATCAGCGGGTATTACTATTGTTATGGATTTGTGGACAATAATAACCGTAAAGTACTGGTATCTACAATAACTGCTATGGAAAAAGTGATGTAAGTTATAGGGATATAAATCTAGCCACATTTGAGATTGTGTTAATGTCTAAACCTCAGAAGATGGGGAACAACAGATGCTAAACCGGATGATGAGTGTGAGTGACATAAAAGAGCCTGGTGATGACCTACATCAGCTACATACAGCAACATTCCAGTCAGAAGACCTGAGGAAGATGACTGATAAGCGTGGAAATGGAAGCAAGAGACATAACTACATGTGTAGTTGCATTCTATATACTATAAGAAAACCCCAACCTTATTTTCGGATGTTTTTCTGTATGTTGTACTCTGCAGGAGACTTTGCCATCCTGCTGAATGCCGGCATGTCGGTGAGACAGGCCATGTTCTACAACTTCTTGTCAGCCTGCTCCTGTTTCGCCGGGCTGGTTGTCGGGATCGTGGTGGGAGACAACAGCCAGGTGGGGCAGTGGATCTTTGGGCTGGCTGGAGGCATGTTCCTCTACATCTCACTGGTGGACATGGTAAGTTGCTATAGCTCCTTCCACCGAGGTTTTGTTTTCAGTGTGCTTGTGTGTTGCTTGTGTACACATAGAATATGGTCGAGTGACAGGAAGCAAGTGGGGAAAATGGTGCAACCATAGGCTAACAGGAAGCTAGGCCAGTGGATCTTTGACCTGGCTGGCGGCATGTTCCTCTACATCTCAATGGTGGACATGGTAAGTTGTTATGGTTTCTTTGCATGTTTGCTTGTTTCTGTTGTTTTTATATGCTAGGCACTGACAGTAAGTAACAGCGGTTCCAGAAAAGGTTTTCTCATTTTCAGTCTTCACTTTACTGCACCACTTGTCTATATGTTGCAACACTTTGTTGATGGAGGTTAGACATCCAGGTAATGAGATACACAAGGAAATTCTTACTCAAGCAACTGAAAAGATTTTGAGTAGCAATTTCCTTGTGCGTTTCTGTACATGTTTCCTTGTCAGAAAATGCAGAGACAGAATCAACAAGGAATTCTTGATGTATAAAACAAGAAGTTCACAAAATCCTCCAAATATTTTATAGAGATTTATAACTGGTCAGAGGAGGAGGGGTTGCATTCTGTCATTATTTCAGATACAATGTTGGCAACATTTAATACCCACAGACTGAAATTCTGTCCCCTTCCACTCAGATGCCAGAAATGAATGCTGTAGACGAGGATGAAAAGAAAGGCCAGGAGAAGAGTCAGGACATGGAAGAGAAATCCTCGTCTCTGCTGCGGTTCTTCCTACAGAACCTGGGCCTGCTGGTGGGGTTCGCTGTCATGCTGGTCCTGGCAAAGTTCCCCTTTGAGATCTAAGTTGTATCTTTAGCCATATTAAAAATCAGTAGCCTCCTTTGAAAGGCATTTTTGGAATATTACAGCTGGTACATACAAGCCATCAGCACAAAAGTGCATTAATTAAGGGTTAATGACCCGCCCCGAGGTGAATATGGTGTGATAAAGCCTTGTCAGTTGCCATAACCACCGAATAAAGCCACCAAGTGAGCGCAGCGAACGAGGTGGCTTTATGAGGTGGTTATGGCAACTGACAAGGCTTTATCACACCATATTCACCGAGAAAGGGCGGGCCATTAACGCTATCATCATATAGCTTTCACGATAGCCTATCCAAACTGATGCAGTAAGAGTGACACAATGTACAATTTACCCCTTGCACATGCAGAATAGAACATAGAACATTGTGCCATCTGGAGTCACATGAGGTCACTAGGTAGAGTTCACGTTCGATCTGGGTCACAGGCAGGGAACAGGTGTTCTTATGGGAGTCACACGAGGTCATTGGAACACAAGTTATGTTTGGATTTTTTACAACTAGAGAAGTGTTCCATTGGGTCACCTGAGGTCATATGTGGGTGATTATTGGGTTGTTTAATGTATGGATTGGGATGAATAAATACCCGGTTTTGACTCTATTCGTCACATTACGGCGTCATAAGGAATGTGGAATGGAGCCTTCTGATTGGTCAACGTCACCTGGCTATATGATAATTCAATCTATAAACCCAAAAAGCCTGTCATTAGGTCTGCTAAGAGCTCTGAAGAGTCTGTTGCATCTTCAACCAGACAAGCATTCCTGACAGTTTTTAGATGAATTGTACCAAAGAAAAATTTAGATCAAGTTGCAGTACAGTAGTTTATTTCAGTCCAATAAAGACAGTGTTTTTACGTAGTCCTAGATGTATGTAAGGATGAAGGATAAGTTGCTAGCTTGTTTTAGCTCTATGTATGACATGCAATGTACTTTAATTTGTTTGTAGTCTTTTTTACATGTTTAGGCCATATGTACGTTTGTACTATTATTACATGTTTAGGCTACACTAATTTCATGAGTTGGTTGGAGTCAATGTTACATTTTGTCCCTTTTAAAAACAATATTGAACAAATGTTGCAGTGCAATGTAACTCTCTTGGCACTGAATGTGCTTTTAACAAATGTTACATTGTATGAATTAATTTTGCATCTTCTCCATGTAAACTAGCTCGGAAATGGTCAGAGTATGTTGAACATTCTTCTTCCAGAACAAAGTGCTGTGATAAATTACTACAGTACACTGACAAACCAATAAGAACTGAAGAGATTTTATCATCCTAAATTTCTAGCTAAGGTCGTGTGGTATTTTTATACTTGCAGACAGCTCCACTGATGTGTCTTGTTTATGAAGAATGAAGATAGCCAGGTGGCAACAAATTTTTACAATAAGTTTTATGTATATGTGGTCTATTTTTCTACAATTTGTATCCATATTTGAAGACAAATGGCTGCATATTAAAGGTAGAATCATGATTGTATTGTAATAATGTTGCAACATGAGAGTGAATAATAAACTTGGCAATGGTACTATTGCAATATACACTAAAGACATACTTGTACTGGCTTTGTCCATGGATAAATACAATGCAGATGACATCAATCATGGTCAAATTTCTACTAGCAGGTAGGATATTAATATGTACTACAAAATGAATCAAGCAACTAGATAAATTCTCTGAAGAGTCAGACGTTTCAGATAGCATCTGCTGTCTTTCCATCAGTGATTGAGAAGCAACATTACTCTTGACTTATTTTATATTCTACAATGTCATCATGTAACTTTAATGAGATATTCATGATAATAAGAATAAGACCAGCATCTCATCCAAGCCTGATATATTATTTTGAGCAGTCTACAAGATACATATCAAGGTCTTCTATAATTATTAAGGTCACCTATATATACTTTATGTACTAGGACTAGTATGTACATTATCTTGTACATATTGGGAATGTGATTGACAGAAGAATGTGGCAGCTAAAAGTGACATTTGACTGGGAATATTTCGTATGTACATGTATTTCTTTTTCCACACTTTCACACAAACATGTACTTCATCCGTTTACATACTAGTAGCTTCCTTAGAATGTTCTACAAGTCTTTTTTGGGGGGCGAGCTGATAGTTTGCTTTTTTTCTGAAGGCATATAAGTTCCTGCCTTCTTGGTCCTGATATACCATCAGAAAAAAAGCCTGCCTTATTCACGAATGAGTCAAAATCTTTACCAGTGCTAAAAAGCTACTACATCATATAGTACAATGTGTAGTACTGTAGGTTCCAAACTACAGTACTGCACATGTCATCTGACCTACATACCGTACTTAAGGTCCCCTCAGTCCCCATGTAATTGCATACATTGTAATAAGGAGGTTCACAAATAAGGAGGTGCAAGCCCAGCATCAAAGACAGCATCAAATGTCAAAGCCTAAACGTAAATTTTGCATTTCAAAAGTTTTGATGGAGATGGGAAGGGGTCTTCTGACATGTTTTGTTTATCTCTCTAAGGCTTGACACTGGTCATGCACACTTCTTGTTTGTGAACCTCCTTATTCAGTCCACATACGCCAGGTTCCCCTCATTCCCGATGTACTTGTGTATGGCTGCGATCCCGTGCAGGTACAGGGGACACGGCAGGCTCCCCTCCATCTCCCAACGGTCCTCCGTCGGGTCGTACGACTCGATACTGTCGTCCGGCATGCTCACGCTGTCCGGTTTCCCGCCAGCCACGTAAATCTTACCCCCCAGGCTCGTCGCCGCGTGAAACGTTCGCGGGATGTTCATGTCCGCTACTCGGTACACCTCCATGGTGCTCGGGTCTAACACAAGGACTTTGTTCGAGAAGCCGCCGATCAGGTAGATCTTCGAGTCCATCACCACGGCGACGGCGCAGCGGTTCTCGATGAGCGGGAGTTCCACGGTCTCCCAGACGACGGGGTCGGGGTCGAAGATCTGCACGAGGCTGGAGTCGGACCCGTCGTTGCAGACGCCGCCGATGACGAACATCCGGTCCTGGCAGGTGGCGACGGCCGGGCTGCTGACCGCCGTGGGCAGCGGCACCGTCGCCTGCCACTGGTTGGAGCTCGGGTCGTACTTCTCCACCTGCAGTGTTAGAAATACAGACATGTTGGCAGAACGTACTGCACCTGCACAAAACCCGTCATATACCCTGCATAGCACTTTGGCAGAACGTCTCACATGAGGTCGTATTTGCCTATATAAGGTTAACATCCCGTCTCTAGTTTTCAAATGTTATGTCAGAAAAGATCCTCTGCAACAGGCAAAATACCACTTCTTTGTTTCTTCACTTTACTTATTTTACCAGTAACTACATCTCAGGCCATTTCGGTGGCCTGCTTGTCAGGTAATCCTGGACATAAAAAGGACACACAACAAATGCACAGTACATCTGCAGCCTGCATTTTGTAGAAAATAGGCTGAGAAAAAACTGCTATGAGAGACTTAGAAGAGATGAGTATTATTACTTGGGAAGGAGCACAAAGGAAAGCACAGGACAGAAGACAGTGGAAAGCTGTGGAGGCCCGCATCGTCGACAGATGAGTGCGGTGAAGATGATGATGATGATGATTTTGCAGAGAAATTTCCAATGTTGCAGAACAAAAATTAAGCAACCGGCAATTTTACAGACTGAAAAAATCAGGATAGGGGTTCAATTGTGTCTGTATAATATTTAGGAGCTTTTGTACTTACTGACTGACTTCATGGTATACATGTACTACCATAAAGTCACTTTGGCAGAACATCAGAGTCTTCTAAGCAAGTTATGCATGTATTTTTAAATTGCATGCAAAATGTTTGCCAACATGCAGTTTTGTATGGGTTTGAGTCAGGGCTTAAAAGTGTATATTTGCAGAAAATACATTTGTTACATGTATTTCCAAATTGCAGAACAATATTGTGACATCCTGCAATATTGCAGTTCATTGAAAAAAAAGTATTTCGACCACTGACCTGGCTGAGCCGCTTGTTCCCGTCAAACCCCCCCACCACGTAGATCTGTCCCTTCAGAACGCACGACCCGTGGCGGTAGCGCGCCACCAACAAACTCGCAACGAACCGCCAGTCGTCCAGACACGAGTCATAGCAACACACCCGACACAGCGGCCTCCCTTTAAACACGCCTCCGATGAGATAGATATCGTTGACAAGCGTCACAACGCTGTACTGTTCCTCGTTTCGCCGCGGAATGTTTTTCAGCGGGATCCAGCTGCTAGTGATGGGGCTCCGGTAGTGCACCGTGTTCAGCGTGGCTTCCTCGTACTCTCCCCCCAGCACCAGCATCACCTCGGCGAACCCCGTGGACAACCGGGGCCGGGTGCGCGGACTCTGCAGCTCATGGCGCTTGTACGTCAGCAGCTAGTAAAATAAATATTTATGAATACGTTGTGTTTATTCGTTCATGAAATACATGACAGCGTCATCTTCTATTCTGCACAGATGCTTAATTGTGCATTTTAGGCATCTTGACATAATGGGACTGTTTTTATAGTGGTTGGTTTTAGCAAATTTCAAAACGGGTTGGGGGTAACCAGCTTCCGAAAGTGGGAGAACTTAAGAGATTTGGCGAACTTAAGGCTAAGGTTTTCTCTCCTGGAGGGGAGACATAGATAAGTTAGGGCTTCGTCGTAATGGGTATATTTGGGGCCAAGGATAGCGTAGCCATGCCTGGTAGCGCCTCGCCTCCACCACAAACTCCTGGCACTCCTTGGAGTCGCGGATCAGCGGGTCGGTCTCCACCGTGTCAAGTAGGAACTCCGACCTGACGAGCGGCAGTCGCACGACGGACATGACCTTGGCTAGACTGTCTTTTCTTGTCTCCACGTCGTACCGGACCCAGGCCATTGCGACGTCGAACACCGCTTCCTCTGAGTCCGTGTTGATGTCATCACTGGACAGAAGCTCCATGAAGCTCTCCTCTGGGACCTAGCATAAATGGTTTATTGAGAATATGCAGTGTTTACGGACAACAGATTCACAGGAGATCTTACTTGTTATCTGAATTGTGCTATAGTGAACATAAATGCATCATTACAGCACTTCAACTAGCTACAGAGTATTTAAAAAATGGTCTTACATTGTAATGTATCACTGAAATTGAAAGTGAAAAACACTGTTCGGTACTCATCTTTTGCTAAAATTCTAATTATTAAAGAAATTGTCTAGACATTAGAAATTCCTCAAATGATTGTAAAAGCTCATCCCACACTCTTGTAGGTGAGCCTTATGGAATTGTAGCTGAAAAATGTACCAGTAGATGCCATTTTCTGCAGTTCTCGAATTGCAATGCAATTTATTAGGTTTGACAATTCAATGTAAAGATTGGCATACCTGCAGAATCTCCTGGTGTTGGACCACCTCCAGGAAGTGCTGCAGAGAGAACTCCCTGGCCTTGGTGTACAGCTCTGTGCAGGAGAGTGCGTCGGCCAGGTGCTGCACGCCCAGGCAGTTGCAGGGGTCCAGGTTCTTGGCCAGGAAGCGGCAGCAGCCGTCCCGCAGCGAGGCGCACTGGAACATGCAGGCAGCCTCCAACAGGGCCTGCGCGTTCTGGGACGTGATCCTCACCCGGCCGGTGTACACGTACTGAACCAGCTCACCCATTACACTGGCTTTTACCTGGGGATAATATGAGAAACACTGTTTAGTACAAACTGGAACATGCAGGCAGCCTCCAACAGGGCCTGCGCGTTCTGGGACGTGATGCGCACCCGCCCTGTGTACACGTACTGAACCAGCTCACCCATCACACTGGCTTTTACCTGGGGACATTGAGAAACACTGTTAAAATACAACTGTCTGTTTGTTCATTTGCCTTTGTTTATTCATGAAACACTCAATCCTGATGAGCTCCCATTGGACTGATTTTCAAACCAGTGAAAAATAATCCTGAGCTCCAATTGGTAGTTCTGGGAGGTTATCCGCACCTGCCCGGTGTACACGTACTGAACCAGCTCCCCCATCACACTGGCTTTTACCTGGGGATAATATGAGAAACACTGTTTAGTACAAACTGGAACATGCAGGCAGCAGCCGTCCCGCAGCGAGGCGCAGTGGAACATGCAGGCAGCCTCCAGCAGGGCCTGCGCGTTCTGGGAGGTGATCCGCACCCGGCCGGTGTAAACATACTGAACCAGCTCCCCCATCACACTGGCTTTAACCTGGGGACATTGGAGAACACTGTTAAAATACAATTGTCTGTTTGTTGATTTGCCTTTGTTTATTCATGAAACATTCAATCCTGATGAGCTCCTATTGGACTGATTTTCAAATCAGTAAGAAATAATCCTGAGCTCTGATTGGTAGTTCTGGGAGGTGATCCACACCCGGCCGGTGTACACGTACTGAACCAGCTCACCCATCACACTGGCCTTAACCTGGGATAATGAAAAACACTGTTTAGTACAAACTGGAACATGCAGGCAGCCTCCATCAGGGCCTGCGCGTTCTGGGACGTGATCCTCACCCGCCCGGTGTACACGTACTGAACCAGCTCCCCCATCACACTGGCCTTAACCTGGGGATATTGGAGAACACTGTTTAAAATATTAATAAATACCTGTCTGTTTGTTCATTTGCCTTTGTTTATTCATGAAACAGTCAATCCTGATGAGCTCCTACTGGACTGATTTTCAAATCAGTGACAAATAATCCTGAGCTTCTATTGGTACATGTACATGTAGTTCTGAGATTGGAAATGGCCACAAGCCCTCTAGGCACACTGTTAATAAGGTCTGACGTATCCTGAACTGTGCCCTATCCAGAACCATACTCAAGCACAATTCTGGATATTTGGGTTGCGTGAATGAAAAATTCCAACTAAAAATGCCACAAATTACCCAAAACCCTAACCTCTGCTTGGAGAGTAGATTCTACTGACTTGGACTTTTTGTAATTGTCCATCAAGCTTCTAGGGACCTGACCAATGGAATACTCATTCCAGTTGATATGTATAGCTACTAGTAACCAACCTGTTTGATTTCCACTTTCTCTGCGTTGCTGTCCTTCATGTCGCTGCCGAACATGGCGCTGAAGTACGGGACGCTGGCTGCCAGCACGGCGCGGTGGCACGGGAACTCCACCCCGTCAGCGCACACCACTACGTCTGTGTACCTGGTGCAGGGGTAGAAATACTTTTTTTTTTCAGTGTTCTGCAATATTGCAGAATGTCAAAATTTTGTTCTGCAATTCGGAAATACTTTCTACAAATACACACATAAAAGTCCGGATCTAAACCGATGGCATACAAAATTGCATGTTGGCAAAATATTTTACATACAATTTGAAACATACATGCAAAACTATCAATAGTATCATGAAAGTTTATCTGTGTTGGTAGTACTCATACTAAAATATTGAATTTTACACCAAGACACAGGTTAAATAGAGATCAAATTTTCAGCGACCACTGTCGCCTTCAGCAGGATAATTAATGACAAATCACTTCAAAATTTTTAGTATTACACTCAGTATTTCGAGCCCTGATTTGTGTACCTCCCGTATCATTGGAAATAAGAATCTGAATCTGAATGTAACAAGTCTATGTCACCTTGCTGTCCCGTCATTTCGGAAGATATCCTGTTGTGTTGCTGAATGCAAACTTATTCCCGTGCATTGAATAAATAAAAGACACGCATAAGGATCATATTCATGCTATTCTTTGTTGCTCGCGACCCTTGATTTTTGGATGGTACACCTCGAAGTGACGGCCGTGTCGGTAACTGACCGTAAACTGGTCCTGCATGTAAACTGGTAACCTTGCGTTACCTGCCATGCAGCCGCTGGTCGTTGAGTGCGTCCAGGATGTCTGCGGCGTGCAGGGAGTGGTGGTACGTGGAGTCGTCCTCCAGCTGGTGCCCGTGGCTGCTCAGCTCCGAACCCATCGCGGCGAGGAAGGCTGCCAGCCCGCTCACAGACATCCAGACATCGGCAGGGCAGGGTCAGGCCTCAGAGCTGTCAAGCCACATACCTCTGAGGAATCCTTATGTTGGAAGGTGATTCAGAGGTGGAAACCTGCAACAGTACAGTATTCAACAAGTCATAAGAACATCAGAACGATTTGATTACAGTATGTACATCCAGACATCAGCTAGGAAGGCTGCCAGCCCACTCACAGACATCGGGAGGGCGCGGTCAGGCTTCTGAGACACAGCATCTGACTTCTGAGGAAAAAGTTGGATGTTGGATGGTGATAAAGGTGGGAAACTCAGGTACTGTAGTCCTGTAAAGAAGTCATGAGAACATCATAATATCTAAATGTTGCGCTCTTGAACTTGACAATCGACTGAGACTGAGACCTTGAAATGCCTCTTGAGATTCTCCGGACGTACTGGATGTTGGTAGGGCAGAGGTGGAGACCTGGGACACTGATTTCAAGGACTCATGATGAGAACATCGAAACAATCCATGGCCATTGCATATCCAGAAAACAAGATATCAAAACGGGAAGTTTAGCTGCAGTACCATGGAAAGCCACCAGATGGACCAAAATGTAATCATTATAAATAAATTGTCATGCACATGTCATATTATACTCATTAACAAATACTTTTGTCACACCCTACCAACATACCAAATCTTCTCTAGTTATGCTGTTCACACACACATACGCAAACGCAGCTACGCAAAGAAACTAACACACGCCCCCGAAAACATGGCCTTTATGGCGAAGGAAACGTAACTCTTATCATAAATATTTGCATCATAATATTGACAGTCTCAAAAGTGCCCAGGGTAGTGGGGAGGGGGGTGGACAATCAGTCGACGTTTTTCTAGTGAATTCGAAGTCATAAATAATCGTTTCAGACTTGTACATTGTAACCTGAAGCTAACTCGCCCCCAAAGCCTTACCTCAGGTCGCCAGCCTTTCTCTATATTGCACAAAATGCGGTGTAAAGATCACACCTGGCAAACCCAGCCGCTCTGTCCCGTTCTTTTCTACTTTCAAAATCTCGACCTCTCTAAAGCGCCTCACAGCGATATATCAATATATTGCAGCAAATGTCTTTCTATTGTATACCAGCAAATGATTCCCAGTCTTTAAGTGTCTTTTCTCAAGCACATTCTATACATAATGTCTTTAGATTGATATTCAGGTTTCCGACGGGAAAAAATCCCGGTATAACTTTAAAAGTGCGGATCTTGAAGTGAGTCATAGGGTTGACGCAGTTTTTGAACGTAAAAGTTTCCATCATACGTGCGTGAACTTAACAATGAAGTAAGTTAACGTTATATATATAACGTTATATATATAGGATTGATGCTTAAAGTCTTGTTTCCGACAGATTTTCCTGTTATAATTGGAAACGATGCACCAGCACTCCTTAATCAGTACTAACTTTGTAATGTATCATAGGTTTGACAGAGAACACTTCTCCCGTAATAAGTGGGAGGGATATTACATTTTAAGAAGTGCAGATTTTGTCGTGTTTTCCTGTACAAGTTGGATGTATATATATTATATGATGTACTGTTTTTAATATCTCTAATCTCCCATCATGACACTAAAAAAGCGTTAAATGTATATTGAATGTAATAATTTGATGAAGATGATTTTAAACCCCATAATGCTGGTGGATGGTTACGTTGGACCCGACGAGTCGACGAGCTCTAAAGACATTTTCGAAGCAGAGGTTTAGGTTTTTGCGGGGTTTCTTTTTCGCACTGGAATTTTTTTTCACCTGACCCAAAGTGAAAAAAAATTCCAGTGCAAAAAGAAAAACGATAAAAAAAGCCTAAAGACACGCCAAAATAACCCCAAACCCATGGAGGTACAACGATCTTTTAACTCCATGCAAAACCCAAACCTCTGCTTGGAGAGTAATTTTCGGCATCATACACTACACAACCAGTGGTGCACGAGTGGGTCACACGTGCCGCGCGCACGTGAGTCATGATCATACCCACGGCACGCGCGCTTCCCGGAAAACGAGGGAAGAATCGATATTACCATGCGATTACTGTTCCCCAGGGACCTACTCGTGCAACGTTCGTATTACGTCACTGCCCACGCCTTGATGTCTCATGTAGACAGACGACCTCACGTTGTGGAAAAACACTGAAGAATAGCGGATAAAACAGATCCGACGGAGACCTCTACCTCAACTCATCGGGACCACCTGTACCAGCGACCCGCCCGAGCACTGTAGGCATTCCACGGTATTACCAGGAGAACGAGAGGGCGGTGACGGGAAACCAGCTATGCATCCTATGGATCAAGTGGATTTTTCAGGGGTATGTATTGCGTTTTGCTGTCTCTGAATATTTGTGTATCAACAACTGCGTTATACCTTACTTGTGTCGGAGTGATATGCATTGTTTGATGCACTGTTGTTAACGTTGTTTTGTTTTACAACGTTGTGTTAGGTTTTGTGTTGAAATACCATGCTGGAAAAGATGCTGTGGCCTTTAAAAATGTGTAGTATCAGGTGAATTGATCCAAGCATGAAATATCTATCCGATATCATTGTCCGAGGGCAAGCAAGAATGAATTAATTTTCATGTGGCAAGTTATTTGATTTTTGTTGATTTGGTAAAATTAGCTATAGATGCCTTGCTTCAGTAAAAATGCTCGAAAATGTACTAGTAATCAATCCCTCGCACTTGACAATATTTCTTTGTGATTTATTACTGGAAATGATCTCTTGAACAATTCCCATTTCTAGTCCATCACAACCTCCTCCTTTTTACTACCAATACATTCATCGCCTCTACCATGCACATGCTTGTACGTGTATCTAGGTCACGTGTCTCTGAATGAAGAAATGCTAGAATTCGAGTGATTTATAATTATCCAAAGAAATCATTGCCATTCTTGGAAGACATAATAGCATAATAGGCAGCTATCATGATTAGATTAAACTGTACATGTTTATACAGTATACTTTGATTCTCTATTTCTCATATACTAGGCTCTGACTTATCATCAACCATAATGTAAAGAACACATTGTGACGAACAAAACACTACAGGTAATAATGCAACATCGGTTTAAGATAACATATCTGATATCATTCCCTGATGTATACATCTGATGAATACATCACAATGTGTATGACTCATACCAGGTCATATCATCTCTGGGGTTTTTAACAGTACGTGCGCGGAATGCGTGGCTCGGACATAATTGAATCACTGCTTCACTTAGTCCCAATTTACTGCCAGGGAGTGGTCCGATGCTCCTGTATCCGTGCATAAATAACGTATTGTCGTGACTGAGGCAAATTTACTAAATTTACAGGTATTTCTTGGTATGATTGAAGCTTTGTTTATTCATGAAATACTCGAATCGGCGTGACACTAGCCGCTTTTTATTGAGGTCATGAGGGGAGAGGTCAGGGTCAGACAAAAATATGAAAAATGCAGGCCAACAGGTTTCATACTTGAAGTCCTACCGAGTCCGTAAACATATAGTAGTACAAAGTCAGGCTTGTTTTAGGGTGCCAAGCCAGTGTTGCATTCATTGTACTTGCTAAAAAAAAAAAGAACAAAACCATTATTGTAGAAAATTCGGACTATAGTCCTTTTAGCATTCCACATGCTAAGATACGTCATGGGACTCCATGGATACGTGTATCACAATCTTGCTCAACAGATGAAATATCCACATTCATTCATAGACATCCATTTAAACGTCCTTCTTCTATGTGTTTCCGAGTTGTTTAACACCCTCAGAGTACTGGAAATCGCGGTCTACATCTTGTTCATTTATGATCATAATTTTAGCACAAACAGTCTGTCTTTACAATTTACAAGTCCTTGTTATATGTACTTCCCAGCGGTTTAACACCTTCCACGTACCAGAAATCTACTACCTACTGACGATAACAGAAATCACGGTCTATACATCTTGTCCATTTATGCCGTTCAATTTTTAGCATAAACATTCATTTAGAATCATTTCTTCTGCGTATTCCCCAGCTGTTGAACTCCTTCGGGAGAAGCCCGTCCTGGGAGAAGATCGCCGAGACGTCCTCGGGGCTGCAGGAGGACTTCACCGACTTCAACTTCTGGCGAGCGCCGCTGCCTCTTCTGTCCGAGGACGACATCAACACGGTGGATCCGGTACCCGAGTTTAACGACTTCAACTTCTGGAGAGAACCCATACCGGACATCGATCTCAGTATGGACATGCTAGAGCTAATAATATAATGTGGAGTACAGTTGTGTTTTTGTTTCACTTCAACACTTTTGGATCCAGTACCCGAGTTTAACAACTTCAACTTCTGGAGAGAACCCATACCGGACATCGATCTCAGTATGGACATGCTAGAGCTAATAATATAATGTGGAGTACAGTTGCGTTTCTATTTTTTTTTTAATTTTTTGCAGCATCGTGTTTGACAGAATTACCTTGTAAAGTGTACATTGTAAAGGATATACTGACTTATTTGGTCATTCAACGCTGAATACGACTACACTTTCATCTTGGAAGTCCCTCTGTGTTGGTCATTATGAAACAAATTTGAACTGCACTTTCCAACGACTACAGTAACATTGTGTTACATCACACACCCTACCTCCATGCCGAATGACAGGTCATTTGGAAAATAATTTAAAAAAAACGGCAGATAGAATGGCAGGAGAAGAAGGGGAGGAAACACAGGGAGAACAGTAAAATAGGGATGTGAAATATAAAGGCAGAATTCGACACAAATTACCAATTTTCAAACCCTTCTATGGTCAATATTGTATGTTCACAATGTTAAATAAGTACATTTTCTATTGTTAGCTACAGGTAACTGCAATATTTTGATGTAAATGTTTTTGTAGTGTGCTAGAACGTCCCAACTCAATGTTCATAATGTACCAGAATTGTAAACTGAATAGACACGTGTATCGTTACATGTTTATAATGCTCAATGTGATGAAATGACATTTTGCAATCTGATGTTGCTTTGGTGCTATTTTGAATAAACATTGCAATTAAAAGATGATGACTATTGATGTTGACCACTGACCTATTATAAACTTTATTCATCAATTATGCAAAGGCCTTTATTCTCAGATACATATAGTACATGTACATGACATTGACATAGTCCTATTATCGATTGTAGCTAATTTATAACATTTCCTCGTTGGTTTTGCAAAGTCGGTCCTGATTTGAATAATAAGCACTGACGACGCCAATCATCAACTAAGCAACCTAGATGCCAAAAAAAACATAACAATCCATGGAACACTTTTAAGTTGTTCTCTTTCAAATCGGCCCCCGCTGCTCCCCTGCAGTCCCACAAGAGTTTCTACTAAGATAAAATATACATAAGGTCTCCTCATAACTAGTACTTCTTTCAGTTACTCAGTTCACAAACCAACCAGTCAGCCAGTGAAAACCTGGACGCTTTGCTGGATGCCACCGTCTAGTAGTATTGGTACCGCTATGACATTAATCTCCAAGCAGACCCTACGGTGGCAAGGCAGCAGCCATTGGAAAAGCAGTGACCATTCATCATCATCAGTGACCATTAGCCATGGTCACCGAAGGTAATAGTCACTACTGCTTGGCCAACGGTTACAGCCTTGTCACTGTAGGATCTGCTTGAAGATTATATGATGAAGATGAAGAAGACCTTTATTGTACATTTTTGCCCCCCTGGGCTAAGCACAGGTCACAAGAATACAATCATATACACATACATGTATACATACATACATATACATATAACTTTTACATGTATATAAACGTCTAATGTATTCTAGCCTTTTCAACTTCCTCTCGCTTCTTAGTAATTGTATAAATGACTGAGGCTGTATGAGAAGTTAGATTTGGTTTATCAAAGGCTAACAGGAATATAAATTTTTCACTACTTGTCAAGTATCTAAAGTGGGGAAATTTACTTAAAACATGACCGAAAAGTATGTTTATAAGACACTCGCATGCCATCACTCCTTGAAGTCGTGCCAATACCGTATCTAGACTGACTTGCGTGCCAACAATTAATGTCGGCTACCTGTCCCGCGTCTGCACCGATGACGCAGGTTGTGCGTTTAGGGACACGTGGAAGAATACTAGACCTATTGATGAATGTCACTCTCGGGAATCGAGTGACTTGCTTAAATGTGACAACCACATGACCATGCTCTGCGTTAGCGACTTGAGTTATTGTCAACATGTCCATCAAGACAGCCTGAACACACGGCATACATGTTGTTGCTTTCCTCTAAATCGCTTAGTCTTAACTTTCTGTTCAATGTACTCGTCACTTAAGGCAGCATGTAAAGATGATGTCCTTCTTAAATTCTTAATCCCACTCCATCATTATTTGCGTCATCACGGCGACTAAGTCTGACACCACAGTGATGGAAGACTGAGGCCTGACAACAGAGGTTCCCGTCCTCCGAGGATTCCCCGTAACTGAAGACGACAGGCCCGTTTGTTTCCTGGATGTACCACCAGTTCGGGACCCTGCTGGCTCATTCAGGCAGGGGTGTCGTCAGCAGAATACCGGGGATGAATAGGAAAGGTTTGTACGTCACGCTTACTTGTTTATGTATTTCATGTCCTCTGTTTGCCTCCACATATACATACATTTAGTAGAAGTTACTAGTAAGTAGAGATAGAACCTTAGATTGGTAGAAGTAGAACTTTATGTTAGCGCAGGGTTTTATACCATTCTTCAATGCATTCTGTACTCATCGCGCTTGTCAGCTTGCAATTAGCCCTCAGGCAATAAAGATTAATTATTATGATTATTGTATCTGGAACATTTCATCTCATATGCATGGTTCACAGGTGATACTGGTTTGAACAAACCTGTTAGACTGTGTGCAGCAATGTACTTGTGGTCGTAGAAAACGATGTTGACTGCTGTAATGTTACTATATGACATTGACATTGCCGTTGCGTGCATTCGAATTCGTCAATGACAATTGGTAGAGGCTATAAAATTTGAGGCTATAAAATTTTAAAAGCGTTGTATTATCGTGATAGGGAAATACAACTCTACAAAACTGGACGGAAATATAAAGTTAACAAATAACAGAATTTCATCAAGTATGATCACTAATTATCCATGGTGATGACCTATTACGGAATGTACGACTTTTGACATGGTGCAGTTTTCAATTCGGTTAATTTTATGTAAAGTTTAACAATACAAAAGTACTCCAAAATAAAGTAAAACCCTTACGAAATGCACGTAGAAACATTAGGCAGACTAGACTAGACATTTACCTCTTTATTATGGGTTCACCACACCACGAAGTGGTGTGGTGAAACCATATTGCTTTTTCTGATGTTTCTTCTCCTTCTCCTCCTCCTTCTCCTCCTCCTGCCATATCTTTAAATGGATTCAGCTTCTTCATTTTAGGGCCTAAGGTCCTGAAATTTGGTATGGAGGTACAGTGGGCAAATACCCCTAGGCGTTTTTTAAATTATTGTGATACAGGCTTTTAGAATGGTTTTATTTGAGTTTTTTGGCTGTGTAATAGCTAATGTATTACTGTGTAAGTGTGCAGTGTTTACCACATTTGGACATGAGTCATCACAATGGCATGCAAGGCATCAACCAATAGGCATGCAGCTTTCCTCTATTCTCCTTGCTGATTGGCTGTTGGGATTTAACTGGCTTAACTTCATTTACACCTGCACAGAGCCATGCCATACTGACAGTATGTCTGTATTCAAGTGTTTTGGTAGGTATTTTAAGCTTTCCTGCTCCAGCATTGGAATGCGGGCTATGAACGCTTCTTTTTATCTTGAAAATCAACAGTTTGCATTATGCAATCCTAACCAATAATGTAGGGAATAGCTATCCAACTGTTGTAGTCTTAGTTGTATGTTACTTCATACTATAGTTATATCAATGTAAAGCATTGTTTTCCCTTGTGTTTCTCATTCTTTCCCTGCCATGTGGTAAAATGTGGTGAACCCATCGCTATATTTGCTCCAAAGCAAATATTGGCCTTTCTAGTTTTATGATTACAATACCTGTATATCCCATTGCCATTAGCCTACGCGCATGAATTTGCAAATGATAAAAATAAACAAAATGAAAAATTAATACGGATGACCCGGTTACTGACATTCGATGCATAATACATTTCTTGTGGGTCACATGTGATTCAATCGATGTATTTTGTCGGCATGCGTGGTGCATGGTATCAAACGTAGCATCAAACAATGCGCGATGGTTTTGAAATTGTCAAGTCTTCAAGAACCTAGATAGATGTTATATTCCACACAACCTCCTTGGTTTGTCCAAATCATCAACAAGACACCCCATAATCAACCGAAATTTGCGCCTGTTCACATTCTATTCATTGTTCTATATACGCCTAGGCATAATCATAGAATACATTTAAAAGAAGCTGTAGAAGAAATACCACCTTGCTTTTCACCTGAGAGAACTTGCTCACCTTAACAGTACTAAGCATTTAAATAATGATTCAATGAATGAAACTGCATCAATGAAATTGAATTATGATCGTTTACTGTTAATTGTTCTAGATATCAATAGACTTGAAATTAATGTTTATAAAATGTGTTGATCGATACTGAGAATATGTTTTTGTAATATTAAGGAACGGCTTTATGACCATATGATTAACGATCAAGACTACCTCCATATCAGTGACAACACATTGAGATACGATCTAATATGATTCAGAGTCATTGAAGCATAAGATTAACCAGTGAACCGTAGGAGCTTTGAATTATTTCCGAAATACACGGGAGACCCGCGCAAAGGTTGCGTTGAAGACTAACAAAGCCGGGATCTGTGATATATCAGTCACAGCTACATGTACTCTTACCACATTCCTATCCTCAGATAAAGGCGTCAAAAATAGGTCTTATGTCAGTAGCAGATACCCGGTAAATGCGACAACAAATTCCCGTTTGGCGCTATCTTTTTGGCCTTTAGTCGCTACTACCGTTAAGGGAGTAGCAACGTTACTCAATTGTTTCCATCGATGTTAGATTTATTACATACTATGTATTAGATCCGGGGACAGCGAGTCATTGAAAACACCCGGATACAATAAAAACAATGACAACCGTGCGAATTGACTGATCGGCTCGTAAAATGGGTTCTGACAGGGGCTCATCGCGTGGGAGACGGGCAGACAAAACAATGGGATGATATTGCGCGATGAGTAATAGAGAACTGTAGCGGCCACGGAGCGGACCGTATGTGTGCCGATCGTCTGTGTGTGATTGTACAGGATAAACCATGTACAGCGCCGATCAGGAGGATAATAACAACAAGGATGCAGAAAACGCACAGACGGCGTCTGTTGTACGGAAAAGCGGTAGGTTCACGGTGTAAGAACGATAAATGTTTTGTGCTGGAATATTACAGCTGTGTCCGGTTGGGGAGGGGCCAGCCGGTGTTAATGGCAGGCCCAGTATTGTGTCCTTGGGAAAGGCACTTTCACCTGTTTCCTCACTAGTTAGACTCAGGTGAAAATGCCTGAGTATAGCTTCGTTTAAAGTTAGAGTAGTTAGAACGTCCTTTCACGCGGCGGATGGGACGATAAGCTCCGGTATTTGAAACAAGCAAGTGCAGAGCTGAATACAGGTTTTATTGCTACCAGATGGGGATTAAAGGCCTAGTAACTCTACTGCAACCTGAACTGTGTATTACAGAATGCAGTGTGCAAAAGCTCTATTTCGTATTATCTCTCTATAGAGGACTAGTAATGTCCTTGTCAGAGCCAGTGGGTCGGTTTTGTGTATTTATTGCGAGAAATTTATGTGGTAGAATATGCCACAGTTAGCAGGTGGATTTTGTATCTGATATTTTGTTTCATAGCAGAGGTATGGCTTCATCAGGTAAATGTCGTCCGAGAGTACAAAGTCAATCTATTGCGAATTGAAAGTCCTTTTATAAAATGTAGCATTCATTGCCTGTTTACCCACCCGTATTGTATTAAAGTGTTGCTGTTATTAATGGCGGAATTTCGTGTAATGGTGGTGAGTAACCTTGAGGCGGGGTCGAGGTCACGTGATCGATCCAAATTTAACACATCTGCCTGAGAGCAAATCGTCGATAAACGTCCAGGATGTTCCGACATCACACCATTTCTGTATCTGTATAGCCGGTATAACCGCTATAACCTTCGGCATAACACATCAGCTTCGCTGGAACGCGGTGCGGCGGCAGCTGGATACTACGATATTGCACCGAGTGCTCTGTTATACCTCGCCTTTGCGCAACACATCCAACTGAAAGTGCTAGCGTTGTTTAAAGATATCCAGTGATGATGTCCCTATAGCTACTGTACTTAGTGGCAGTGAGTTCCACTATACGATAGTTCTAAGGAAAAACGTGTTCTGTATCTTAGAAAGTTACATAGATCAGACATAGATCAGTTGTGACTATTCAACCTGGTACCAAATGAATCTTCCTATCCTTAATTTCAAAGAAAAATCATTGATACGTGCAAATATATAGACTGTTTTTCAATTCAACATTTCTCCTTTGTGTTGTCTTCCGTTCAGGTAATGTCCAGGTGCTCCGGACTGTTGTGGAAGAGAGGGAGTCTCGATCCACGTCGTCATCCGTATCCAGTCAGGTAAGGACGGATATCGCATGATGTTCGGGGATGTATCTAATACATTGTACCTTTCATTATAGGTATCAAAGACGTATCAAAGATGACGCTTTATGGACAATCTCACTCTCACTCACTCTCTCCCATGAGTCAGCCGTCGGGGCAGCATGATGTTTGGCCAAGTTCTTCCACTGCTGGCGGTCCTCCGCCAGTCTGGCCATCTGGTTGGCTGTTAGACCAGTCCACTCTTTAAGTCAGTAAGGACAATCTATGACTTAAAAATCTAGAAAAAATATCTTGAAAGTTCATCTGTGTTGGTAGAGATCATTATGAAACAAGTTTGAACTGCATGCAATATCCAACACAAGAAATTGGACTCACCCAAATTTTCGACTGTACAACTCCAGTCTTTGTCAAGGAATGAGAAATCTAGAAAATCCAGAATCTAGAAAAATTGGTACATTCTTGTTTAGATGTTAGATCAGTTCGCAAAGGTAGCCTGGTGGCATGTTATCTGTCTCCTATACATGGCAAATTGCTACTCTTTCCTGCCGCTTCTGAAGACTCTTTTAGAGGCAAGTACACAAACGTATGGCGCCAAGGCGCGGCAACTATTATATATAAACTTCTTCCTTCAAACACTACTTTCCCCCACGGTCTGTCATCTATGCTGATCACCCTAGCAACATGTAACTTATGGGGGTTGGACATCAGAAACTTATTGATCAGAAATCTATTGATTGGGAACTTTCGAGTTCAAATCAGATTTTTTTGTGTGTGTGTGTCTTGCATAAAATGCTGATTTTCGGAACTCGTACAAGTACATGTACACCGTGCCCACAAGTCTCAATTTCAGGACTTGTTTTTGAGACTGCACGCGTACGTTCTAAACCATGAACCAACATACGGCTATTTCGTCGTACGTACTTGGTACTTTGCACCGTAAATAACACGCGCTTCCTGAAAGTTTTTCGGAGTCAAGGAAACCAGGCCGAATCAGTCAATATGACAGGGTCAATGCGTGTAACCTTGTTAGCAGGCGACAACGTTAACGAGTCAGACTTTTTGGGGGCTTATAACGTGTTTTTTCTAATGATATATCAGTTCTCTTTGCGCGTTTAATGTGTAGGCCGCGCCTTCTGTATGGAAAACTGATATGCCTGAATGTCTTTTGCCTGATCAAAGACTTGAAAACACATCATAAGCCCCCAAAAGCCGCACTACTGACTACTGAGTCGTGCAGCCTTCTAATGAGGTAAACGTTACAATGCCAGCAAGACTAAACGAATTCCAATAGACTTAGTCACTATACAACGCTAGTTCCGACACAATGAAAAGCCCTTTACTTTTATTCAGTCCTTCCGTACTGTTCACTTTACAACATAACATCCTTTTCAATAGCGCCACTGCCATTGTTATATTGTTTCACGACTATGAAAAGAAATAACATGACGTTTATATTACCTGGTAACTTTATGAATTAGCGATTTGCTCCAGGATTTACTGAAAGTAATGCTAAAGGAATCATTTCACGTTATCGCTTGAAAATTTTGTTTGAGGATCAAGAATTTGTCACAAGCCCGAGCTTTTCATTCATCCCGCCCCATTGCACAGTTCATTGGCAGTAAATAATTCCGGGTGAACTTTGAACCCTAGGCTCGAGTTTACTATGTACCATCCCAGACGCTAGCGTCAGTTAGCGGGTCAAACACAGTAGCTCGAGATGCCAACCGAATTTTGCGGATTTGCGACGGATTACTGCGGGCCTCGCGTGTCTGGGAGGTTTGGGAGAACTCTGGGCGACTACAATGACTCCCTGTGTGCTCCGAATTTTGTCTAAACGTGAAAATTCTTGCAGGCAACAACCGAGCAACGATCACAGCTCACCAAGACAGCACGGAGCGCCGTAAGATCACTGAAGGAAAAGGCACAAAGAGAGGTACAAGTCTACAGTTCAGGTAAGAGACAAAATCATGACTTATGTGAGATCAAACCCAAACTGTTTTCCCCCCGCTAGCGCCGAAAATTCGCTTTCACAAAGGTCGGTTTGCTGCAAAACTGGTTAGACGACAGAAAAGTGGGAGGGGGGCGATCATTTTTTGGTCGCGTCGTTTCGGCAGTCCAACGTTGACAAGGCAACGGAAAGCCGCGGAATTAGATTTGAGGTAAAGAGAGATTCTGCATATATAGTGCCTTATCTTGTTTCTAGTTAATCTTTGTGCAATCATGTACATGTAAGGTTATTTGTGGTAGTGATACTTTTTTTAACTGTTAACTCGGCAGGGTTCTCACCAGGATTTTTTCACAGCGTAGGGGTCAGGTATAGAAGGGCAACTTTCTGCGGCGCGAGTCACGCACCGAGTCTCCAAAACATGGGCCTGATATTCTCCCCCCAAAATTTTGTAACTCATATTAACCACTGAAGACACTATTTATTGTTTATTGGGGGACAGATTTTGTTTTCCCTCTGTTATAGCTTCATTCTTAAGTTATATTTTCATTTTTTTAAAGATTAATGAAGCTTCTGCCCCCAAAAACCATCCCTACGCCGGTTTAAACACAGTGTAGGGGGCTAAATCACAGCGTAGGGGGTCAAAATCACAGCGTAGGGGGCCCCTACGCTCAAACAGCCTAGTGAGAACTATGCTCGGGAAGAGTAATTTGATCATGGATATCGTGATAGAATCATGCAAACCAGATTTCTTGCCAGTTACCGAAAATAGCCTTCAGGACATTATGCACAGAAAGCCAACCTTGCTCTAAACAACGACATGATAATTGTTGTATTCAACATAAGATTTTAAAATTAGCATTCATGCAACTTTGCAGACGGTAAAAGATTTTAAAAAGTAAAACGTTAACTCGACCCAAATCATGTTATCTAGGTCAATTTTTAGTGAATGAATCTAGGTTACATTTTATTGCTGTCTGTTTCAAATCCATAGGATCATTAGGAAAACTTAATTTTCTAAAAACTGTTGTCAACTGTTTGTGCCAATTTTTTTTTAGTCCAAGCTCAATATGATTACAACATAAATTTCTTCAACACCTAATAATCTAAACAAGATTTTCAAAGACAGTTACGTTGCTCAATTAAGTTATACAACCATTTACTACCTAAAATACGAAATCAACTGTATTGTCTGTAGTGTATGTCATAATTTTGTTGGAAACTTGCATGGATTTCAGTTTGTCTAGAAATGCTGTTCAGTCAGGATAAAAAAAAGGTAGTCTTACAAGTAGGCAATAGGGATAATGTTGTTTTTCACGCTGCCACATTGTTTGGGATCAGATTCCTTGTGTTGGTGTCAAGTAATTGTTCCGGTTTTGCGCATTTGAAGGACTGACTGAAGAAGTTTTCCATTGTTGGTAGCCGTGGGTTATTTTCTATTCAGAAGTTATTGTCACCTGGTGGTGCATGTGGAATGGTTTGTTGTTGTTTGTTTGGTTGGTATTTCTTTGTAGAAGCTTTGTAGAGGCTTGATAAAATGGCAGACTATCAAATCTTCTCACCGTGTGTTGTTATCAGTCCTAATTCATTACAACTGTACAGTCTGTACATGAATTACCTATAAAAAAATGACAAAGTTTTTTATGAGCATGTAACACAGCATGTTTACACTGCAGTGAATTCAAAACAAACACTTCCCTCAACACTGTCACACAAATAATCAATACACCTGGTACAGTATTGGGCTTGTCAAACATACCTGCACAGGTCCAATTTTACCTAAACCAGTACTAACCTGCATACACAGGTGGTATTTGCAGCTCTGTATTTAGTACATTACAGATAAGTTTAAGCAGCTGCTATAGGGTATTCATATATGGTATAAACGGATATAGATATACCAATCCGTAAAGTTAAGCACTGATTACGTCAAGTAAATACTACGGTACACACCCTTTGCAAACAGACACATTGTTCTGTCAACAAAATGTACATGTCAAGTTGTCAGCAGTCAAAGTCTCAGGCTTTACCATGTAAAACTCGGAATGCTAACGATTATTCTTGCCTTTGGAAGTTTAAGGGTAGAAAATTTATACTTATTATTATTATAGGTACTACTACTAGTGTAGACTACTAGTTGACATTTTAAAAATTTAACATCTTTATGATGTAGTGTCTTTGGGTAGCAATTGTGGTCAGTATTGAGTTTGCAAATAAAGAATTACTGCTAAGTTCATGCAACAAATTTTGTAATGCTGTAAGATTTCATTCTGATATCTAGTGTGATCAGTCTGCTTGATTTGCATTCTTGTTGTTTTGTGCAGTATCCAGGGATTCCAGAGCAGTTAGACAGTCAAAGAGTGTAAAATTCCACAGAAAGGTGAGCCTTAATAATCATTGCTAATTATACCAAAAAAAACTAATCTGTTGTGTTGGTCACAAAAGTTGTGATTTCACTTCTGATTGGTGTCTAGTACTAAATATTGTTATTTCATAGATTTTTCTTTGTAATCAGAGGTGCGACTGTCAAAGCACTGAAAGAAAGCTAAACAAGAAACAGTCTTTAGCTTGCCAGGCATACAAGCAAGTCTGCCTTTGGTAAAATATTGCTCAAATTAATTACTGCTGGTAGCCTTTCTTTCTGCTGTAAGTATTGAAATTTTTACGACACAGTTTCAGTGTGATCTTGATATAAAAATTATTACAGGAGCGCAGACGAAGATCGTTCCAGGGTCATCCTTATGAAGATCTCTTCAACAATTTACTTGGTGAGTCTGAGTTATCTTGATTCTTTTTCAGTTTCTTCGTGTTGTGTATTTATGGCCTGGGTGCCATCCGATTTGTAACGGCAACCCCCAAAAAATCTGTCACAAATCGGATGGCACCCAGGCTAATGTATTCATCGGTTGTGAAGCAGAATTTGAATTTTAATTTCCAACACAAAAATTGTCTTAATCTTATCCAAATTTGTGACTCACTGTCGAACCTTCGCTAAACATATTCTCCCCTTTTCCAGCCACAGACGGCAATGATCTGCGGAACGCCCGTATAAAACGTCGTGCGAGCATCGCCACAGGTCGGCCTGCCGCGATGGAGGGGAGGGGGAGACAGAGCCCCGCGTCGTTCAGCGACCGCTCCAGTCCGTCCGGGGGAATCATCCGCGCCGTCCTCGCTCAGGCCGCAGGGAAACGCCTCAAGAAAGTACAGAAGAAGATTGAGTAAGTGTTGTGATGTTGTATCAGGCCTCAAAATTAACATTTCTTCCTATTGTCCCAGAACTGTCCCGAAAATAAATTTCAATTGTCCCGAAGTGAGGTTGAACTGTCCGAACCTGTTTTCGGGAAGTATGTATATTGACAACAAGTTGAAGTCAACTTTATTTTGCTTACGTTCTGACGCCCAGGCGCACCATCTAGACGAGAAATTTGGGGGGCTTTTCCGAGCCAAAAGCTGGGACGCTACGGCTGACATTCTGATGTCGATGATTTTTCTATTGCCCCAAAAATGTCCCAAAGTGACTTTTCAGTTGTCCCAGCCTAAATTTTGGTGGTCGGTGGCCATCGGGACACTGTCAATTTCGAGCCCTGGTTGTATATTTGTTGAAGTAGAAGTAACAAACGTTACGCCAATGTTAAATTAGCAGAGCAGAACAATGTGTGTCAGGTTCTGTGTACATCCGGGTATGTGTGACAGTATACATTGTGTACACAATACCAGTACCAACTTATGTTCATAATGTAAATAGATTGACTTTTCATACATCAACTGAGCAATATGTAGACCTTTTCTATAGACTATCCCGGTATTGAGAGGAAACCAAAACATTGTTCATGCCCAATCATAGTACATTTATATTAAGATGTTGCATTACATCACCTATTCAGAGTCAATACAATTATAATTGATTGATCTTACACTTTCAGTATTGTGAACTTTAAAGTTTACTTTAGCTCAGCTAAAGCATTATGCTGTTCTATGTTAACAGGAGAGCGAAAACCCCCACACTACCGGATGGAGATGAACACAGATACCACTCAGGAATATCTGACTATGAGGAGGCAGAGAGAAGTTTGGCTCTGAGTGACAAAGATGGTACGTATCTTAAAACATACACTGCACTTTTGTATCTGATACAGTTTGTTGTGTCAATGAGACAAGACATTCAGATCAAACATTATTTAATACAAAGGAAATGAAGCAATTGGATGAATTCTTTTAATTTGTGCCTCAGAATTTATCCATTTGCTTGATTACTTTCATCTCACCAAACAGTACTGTTGTAGGTGTTGTATTTTGGTTGAACTTCTCTCTCAGTAGATGATGTCGATACAGGACAGAAGGGTGAAAACTGTGTACTCATGAAATAGAGGGAATTGCAGATGGAATTTGGAAGTTACAGTCAATATAGTACATGACTTGTATTATGTACTGGTTACTGGTATTGCATTTTGAGGGATAAGACAAACGTTACATTGTCAAATAAGAAAATAGAGAATGATATAACTACTGAATTTAATGTAATGATTTTTTTAACTGACATTTTTGGCATGTGTATTTCCTCATAGCATATTTCTCTCAGAGGAGATGGTCTATTGCAGGTTTTGTGCTTTCTAAGTTGTACTTACTTGGGTGTCTAAAACTTCATTTAGCAACAGTCTATACCAATAACATATGTCACTTGGAAATAATTAATAAACCATATGGCATAACAGGATAACCTGTCACAAACAGCGTATGTTGGTGTCTTCAATGTTAGACACACAGTAGAACAGTATGTGACACAATATAATGGTGATCTTTGTCATTCTCTATTCTAAATATACACTGAACAATACACACAAATAATTGAACAATACTGCCTTAACCATCATTTCTCAACCAGTCTCTCATTTGAACAATGTCATAAATACAGTAAAATGACTCTGTCAACAGGCACTTTCCTTAACCAAGCAACATTCTGGTGTCGGTGTCCATGAAATAGATTGATAGCCACTTTAGTAGTCTCTACTAGGCTTTTTATGAGAGGGGTATTATACCTGTATGTTTTTTTTTTCTGATGATATATTAGTTAAGTTCTCAATTTATTGTGGGCCTGGGCTCTGTAAAGTACACTGTACACTGTGAGCCCCCTAAAAGCCTTAGTCATAGAGCCTGCTAAGGAGGTTGTAGATTGACATTGTCAAGCAATTTTCATATATAAACTTCAGACAGACAATGGGTGATATTTAGACTGCTGTATGTTAGTTTTGGTTGCCGGTTTTAACATGTTATTTCCACGTGCAGGCCCGGCGTCGCTGCGTTCGCTCCGTGCGGGAACACCGCCGCTTTACGGCTCCAGACCATCGTCAGGGCGGATTCCTCAGATCAGGAGAGACACGGACGAGGAGAGCGGGAGAGAGGTGCGTGGTTCTTTCACTGTATCATGATAAAAACTGACGCTAATAGCAGACAGTGAATTGTTGCAAACTATTGTGTGTTATTTTTTTCAGAGAGACACAGACAAAGAGACTCGTGAAATAGAGGTCCTTGGTACACTGACTGTATAAATCAATTACAACGGGGCTCAAAATACTGTGAGGGTTCATCTGCACTTTTGTGTTTGCAAAGTTGGAGATTTTCACCCAATTTTTGACTGTCTGGACCAGTGCACGTAAATACTTGTGTAGGGTTGTAAAGGACATATATTTACTGGTACTGTATTACTGCATATTCTTGACCCGGTACATTATCATCTAATGTCTGTCAGTTATTTGTTCACATTTTGTATCTTGACAGAAACACGATGTAAAATCTCTTTTGACAGGGAGATGATTCTGTTCCAAGAAGTGCAGCTTCAACCCCCCGTGGAGAGGTAGGTTACACATAGTATTAGTAACTCCCCTCAGTCTGGAATATTCATGTAGATCATATTAAGTACTAGTACAGCACAAAGCTGAATTGAGCTTTCTTTACCACAAGTCAATTTTGCCTAATAACTAAGTTGATAAACACTTATAGAAAATACAAAGATTCCACCCTACTGTAATTATTTTATAGATTGGTGTGCCAGAAAATATTTGTGACATTACTCATTAGGACTAGTACTAAATACATTTGACCTCACAATATGACTAAAATATGACAAATATATTATGATGTATGTATTAATTGATGATCTTTTCACTGTAGATTTAGTTAATTTAATGCCAAATGTTACACAACTCGAAGTACATCCACTGATAACAAATAAGATCTCAACAACACATTTCTAACTGTCTCTCTTCTTGACTCGGTGTTTATTTTCTATTTCTCTTTCATTATGATTGATGACAACATTATACAGTCAAGCCTGGTCTCTACAACCACTCGAGGGACTGAAGAAAAAATGGAGGTGGTTGTTCAGCCAGGTTTAACTGTACTATAACTTACATGTGATTTGTTTGATCTCTAACTTCTTCTTCCTCCTCTCTCGATGCGTCAGCACAACTGGGTTTTTGGTACCCGCAGGAGAAAACATGTAACTCCTGATTTATTTATTTCTTACATCTGACTTAGTTAGCTTTCTTTCATGAACAAAAGTAGTGCGATAGAATCCACTGCTAATACGTGTAAGTATAACAACAACTGCTAATCGCTAGCAGTAGACAACAATCCCTGCTTTTACCTTAACTCCTTTCCCCTATCTCCGCAAGCATGCACCCATACTGCTACACATTAATAATGAATGTAAATGGACAAGATCTAATGGTTGTTTTTGGCTGTTGGTACATGTAATGTTCATGTAGACATTTGTATCCTGTTCTTTGAATGTGATTGCTTTGCTTGTGCTGCTTACTACATAGATAGTACTAGTATATGTTTGTAAGCATGGTGTGAGCAGAATGATCAGAATGTACATGCACTCTACAATAGTAGTGGTTTCTTATTTAATGTAGTGGGGTTCTTTTTAAGTAGGAAATTTTTGAAGAATGTTTATTTTATCATGGAATCCCATTCCTTATTCCAGATTACTGGCAGTGTCAAGGAACTTTCTGTTTCCTTCTCCAAGAAGAGTCCACAGGGATCTCGTGCCCTGAGAATAGAAAAGGTAAGCCAACTTCTAAAGGTGTTAAAAGACCTGTTTTGCCCTCCCCTCCATGTAGTAGACATACTTCAAAATTTTTCTGTCACATTGTATTTACTTAACATAATAATTGATATTAAATGTTACACTTGTATAGTTTGTTTTTTTACTTTTTACTGTAACATTATGTTTTATTTATTTTTTCCCAGGAAGTACATTTTTACCTGGTTAAGTCTGTCATATTACATACATTGCCTGATGACTGATATAATTGTTGTCCTGCAGGAGAGATTGGAGAGCGAGCTTCGAAAAGAAAAGGCAGAGCTCTCCAACATGCGGTTTGAGAGAGAAATGTTACTGGAAAGAGAAAAACAATATGGCAGTAAGTATTTTGACCTTTGTGTATCTTTACACCTAGATATTTGTATAGGAGTACATATGCAAAGGTAATATCATACACTAGTATACTATGCATTGTTGACATTTAGGTGACAGAAAAATAATTAACCTTTGTTGTATGACTAATTCAAAATTTTGTACTTAGCTGTGTAATTTCAGATTCATGCTACAAGACATGTTTGTAATTAGGTTTTGCAAACTTTCTACTTTATCTTAATATGTTGTATATCCAAACATTTAATACATCAAATCTTTATTTGCATGTTCATGCCCATGGGGTACAAGGATAAAAGAATAACGTAAAAGTCTTAACAACTACTAGAGAATACCTTCTATCTAATCTAGGCCTTGAAGATTTCTTCTCTCTTTTTAAAGCAACTGGAGATAAATTCACAAAGTTTTTCTATTGTGTGGTCATTACTGGTAGACATGAGATGACTGTATACTTCTTTCTTCTACCTTTATACAGTTTGTCTAAGTGGATTGTTCTACATAATGTGTCACGTTGATTCTAGTGCACCTATTCCCCAAAACAAATTTCAAACCCTGCATATCTATCTTGTAGAGAACATCCAGGACCTTCAGAACAGAGTGTCCCAGCTGCTGACCCAGCAGGACAGACTGCAGAAGGAGCACGGCACCGAGCTGGGGCGCTTCCAGAGCAAGGCACTGGCAGACGTCGAGCGGGAGAAGAAGGATGCAGCACAGAGGGCCAGGATCCTGGAGGGAGAGCTGGACGCACTGAAAGTCGAGGTAGGCTAGCGTGGCATTGAAATCGGGTAGTGATAGTGATCTCGAACCAGTTCAGCTCATTGAAGAGCTAATCTTCCACTGGTCGTGACAAAGAAGACAGACGTTATGTACAGTATTTACAGGTTCATTGTACCGGGGAAATTCCCCTAGCTCTTTTCAACAAGCACAATGAACAGTGGACCATGGCTTAACGTCCCATCCGAAGGACTGCGACCCTAAACAGTAGCGTGCATGTCGGGTGAGCGACATCAGCCGGGATTCGAACTCCCAACCTTTTAGTCCAGAGGCAGGATTGCTAACCACTGGACTACGCACGCTACGCACGGGTCATTTTTTGCATAATGTTTAATTGTAAAGGATATGTCAATGCTTGAAACATGATAGCATTTAAACATTAAGTTGCACAGTTTAGCTGAATTGTTGCAGAATTGTTCAAATGCGAAAAATGTATCAGGTTTTTAAAAGTCATGGATAGGTTGATACCTGTATGTAGATGGCACATCAGCACCAAGGATAGACATGTTGAACGTGTTTAGCAATAAGGACAGATATAGTTGCCCATGTGTGGGTGGTGTTCAGCACCAAGGACAGGCGTGTTTGCCTGTGTGTGAATGGTGTTCAGCACCAAGGACAGGCATGTTTTCCTATGTGTGGATGGTGTTCAGCACCAGGGACAGGCATGTACACAGTTTTGAGGATTGTGTACAGCACCAAGGATAGGCATGCTTGCCTCTATGTGAATGGCTAAGATGTAGCACTATATCTTATTACATATACATGCATGAACTAATAGTAATAATTTTTGTTGTTACCACATTGCAGAATGCATCTCTAGAGAAACAGCTGAGAGTGGCTAAAACTACAAGTGCTCTGGCAAGGGAGTCCGATCGGACCGGTCGAGAGAGGCATCAGTCTGAACTCAGAAACATGCAGGTGAGATTACTTTTGTCTACAAGAGATTATACATGTATTAGGCCTTATGTATTGGGGACATTAAATTAAAGATTTAAAAACCAACTAAGAACTTGACTGCCATGATACAATCTTCTGCCTAACATGATCAAATGTCATACACACAGTGTACTTGCAAAATAGCTGTCATTCTGGTCATGTAAAGTGCACTACTATATAACTATTAATTGTTACATTAGTACGTTTTATGTACTTGGTAGTATGCATTTGGTGCTATGATTACCTCTGGAAGCTCAAACTCTCCCCTCTGTTACAGGATGAGATCAGAAGAACTCACCAACTCCTAGCAGAGCAAGAAAAAGTAGTGGAAGAGAACAACAAGAAGAGTGCACAGATGCACGAAAAGTTTGCCAAAGCTAGAGAACAGAAGACCCAGCTCGAAAGAGACTTAGAAAACAGCAAAAGTGTTGCAGAGCAAAGAGTAAGTCAGAAACAATACTTTTTCACACTTGAAATAATGATTACATTAGGCATACTGTTAAACTATGTCAAAGTTGGTATTATTTTGTATTATCTTGTATTAGTTGGCTGCAATGTTGTTATAATGACAGTTTATCAATTATCTATCCTGATGGAACCTTTACTCTCATTTTTATAATGGTATTGCATTAAGTCAACTTCATTGTGATTGCATGTTTACTTCTTTCCAGATTAAGACATTAGAGGGTAGAGCCAAAGTCGCTGAGGAAAACCTGGAGTTGGCGAGAACTGAACATTCCGAGGAACTGGCCAAAACTAGAGAAGAGCTCATCAGTCAAGTCATGCAGCTACAGGTATGTACCAGTCTTAACCAGTCCCTCTCAAACAACTTATAGTCATCACAGTGGACACAAATATTGAGATACAATGGACAACAGCCCACACGGCAAATATCATAACGGTCTATTCAAGTTATGCTATTCACAAACTTACAGATCTAAAACAGCAAAGGCATCATCACTAGATACATTTGTGTAGCTTTAAACAGTGCTCAGAGTTACATGTAGATGTTCAAGGCTAGGTATACATTGTACTATGTCCTTAGGTGTAATATATCAAGCTGCCGCCGCGCCGTGTGCCTGCAAAGCTGGTGTGTTAGTACGCCAAAGGGAGGTTATACTTGCTATACAAATACAATCATGTACATCGACAGTGCCTTTTTCTATCTGGAAGGATCACAAAGCAGTCTGATAGTCTCGTTATGTTCACCGAAGGAAAACATATTGTTTTTACTCAGTTTCTTCCTCCTCTTCTGTTCCAAACACTAACCTCTGACCTGGCCAATGACATGATTTGTTGATGTCTGTCACCATTGTGACTGGTGTTGGGTTACCTAATGTTGCAATTTCATGGTCTACTCTACTCCTGTCACCATATACTCATAGTACATGTATGTGTTTGAGTAAATATTAACAGGGCAGATCATGTCTGAAGGTAAACATTATGCATTTGCTTTGCAAATATTGCTTCTCTAGTTTTTGCTTGTATTTTTTATATGAAGTCATCATTTATGCCCCTTGTGTATATCCCAGACGAAGCAGTCAGAGTTGACCCGTCTCCTGACCATAGAGAGAGAGAAGACCAAGTCCCTCCAGTCCACAGTCAGACATCTGGAGGACAGACTGGAACGGCAGCGCTCATCGTCAAGAAGCTCTGGTTTCGCAGGTTCAGAGGTGAGATAAAAAACTTCAAATTGTAAATCACATTCAAGTTAAATAAGATACAAATTCATCAGTACAGTACATGCTTGCTAGTTTGCTCATTATAATTGTAATACATGTGATTTCACCATTCTAAACTGTACTTCAAGTCTGAAAAGATATGTCTTAGTTACATATCAGTAACAAAGTTTAGCTATGCATACTACAAATGTATAATGATATTAAGTTCTTGGTTGTAAATTAAGGTTGAACTACAATTGTCAAACCAATTGGTATATGTCTTTGAATGATCATAATTACTCAGTAACTAAAAGTCAATTTTGAATTACTTTGGAACAACATGCTTTAATATTTTTTTCCGAAAACATAATTTTATACAACTGACCTTTAGATAATAACAATACATGTAGTTGTTGGGCAGGTACTGAAATTATGTGACACTTTTTTGTAGGGGTCTCCAAGAAAAGCTCATGATAACGATTCACAGGTACCAAAATCTCAACCATGTGGTGCACCTAACATGCATGGTAAAGGGCACTAAGGGCTTCATCAAATTATAACAGTGAAAATTTTCATATTTCAGCCAACAAGGTTTGCACCTTTTCTGGGTAGTGTAGAAATGTTAAATATTCTGAACTATGAGGTCTATTATGACATATGTTTTTTAAAGATATCACAAGCACAGACATAGACTGTTGCACTTACCATGCACCAGGTCAATTTGTATGCAGAAGTATCCTTTCCTCCCATGCACTGCATTATGACAATTTTTCTGACCTTTTAGACATTAGACAGCATTGGTGTTAAACTAGATCCTGCACTCCAATTTTTTGGTGGAAAGGTGTATGTGAAAAATGGTGGAAATTAAAGCAAGATCATCATAAACTGATTAGCAAGGCATATTGGTTTAGACAGTAATTACATTGTAGTTGATCATAAAGTCTAGTGGAGTTGTTTAGAATGGGCCCACTTGAAAGACAACTTGACAGAGTTAAATAGGACTACTCAGCTGTTTAGAAATTCAGTAAGGCCACACCAATTTAATTTCTTGGTTAACAGATTTGCCTGCTACATTTTTTTCTGATTTGCAAAAAAAAAAGAATTCAGAATCAAAAATCCAAATGCTCATATTTTGCCCTGAACAGTTGAAAGAAAACAGTCCTTTTCTTCCTAGTTGTTACAGTTATTCCATCTTTCAATGCAGTGGTATCATTAAAAGTTCAAAATTCATTGTTCAAATTTTGAACCAGCCTGGTGTGTTGACTTCATGGCTCCTATCGTACCATTTTGGGGCATAATAGGATGCCTAGGCCTGTTTTTATTTTTTTTTCGCCCGTCCATCATTTTTCTAGAAAAATCCATTAACCAGGAAATTAAATTGGTGTGGCCTAAATAGAATGTATAAATTGTCGCCCTTCGTTCCCCAGGCTACAGAATCCGAGCGAGAAGAGATCGAGGAGAGCCTGCGGTCGCAGATCGAGGAGCTGCAGTACCAGAAGGACGAGCTAGAGGCGCAGCTGGACGAACTCAGGGAGGAGTTCGAGAACAAGGTGTTCAATGAGACCAAAGAACTGCAGAAGACATTCTCAGAGTGAGTATTTATTTTCAATTTTAGTTTTATTAAGAACAGTCAACATAGCAGGGGTATGTAGTACTCCTGAATTGTGTGGACTTTACATAAGGACAAGAGACGCACAAGACAATTACATACAATAGTGGGACATGGAACACTTGAACACTAGGTCTGCATTTGGCTATTGTACAGTCTAATTGTGCAGTGGAGGAACGAGTTATACAGTCTGTTTGTCCGTGCCTTGGGTTTGATGTTGTTTTAAAGCTTGAACTCTATAAGTCGTTGAAGGTTAGACATCCAGGTAATAAGACATGCCTAAAAACAGTTATTCTAGCAACTGGATATGATTTTGGAAATGGTCAGACGTTTCAGGTAGAATCCACTACCTTTCGTCAGTGACACTTGAACTGTTTAAGTTACTATTAATAACAATGTTGTTTTATCATATAAGGATTGTCTTATCAGTCTCAAGTACTATGCAAAGTATGTTGTACCAGATACAGAAATACCTTTTTTGCCACCAACAGAAGATTGATTGAATCCAGTCAAACACAATAAAAAGATGATATAAATGTAGATTTGACTTAGCCCCTACTTGAAAGCTTGTGGTCATTAAACATGTAAGCCAGAAGACTGATTTAGAAAATACCAAGAGGAGCTCAGGTTTTTTTACCACTGTGAAAAGCAGTCCAATAGAAGCTCAGGATTCTCTGTCACTATGGAAACCAGTCCAATAAGAGCTCAGGACTCTCAGTCACTCTGGAATTCAGTCATAACCAGTCAACACCATGGCAGCAGACAATAATTGGTCCATGTTAGCATATATGCATAAAGCATCAGGATTAGAGTGTGTTCCAGACTCAGACCTGTTGCCTATCAAGCTTCTGTATGGTCTGGTGGCAGAGCGTGCATCGCGGTCCGTACAAAGTATTTTGCTGTTTCTATGCCTCTCAGGTGTGCTCTTTAATAATCTGAATGACGCCACTCTGTCATCCTTGGGGCTGACCATTGGAAGGGCTGCTTGAAGTGTGATTTAATTCTAATCAGGCTATTTCTTCGTGTAAACCTTCCAGAAAAGTAGCCACTCTCCTTAAGGAGAACGAGGAGTCTCACAAGAAGGTGAAGTCTCTGGAAGACGAGCTGACCAACTCCCGCACTGCCGCCGGGCTGCAGAGCGGCGAGAACAGGAAACTCCTGGCCAGGCTACACGAGGCCGACTCACAGATCAACAAACTTAGAGGTACAAAAACATGGGGTAATGTTGTATGGGGAATCTGTTGTTTTAAGTGCATTGGATGGCATTCAGCACCAAGGACAGGTATGTGTATGTATGTGTGGATGGTGTTCAGCACCAAGGACAGGCGTGTTCACAGGAAAATCCTGGCCAGGCTACACGAGGCAGACTCACAGATCAACAAACTTAGAGGTACAAACACGTGTGGTCATGTTGTATGGGGAATCTGTTGTTTTAAGTGATTTGGATGGCATTCAGCACCAAGGACAGGCATGTTCACAGAAAACTTCTGGCCAGGCTACAGGAAGCTGACTCACAGATCGACAAACTTAGAGGTACAAATGGATGTGGGGGTATTCTGTTGTTTTAAGTGAATTGGATGGCATTCAGCACCAAGGACATGTATGTTTGCCTGTTTGTGGATGGTGTGCAGCAGAAAGGAAGGGCATGTTTGTCAATGTGTGGATAGTATTCAGCACCAAGGACAGGCATGTTTGTGTGTGGATGGTGTTCAGCACCAAGTTGGAAGTTGTCACTGTTGTCAGTAACCTGTATTCAATGCTACTGGAAAGGTTGCAGTCCTTAGGATATGACATTAACTATGGTCCACCATTCATCGTCCTTGTCAAAAAGAGCTAGATAAAATAAATAATTAATACAGTAACTCACAGTACATAGTTTGTGTCTTCTCTCTGTCACAACCAGTGGAAGAATGGCAGGGGTTGTGTGGTGTAGTGGCATGTGTGGCATGATCAGACCAATGGCTCTTCAGTGAGCTAAACCTGGATGGAGATCACTTTTCCAAACTTGTCTCCACTTCAACCTTACACAAAACCTAGAGAAGTCTGAGGCCCAGCTTGGCGTGAAGGAGCAGGAGAAGCTCCATGTCCTGCACGAGAAGTCTCTAACAGTAACTTACAGTACATAGCATCTGTCTTCTCTGTGACAACCAGTGGAAGAACTATAGCTCTTCAAAGAGCTAAACTTTCTCTCTTTTTCATCTGAAACTTTCAGAAAACCTGGAGAAGTCTGAGGCCCAGCTTGGCGTGAAGGAGCAGGAGAAGCTCCACGTCCTGCACGAGAAGTCTCAGCAGCAGTCGGAGATCAGCCGGCTCCGCGCCAAGCTCACCACGCAGGAGGCGCTGATCCAGACCGCCGAGGACGGGCGACAGAAGGTGGAGAACGAGTGGAAGAAAACCATGGAGGACCTGAAGGCAACCGACTCTGTCAGGATAGAGGTCGGTTACACTTCTTTTTGGTCGTTTTTGTGAAATAGATATAACTTACACTGTATAAGAGAGATTTTAAATATACATGTAAATGATAGCATTTGGTACTCCTTTGTTTCAGTAACTCTAACCCTAAGCAAACATAGGCTGTCTGAAAATACAGCTGTCCCCATGACCTATTTAGGTTATACATGTATGTGTGATTGTAATTTACACAATATGTACATGTAGGCTTTTAAAACAAAATCTTTGTGACTTCGTCTTTATCTGTCTCTATTCTCTAGACCCTAAAACTATTAGTATTATCAGTTTCCATGATACTTATCTAAATTCATTTTAGTTCTATACAGTGTATGTTCATTTTTTACAGTGTATGTTATGCAATATATAATTATGCTTTTGATATTTGCTCAATCAGGTATTGTTTGAGATATGGACCTGTTTATTTGTAAACAGAGAATCCACTGTAAGAAGACTGTAATTGTTTTCCCAGTTGGAGAAACTGAAGTCCCAGCTAATTGTTTTATTTTTGTTGATACCTATCTCGTACTAGCCACCCACTTTTGTATTAGATTAGCCTTATGAAAATGTAGTTGACATGTACTTGCTTAAGTTAGTAGATGCCATACTTTGTACACTGTACGATTGTTGCGCAATCAAAACCTGTTTTGTAATTGTATTATTATTAATTGTTTCTCCAGCTGGAGAGACTGAAGTCCCAGCTGAAGGAGCTGGATAACGAGTACCAGGAGTCGTGCCAGGAGAGGACTGACATGGCCCAGAAGCTGGAGGTGTCTGCCAAGGAGGCTGACTCCCTCAGGGCCAGGGTTGACTCTCTACTGTCTGATCTGGAGCAACTGGACTCACAGGTAGGATGACAGGAACATCTTTCATTTACTAGCCAATGACACTGACAGCTCTGTGACTTTTTGGCTCAGTTTAGAAGTTGAGCAAGCCAGGAACAAACTGGCCAAGGTTATAAAAAGAGATGAATTTTGCTTGAAGAGAATGACAAGTAAAAATGGATAATATTTTGGTCTTTTCAACTTCATGCCATTATATTCAATATAATACCGGGCCTGTACCTAAATTTTACATGCACTGCTCTATAACTACATGTTTGTTGTGTTGGCGTACAGAAAGCAGGTTTGCTGTAGATTGGTGCGCGGGACAGGAAGATGGAATCTCTGCTGGCCCTGTACCAAGTCTGTACCTAAACCTGTGTACCTGTACCTAAATTTTACATGCACTGCTCTATACCTACATGTACATGTACATGTTGTGTTCCTGTACAGAAAGCAGGTTTGCTGGAGGAGATTGGTGCGCGGGACAGGAAGATGGAATCTCTGCTGGCCCAGTACCGAGCCCTGGAGGACCAGCTACAGAGGGATAGGAGAGACCTGCTGTCTGAACAGGACCTCAGCCAGAGGCTCATGGGACAGGTACAGCTCACAGATGGTTTACTGAATGAATTACTGTGAATTTACTTATTTTCACAAGGACTTAATTTTGAGGTAAAAGGAGGTTTTGTTGTGAGTTTGCTGTTAAAACGATTCTACAGTACATGCAGATACAGCTAACGTACAGCTGTAGAAATGCATTGGGAATTAAATTTGCAGTGGAAAGTTAACTGCAAAAATAAAACCACTATTGTGATTTCTAGTAGAATCAGAAGTAGAAAAACATGTATGTTGTATTTTGCAGGTTTTCTAGATAATACAAACTTATATCTTTCAGCCTCACATCATAGTCATATGTAATGATGGCATCTATGATTTACATATAATGTATTCCATGTCTTTTTCTACCTGTAGCTTGCTGAGCTGCAGCAGAAGTACCAGCTTGATGCTGAAGCCAGAACCGGAGACTTTGAAGAACAGAACGCCAAACTTCTGCAGGACAACTACAAACTCCTCAACACTATTGAACTAAAGGAAGCAGAGCTGGAGGTAAGTCAGAGAGCATTTGAGACAGAAAGATTTTGTCAAAAAAGACTTTCTTATAATTTTGAATATGATTTGCTGCTAAACAATGTACTTATTATTCAAAGCAAGAAAAAGACTTTCTGACAAAAATTTTCAGCTGCTTTGAAGAAAGCCTTTTCAGCTATAAATCAAACAGCACATGGTTTTCCTCTAGAGGCCATCCATGTGTACTAGAATTATGCTATTAAATCATGGTTTACTGTATTCATGCTAAATGCTAAACCTGTACCAGCATACAATATTTACTACATTTACCCGTCAAATGCTATCTATTACAGTATAAAAGCTCAGCCATGTCCAACAATACTTGTGGGATGAGGGAACAATGTGTATGAATTTTTCATGATGTTGGAACAAAAATCTTTTCACCACTTGTGGTGTAATCATATGGGAATTGGTGTTTCCACCTGTGTGAACGGTGGAGTGCATGGTTGTGTGTGGTATGTCCGTGTGTGTCTGTGTCTTAAGTCTGACTTTCTGTTGCTGGATTATTCTGGGGTATTTAGTTGATCCCATTTTTTAATTGTCTTCAGGAAACTTCAAGACTACTGAAAGAAGAATTGGAAGAATCTGAAAACAGGGCAACAGAGAAGGAGAAGGTACATGTATTGTGAAGTTTTTGGTTGTTGCTTTTTTATATGTTGTTAAGCTTTTGCTAAAAAATTTGTACTTTATGTTAGAAATTGTCATGATCAAAGATCTTAAAATTTGTATGTCTCTTGTTTTGCTTGCTCTCCCTAGATGTTTTCAGCAACCAAGAAAGATGTGGACAAATTCCGAGGAATGGCAGAGGAAAAAGACAAAACCATCTCCAGACTCGAAGATGAGGTATGCAGAAGTTACCTTCTCCAAAATTTTTTGTGTTTTAGAAGTTTAAAATTGTAACCTGCATCACCTGTTAGAACAATCTTTTATATTGAAGTCAATAACCAATATCAAATATGATAATTACAGTAAAAACTATTACACTCACCAGTAAGGCCATTTCTTACTCCCTTTCATGTTAATACTATCTTGCTCAAATAGTACATTAAACCATTTGAGACCATCATCATTAAGTATGACTACATATATGTAGTATTACCTAACCCTGTCCCCATCTGCCCTATCCCTTGCTGACATTGTTGTGTCAGGTTCCATGGACAATGAGAAAGGTGAGACAGGTGTAGGCACTAGGCACAACGCATTGTCGACACAAGTTATTAAGCATATTATTAGAATCACCTGCCTTGGTTATCACAAATAACCACAAATGCCAGTCCTGCTGTCACAGAGCATACTATGGCAAAAGCTTGCTAGACTCATGTTTTTGTTTAACTAATGTCTGGTAAAGTTTTTCTGTTTTTTAATAGGTACCTGGTGATCTCTGTTATTTACAGTATCATAGCATCATCATTGATTACACATACCTTAGGCAGTTTTAAATACTGTTCATTGTTTTCTATGCCTCTTAAACTATTTGGTCAAACAGTGGTCGCAGTCTCTAGTGAAAATGGGGTCCAAAGGGGTCATCACATATCTTATAGCAAATCATGCCAGTGACAAGTAATCACGCTCGAAACCTAGTTTATATAACAGAGATACTGTTGGGTCTTGATCATCTGAGTTTGGCTGTTTTATTCTTTCTTCAGCTGCACAACAAGGAAAAGCAGCAGCTGCTGTTAGAAAACCAGCTTCAGGCCACAAAGAGTCGTATTGAACAGATGGAGGAGAACGAGAGACAGTCAGCAACAAGTCTGAAGGTAAGAAGTAGAGAAGAAATCTTAAAAGGCTCTGTCAAACATATCTTGTCATGAACATTCCCTGACAAAGACTGGAGTTGATTATAAAAAAAAATTGGTATAAGTAACCCAAAGCTGTTGTAAGTTCATGTAATCTAGTAGGTAAATTGTTATCAATATAGTCTGAGATACACGTGTATTGCTTTCAATTTTAGGATAAGTGCAACAAGCTGGAAGGCCAGCTAAATGAACTGACCGATGAAAAGAGAAGGCTGCAGAAGGAGTTGAGGGAAGGACAGAAGGAGGCAGACAGACTGAAGGAGGACAAGAAGTCATTGCAGAATGGTACGTATAAGCCTAACATTAGCAACAAATGTCTAATGTAGTACCTGACTTTGGTTAGGAAGGTAAATGGAGAAGGAGAGGGTTGGGCTCCTCTTTCCCAATTACCGTGCCCTGGACCCAGTGGATCAACAACCCACTGCACCTATGGCCAAAGAAAGCTATGGGACTACATTCTTTATTATCTGTATCTGTATAGCCAGTATAGCTGCCTTTTGGCGTACCACTCCAGCTTTGTATGCACGTGGCGCGGCAACAGCTGGCTATACTACAGCAAACAACTTTTTACATCTATAACCTTTGCACATCTAACTCTAAACGTTGTTTAAAGCTAGTGACGATGACACAACTGTAATTGCCCCTTTTTACATGTGTACCATACAGAGGTGAGAAATGCGATCAGGTCCTTGGCAGAGTCCCTGGAAATAAAAATCCACATACAACTACATATACATTGACACATACATTTAAATGCAGTACATGGACCAGTGCGGGTTAGCACATGAATGTGGTATTTCAAGCCCAGTGTTGACCTTAACCTTTTGTACCTTCCAGAGGTGAGAGATGCGAGCAGGTCCCTGGCAGAGTCCCAGGAGAGGGAAGCCATGTTACAGCAGCACAGCAGCTCCACTGTGGAGAACATCCAGGCTGAGCTCATGAGGACCAAGCAGCAGCTGGAGAGGGACAAGAGAAACCTGCAGGAGGATCTGCAGAACGCCAAGTCAGTCTCAAGTTCAACTTTGTTTGAATTCTGATGATATATACTTAGTTTAAAGTAGAGTACCGGGGTAGATTCATTTCTCAGCCAACCGACATGTATCACACTGCAGTTGTCCCTCAGTAAGACATCTGGAGCCGCATAGTTCCTATTTAAAACTTTTATTCAGCATGTCACAACTGGTTTTGCCATGTGGAAACTTTAAGATATAAAAGTGAGAACTTAATGAACTTGTGTCATTTGGCCTCTGTACAGTCAGTCTTAATTATAACTTTGTATCAATTATGATATAAACTATAGTCTAGATTCATTCCTCAGCTAACCAACATCTATCACACTGCAGTCCTCCCTCAGTAAGGCATATGAAGCCAAATAGAAGTACTAAAGGGGATCTGAACAATATTGATAATAATTTAAGTACAATGTATTGTTCAATTTGCAGGAACAAGATTAACGTACTTGAGGCGACAATCAGAGAGAAGGAGCTTCACCTGGACCATTTCACCAGGAGTACAGAGGAAAAGGTGGGTTGTGTGAAGTACTAAAATATAAAATATTTATCTGATCAAGCTCAATGTGTTTGCAAATACCCTAATGTGCTTGTAAGCTAAGAATCCTATGAAGGAGGTACATGTAACTTCATACTCAAACAGTTGTTACACAGTTGTTCATGTATTATATAGTAGAGGGGATTCATTCCTCAAGCTACCGACATCTTGCACACGCAGTCGTCCCTCAGTAAGACATCTGGAGCCACAATGTGTGACAGGCTGAATAAAAGTTGTAAATGGGAACTATGCGGCTCCAGATGTCTTACTGAGGGACGACTGCGTGTGCAAGATGTCGTTAGCTTGAGGAATGAATCCCCTCTACTATATACTACACAGTTGTTCATGTGTATACATCTATTCTTTCTAACCTAGACACAGTCTAGCATCAACTTCATACTCAAACAGTTACATTGTATGACACAGTTGTACAATATATAAAAATATACATCTATTTTTTTACCCTCTAAACTTCTATTTTCAAACAATTGTTACACAGCTGAGTATATATATCTATTTTTAGACCCAGTCCAGCATCAAGGCTATAGAAGACGGCCTGGAAAAGGCTAACCAGGCTCGGGAGAAGCTGAGACAAGACCTGAAGGCACAAGAACAGATCAACATGGCACTCAAGGCACAGCTGCAGGAGGAGGTATGCAGAAAAAAGGATTTGGAGCCCTGAAATCAATTTTTTACTTAGCAGTGGGATTTTTCAATAGGCAGGAAGTCTTTCATGCTGTTTTAAGTTCATGGAATTCAAAATTCACTTCAGAACCTGTGATGCAGTTTTCGTAATGCAATGGAAAGGTATTGTTGGTGTCATCATTTCTCTGTAGAGAGTTCACTGCAAAAATGAAATCATTGCAAACATTTCAAGATTTATAGCAATTAAAAAGCTACTTCCACAGGTAGGTCTAGAAATCAATTTCATGGATTTTAGTCAAACATTCTGATTTCTGGTTGTAACAGCTGTTGTTCTGTCCTGCATATGTAGTCGTCTGCTCGGAGGTTGTCTGAACAGAGGAATGAGGAACTCCAGCAGGAGATCCGGGAACAGAAGACTGAGAAGGGACTGTACTGCAGCAACCTCGAGGTCAGGCTTCAAACACTAATTTATTATACTGTTATTATAGTTAGCGTCATCTTGTCAATGAGATTGTCTCATAGTATCTTGAGATTGTTTAAAGCATCTGAAGATTAAGTCAAAACATCTCAAGATTAAGCAATATAGATCTTGTGGACGAGTTGTTTGGAATAGATCTGAGACTCATGATTTTTGATGCTTGAAGTTAAGCGGTACACCAAAGGGCATCTTTAACTGTGCTTATAACCTCTGTGAAACAGGAGGTACTGTGCATCTTTGCTAGTGTTTCTGCATGATTTATTTTCCATATGATAGTCACATTCACTTCAGAGTGACAGGAAGTAAAGGTTAAAGTTGCCAGAGTGACAAGAAGTAAAGGTTAGAGTTGCCAGAATGACAGGCAGTAAAGGTTAGGGTTGCCAGAATTACTAATATATGAACCCTCAAAACCCGTGGCAAGGTGTTCAGCACATGTGTACGATCGGCCTTGCTCCACGGGAGTGAGACATGGGCACCTACTGCATCGGCACTTCAGCGTCTGCGCCGAAACGACAGGTCCATGATTAGGTGGATCTGTGGTGTCAAGGCCCAGGACAAGACCCCCTCAGCTGACCTGCTTGCCAAGTTAGGTGTGGAAGACATCTCCTCAGTACTGAGATCACGCCGCCTCCGATGGTACGGGCACATTAAAAGAGCATGTGGCTGCATCAATACCATCGCGGACTTGCAGTTGCCAGGCAACAGAGGCCGTGGCAGGCCGAGAAAAACTTGGTTAGAGTGCATTCGGAAGGATATAAAGGAGTGTGGTCTGTCCAGCACAGACCCACAGGACAGAGCCAGCTGGAGACGAGGTGTGCAGAACAGCCGACTGCTGCCCACCCCTGGGACAGGGAAACCGGCAGCAGTAAAATCTAAACCAGGATAGTGAGTGAGTGAGTGTGTGACAACTGACAGACATTCCCGGTCATGCATTCAATGAAAGAGCTACTATTTCACGAGGAGGCGATGTTTTTGGTCAATCAGTGTTTGACAGAGCTACAGAGCAATTTCCAGGTGACATATTCAATTTGTTGTTGTTTTCTGTCCAGGAGGAACTGAAAGTTGCCAGACTGCAGATTTCTGACCAGAAGAAACAGATGCAGAGACTACAGAAGACAGAGAAGTCCTCCATCACCCTCCAGTATCAAGTGTATGTTGTTTTCTGTTGTAAAATTGATAGATTTAAGGGGAACAGGGTTGTTGCAATCTCCATCCAAGCAGATGTAACTGTAAGCATCAGGCTGATTCTCAGCAAGGTATAAGGTAAGGTATAGTCTTTAGTAGGAGGAATTTTAAAGCTCAGGTCCATATATTTGTGTTAACTGATTGCTATTGACTAGAAAATGTTTTCAATGCAAGTTTCTGACATACTGAACACATTTTCCTAAGAAGAGAAGGACAGCGAAATTGTCCTTTTTCATTGCGATGTTGTCCTGACTGCAACTGTTCTGGCTGTTTTTTCCTCCAGTGAGAGTCTAGAAAAGGAGAGAGACAAGTTACAGAAGGATGCACATTCCCTGTCTGTGGAACTGGAGATGGTTAGGTAAGGTTACATGCACTCAAAAGAAAATGAAATATTTTCCTCTTAACATCACAGACCCCACACATTACAGAAAAAGTTGGATCTTTCATCTACCACTAAACTTGTCAAACACAACAGGATAGAATTTAGAATCAGGATAATTTAGATGTAAGTCTGCAGTCACATGTCACTGTGTTCTACATTGTGCATCTTTCTCATGTAAAATGGTATTGGGATGAATATAAGATCCTTTTTAACTTGCAGGGAGCATCTGGCAGAGAAAACAGTGGATAACAACCGGTTTAAGGAGGAGGTTGCCTCCATGGAGAGTAAACTGGACCTGCTGAACACTCGGCTGAGGGAAGCCCAGGAGAGTTCTAACAACGGGCTACAGGACTTGTTCATGGCTAAGTAAGTAGAGTCAAGCCCCTTTTAGACATAGCTCACTATCTCCCAGCCTTCTCTAGACAATGGTTGATAGTCTGTCACACATAGCCAATCATGGCCTTCCAACCTTCTCCAGACCATAGTTGGGAGTTAGGCTCATCACACATGGCTGACCACTAGAGCTAGAATAGGATGGATTCCAATCTGCTCCCAACCCAGTGCCAACCTTGTTTTTTGTTTTTTTTAATTCCAATATGTAATCACCAGACGTGGTGACGGCACACTCAAGTTTTTTTTTCAACTTATATTAATGCCGTCACCAACACAGGGGTCAAATACATGACAGAACAATACTCATTTTCACCTGAGCAAAGTGAGGAAAGTCGTGTAAAGTGCCTTTTCCAAGGGCACAAGATCAATGGCATGTCAGGACTCGAACTCGGGACCCCTACATGTTTGTAGGTTCCGAGTCGTGCACTCTTCCACTACACCACACGACCCCACACGACCCCAAGGACCATGGTTCTGGAGTCGCCAGCAGCAAAGTTACCTGTCCTTAAGTATATGTTTTAGTTTCTAGACTTGGTGGATTCTTTGTTTTAAACATATATTTTCCTTTTGATCAGGAACCAGGAGTTGGAGGGAGAAATTTCCCGCCTCAGGACAATGCTGGCTAAGAAGGAGGAGGAGGAGATAGACGAGCACAGAAGAGCGCTGGATGGAACAACAAGGTGGGGAAATGTTGGCCTTTTGCACTCTTATAAATTTTTAGCACACTGAAGTACAATGTAACTGTTTGTCGACCAGTTCTGTGTTGGTTACAGTGTTAGACAGCAGGGAGAAGGTTAAGGTACCTCTGAAGTTTTGATGACACTTCATCAGTAGTTAATTTTGTAAAGATAGTCATTGCAGCATTAGCAGGTGTCTGTTTTATTTTTATTTTTTTTATTTAATCTTCAGACACCTGGGTGGCCTAGTTCAATTTTGACAAACTGATTGTCTGTTGATGACCACAGTTGCATGTAATGTAATCTAGAAATTCAATCTTGTGCTTGAAAAAATTTAATATATTTTTCCCTTTTGTCACATTATACATGTAAAACCTTTTGGAATAATGAGCTACATGTAGATCCTGACTGCTTGCAGATTACTTGAATTTTTATATGATAGCATAAAGATGGCTTCATCCTAACAAGATTCCTTTCCACTGACAGTGTTGAAATGAGGCAGATGTTGATGGAGATCAAACAAAGGCAGCTGGACATGCAGACCACCCTGAGGAAGTCACCCGGCAAGAATTCTCCTGACAAAAACTTGGTAAATCACCCCACTTACTTACTTGTATCCTCTTCATCCCTGGTAAGACTTACGGCCATGACTTTTCTATCCATCTGAGTCTATCCTGGAAGCTCACATCTTTGCTGTTTGCCAGAATAGCCTCATGGATGCCAGGTTGTCCATCATAGTTTGTCCATCATCTATACATGGTGTTGGGTCTACCCCTTTTCCTTTTCCCTTTCCTCACTCCACTTCACAACAATAAATCAGTTTTATATATCTATTTATTTATTTCGGCTTACAAAGAAGCTAGCCTTAGGGTGTCAACTAGTCAAAGACTATTACTAAGGGGCACCAATAAATCAGTTTTATTACAAAATCAAATTGGCAGAACTACAAGATGCTTCTGGTTTGTCGATTTTTCTAAAGATTGGTTACAAAATTGCCGCACATGTAACTACTGGTACTTCTTGTCGGCAGATCAACGAGCTTTACCGTGAGATCGGTCGTCTGACGGCGCTGAGCACGGGTCAGCACGTGCGTATCCGTGAGTTGGAGGACGAGGTGCACAGGCTCAGGAACAGGATCCTCATCATGCAGAGGAACAGCGACAGGTCAGTTTAGACATTAGGTCCTTACAGCAGCAAGTTTCCATCTAAATCTATTGGCCACTGCTTACTTGAGTAGCCTCTATACAAGGGAAGTTAGCTCTCATCTCCGACTGGCTATGACAGAGAAGACAGACACCAAGTACAGTATTTACTAGTTTTAGCTCACTAAAGTGTTAATCTCCCACTGGTCATGACACAGAAGAAAGACGCTATGTACACAACATTGTACAGGGGAAATTTCCCCTTTTTGACAAGCGCAATGAGCAGTGGACCATGGCTTAACTGCCCGTCTGAATCACTGCGACCCTTTCCAGTAGCGTGCATGTCAGGTGAGCGTGTGTGGAATTGACTTACTTAGACTTAGGGGCTCCCGCCTCTCGTGACGCATGAGGCAGTCAAAGTAGCCCAGCTTCCTCTGTCAGCAGCCAGCCACAAGGCTTCCTTCCAGCTCATGCTGACTGCCTGAAGGTCCCTCTCCACTGTCTGTCGCCAGTTCATCCTTGGGCGCCCCCTCCTTCTCCGTCCTTCTGGGCACCACTGTAGAACCTGGTTGGCGAGTCTGATTGGTGGTGTGGAAATTGCCAATGGAAATAATATCAACACCTTATTTTGCAGATACCACCAAAGATACATGAATCCTGACAACTTTGTTCAGGAGATCAACTCCAGGATAGAAAAGTCGCTGAAGATGGCAGAATCCAGAAACTTCCAGACACCACCGTCCAAGGACTACATGTCCCCATCAACTGGCAACTTTGGATAGCAACTCCGTCCTTTTATTTTTATTCATCGGTCACCACAAAACAAGGCTCATGGGAGCCACTTAAAATGTTTTGGGTTACAGAACAGCCAGTAAGGACAGATGTTTGTTGAGGTAGCTTATTCCAAAGTGATGTTGTTCTTGGAAAGAAGCTTTCAGCGTGGAGCTTCCTCCTAAGAGGTGGTGTATGGAGGAAGAAAGGGTGATTTGCTTCGGTGGAAGTGGCAAGACGTGTCCTTATTGAGAATTGTCCTGGCTGAGTCTTGGCATTGTACACTTTTTATTTGAGATGCAGACTTTTTGTGTCTTGCCAAGCTGGATTAATTCGATCCTTGCCAGAGTTCTTTGCAAACATCGGGACATTAGCCAGTGTGTTAGTGAAACCATTCTAGCAAAGTTGTACTGTCATTGGACTTACACAGATTTTTTGACCGAAAACAGTCTTTGTCAAAGAATTGAGCAATCCACAGCTTCAACATGTGACATCACATTAATATGCAGATAGAACAGATAACTCGGTGAGCAGTGGATCATGAGTTAAAGTAACCTGACGTGTCCTTGCCAAAAGTCTCAGGTCAAAGACTGGGATTCTGCTTCCTGTTTGTGGGTTCCATCATTGATGAATTCTTTTCCTGTCTCTTGCCAGGGATGATAGTTAGGCTAGGTAGTTAATTTATAGATAACATCTGTGCAGGCATTAATCTTTGCCAGCTTTTTTTAAAAGAAACTTTAGGGAACTAATGGCAAAGATTAACATCTTCATGTGTGTGTTTTTTACAGGATTTGAATGACCATAAAAGTGGCACTGCTATATTAATAAAAAAAAAAATTAAACATCCATACAATAATTTCAATTTCAACATCCAAATATTGCAGCTAAAAGGCTGAATTACATGAAGTTACTTCACACTGGTAAGATTTGCCTAAAAAGATAAACTTACAAATTGCAGCTAAGGCTTGCACAGGCTTAGGTTAAATATAATAGTTACATTAATTTTAAGTAAAATTAGGTTATATTTTTATGCTTGTGAGAATGGGTGACCTGTATTTTAACTAAGCCAGTAAAGAGTGCATTCTATTATAGATGTATTAAGCCATATTGCACTACCTCTTAATTCAATTATTCAACTTACACCAAATTGAAAAATCTCATTTGTTACGTTTGATTCATTTGCATTGTAAAAGAATTATGCAACTTACATGTGTATGGCTTCAGAAAAAGCCTATTAAGATTATTACTATCAGTGTTAAAATATGAATAATATTCATTTAAAAATGAAGCATCACACAGTTGGTTTTATATTTTGTTAATCATCTCATCATTATATATCCTTTTGGCTAAAAATCGGTGTGTTTTATATGAATATGTACATGTATAGCCAGCACATCCATAGTTATCTCATATGGTTTAAAGTGTGATGTATACCATAAGGAGTGTTACAAGGGGGCTAAAAGAAGTTAATATGAAAACCTCCCATGTAGGAAATGTGAAGAATTGTCACAGATTGTGAAAACCCGGGTTTTTGCTAACTTGTAGCACAATCTGTTGCCTAAGAGGGGGGTTTGGTGAATTCTGTTAAGTACTATTTTAGTCTTACAAGGTTCTTTCACTTCTCAAGTGTTTTTTTTTACCCTAAGTGTTATGAACTGAACAAACAAACAAACTATAATGGTATGGAATATAATGATAGCAACATAGATAGAGAAGGTGTTAAAATGTTGTCAGGCCACGATGAGCTCTTCTCATTTGCTAAATTCAGATTCTTCCAACTCGTGCTAGTTAATCTCTTTGTTGTTATGGGTGTTTTCATATCTCAAGAAATTATTTTTTATACAAGTCACTGTACCTGTCAATTTGCACCAGCTTTTTAACTTCTCGTTTGTTTTTCATAATTTGCGTACTTCATAGTTTCTAGGAGCTTACTGTTTTGTTGCAATGCAATGCCTAACGCCCCCTTTCCACCAGACAGCGATCACTGAGCTGCTAAAATTGGATATTTGTAACGGGACTTGATTTTATACTTGGAAGACGATGTATACAGTGGGTGTAAGTATGATTGAAAAGAAACAAAGCCAGGCAAAACGTTTAGAAAATTTGTCCTTCGTCAATAAAATTTGTTGAACGATCTGTCTAATATTTGGTCGCTCAGCGCTGGCAGATTCTAGTGGAAAGGGGGGGTGAGTTGCTTTCCCAGGTTGTACATGTAGGTATGCACCCTGTCCGTCCTGATCTGCCATCGGTGCAATGCAGAACTGTAGAATAAACAGTTCCGTCATATTCACTGGAGTTGTGCTTCTTTGTGATATGTCTTTGTTATTTTAGCAAATTTGTACAAATTGTATGGAATTCATAGGAATTTATTTGAGACATATCATACTAGTAGATTGTGGCAAATTTTATCAGAAACAGGTGGACCAGAATCTTGTAAAACTGCGCATTTTCCACATACATGTACGTGTACAAACCTTCTAACAGCTGCCTCAGTTATGTGACAGTGAAGGTTAGAAGGTATGCATAAAAAATGGACATTTTTACCCATTTATTTACCGGGACTCATATACTCCCTCCCAAAAGTTGAGAGAACGAGTATGGATGACTAAAATTAAGAAGCAATGGACGATGAACTGTTTGCATAAGAAATGCACAGAAGCTGCGGATCCTACACTGTAAATTCTTCCGTATCCAAGGCGTTATCTTGTCGGGAGACCAAAGAGCAACAGAAGCAGGGTTCGGCCTGCTCGTGTTGCGTCAGACACGTACGTGTACGTCCTGATACTGTAAGTTGGGTGGTTTTATTATCGCGGTGATCGAACTTTCATCCGCGAATTCAAGACACAGAGAGTAAAGCACCTAAATTTATTGGTACCCTAATACGAAGCCACCGCGAAGACCTCATCCCCTTCTACGTCGAAATTAAGTCCTCGCGAAAATAAATGAATGTACAGTATGCTGAGGGTCAACAAAAATCCAAACTTGTCAAAAGTTTGTAACTTAATTTTTCACTTATACACTCTGCAACTGACATCCCTGAACCGTTAACTGCAAACAAAGCCATTACCAATGGCACCATTGAGCAATCTTCTGGTCTTACCAGAACAAACATCAACACAGCTTGAAGAAGAAACGATGCTTTTTGCCATGTTGCGGAAAATATATCTTCACAATCGTTTCTTTCATATCAACTTTTTTTCTCTGTATTTTGCTCTGACTTCAGAGCAACAGCTTTCATTTGATGAATTGGAGTGGGCCTTATTGCACGATCATTGTACAAGGTACTGTACAACGTAAAAAAAAACATCGAATATGGCACTACTCTACAAAGAGTATGTAGTATTGGAACATGATTTTACAATCAATGGTGGAATTTCTAGACAGTTTCACAACTCGAATTTTTAATAGCTCATTGTAGACACAGAAAATCTCCAGCATCTTCGTATCTTGACTTCAGTATAATTTAGGTGAAGGCCGGCATTAGTTGTACCACTGCGCGACGTGTTCTCAGAAGCGAGATAACCTCTCATCGGGGCGGCACAAAGGTCACAGCACTCTTCTCTCCCATTGGTCAGGAAACGTGGGGAGTTGTTTTGGGCCACGGGAATTCAAATTGATGTCTGCTGGTTTGAATAAGTATAGTGATAATCAAGTAATTGATGAGGCCATTGTCATCAATGATATCAGTTCTAAATCCACACTACAAGATTGATAACATGTTTATTTTCGCCACATCAAATCCGAAGAACTCATATATTTCTGTAATTTTCCAACACAAAAAATTAAACTTAGCCAAATATTCGACTGTTCAACTTTGTCAAGGAATGTGAGTCTACCACTGAACATTTAATTAAGTCCATTATGTAGAAATTACAGTTTAAATAAGCCTTTTTTCAGAATGACAGATTGACGTTAACTTTCAAGCTCAGAACTCTTATCTTTTTTCTCAACATCGTGTACCTTAAAACACTGCGGTAATTGTTTTACACACCGGACTGGATACATCCAATTAGATTTTTTGTCCCAGTCCTTAAGTAAATGTGTACCTACACTCCACCCAACTGATAAACTAACACAGTCGTTACTCATTACACTGACCTTAAATAACATGTGTTAACCATTATGTAATAAAACTTTTTATTCTTCAATTTCCTGCAGAAACTTCTCTAGCAACCGTTCTTTAAGGTTGATTCTTCATATTACAGCACGGTAGAGTTCACAAACTCGTGTTCTTTACTTAAAGTACGGATTTTTGTAACTGCTGATGGTGTGACATTCCACTGCAACTTTGGACCCTCACCCAGCGTCTCACGTGCAGCTCCCAAACAAAGGCTTCTCAGACGATGTCTGTTTGACAAGAACACGGTCAGATTCGTCTACATGCATGTGCACCGTGCACCAACCACTTGCCATTTTAAGAGTACACTCTTAATACATTTCGACCAAAAATCTTTAAAACACTTCAAGTATAGAGTTCGTGTTGTTGTTTGATCGTTGTGTAAGTTCTAAAGGTTGCTGATATCATCGAAGCGGACCTTATATCGGCGCCTTGCACGCCGTACTGCCTGCCGGGATACACACAAGTGTAACAAAGGTTGGTCATCGAACAAGATGGTGGTCGGAAATATCGGCACATGGATTTTTATCGTCCTTCTGTTTAAAGGTAAGAGTCTTCACCTCATTTACATATCAATTAACACCTGATAGACACCTGAAGTGCGGATTCCGTTAGTCACTGACGAAAAGTAGTGGATGTTAGTTGAAACGTCTGATAGTCACATCTATCCTACTACTTCAGTAACAATTTCATTACCTGGATGTCTAACTTTCATCGACGTAAGAGAACTTGTTTCTGAATCACATTCGTCATACGATTGTTCTTAGAGGAATTGTCAGCGAAGCTATGTGACAGAACAGTTCAACTGACCGTAGACATGGATCTACTGCAGCCTTTCCTGTTCTAAGTTTGCACCATATATACAGCCTGTACACATTAGACTGTCCCAATGCTCTGAAGTTGTCGTAACCTTATTAAGTTATTGTACAAATATGACGAATATGACAAGGCAATTATGATATGTTCACCAATTTATTGCGCTTCTTTTTATATCATTGTATCTAATAGTATTGCATTGTGTTTTGTTTCAACAGTTTTGCCATATATGTTGTGAAATGTGTCGTGAGATACGTAATGTGCTCCATGATATGTAATGTGCTGTGCACAACACCAGCAATCGTTGCCTGTACTGTAGTACAACTGTGTTCCTGTTCCAGACAAAGCTATGTCTTGAAGTTTGAGGAAGTTTACTACGTAACACCAGTGTGTGTCAACACTGTTCATTGTCATTGGTAAAGTTGAGAGACATTAACCTGTACTTTATTTGACAGATACACCAGTGCTACTGACGTTGTCTGTGTTTCTGTTCCTCATGAAAATTATGCTATTTCTTTATGACCAAAGACTCTTAGGGAAGTTTACTATGTCATTGTGTCTTAGGCCCGTTCATTGTTCTTGGTGAAGTTAATACCAGGAAACAGACATTTATCAGAGTGAGTACGTTATTTGACAGATACACAGACAGGACATTGTGTGATCGTGTTAGTAGGAAAACAATAGGGTTTCCTCTTTCTAATGTTTTATCACGTCCACGATCTCCCGGCTTGATACCTCAGTGTACGGACGTTTTGTGGGTATGTTTGTGTGTTTGCTTGTGGTTCCTTAGTTATTTCCACAAGCTGAGCACACTAGGGGACTCCGGCAGGAAGATTGGTCAAAGGTCCCAGAAAAGGTTATCTCGTTTCCTGTCTCCAGTTTCCTGTTATTTTCATGTTGCCTTGTAGAACATAATGTTTTCATTGCTCCTTTCCTTTGATATCCTGGTTTGTCAGTTCACGGGTAAGGTAGTTGGTCCTTTGGTAGGTAGGAACGTCGGTAGTAGTTTGTTTGTTTGTTTGTTTGTTTGTTTTGCTGGTTGGTTGGTTTTTCTTTCTCTTAATTTCCGCATTTCCATTGAATTCACTACCAACGAAGCTTGATTTACGTTTACTGAATTGATTTGTCCGAGTTTACTGAGAGCAGCACCCCCCCCCTCATTAGCCCATGTAGTGGACGGTCCCTGACCTATTGTCCCTTTAGTAAGTTGGTTTATTGACAGATTGGTACATAGATTACAATATAACGTTGCAGCCAAATAATAGAAACGTTAAGGTAAAACTTTCTGAATTATGTAACAGTCAAAACCCATAATCAAGAAAAGGCTCTGTGTAGAATAATATCATCATACTGTTAGAAAAGAAAAAAAAAAAGAAAACCCTTGCCAAATCAATTGCCTTACATACACCAAAACAAGACGCTACATTATTCTAAATGAACAACAACTCAGAGTGCGTTCACAACAGATAAGTCTAAAAGGCCTCCAGTGGTCAAGTAAGGCATAGCGCCATTCCTGAACTTTCCGGAGGTAGCAAAAGCTACGGAGACAGTCTACCCAACTCTCTGTCCTTCATCCTGTTTGTTCTTTATCTGTGACAGATTCAGGATTATTTACATACATTGAGACTGATGTGAATATAATTATAGATTCTTCTTCACAATTCTTCTGATGACTGTGGCACAAATCTAGGGCATCAAATCAAACTTTACTACATGGCTGTCACGTACGCCACATTACCGAAGGTTGATTTATCGCACACTGTGTTTGATAACAGTGTTAATTAAAAACTGCATTACAATCACGATTAGATTGACTAATGTTAGGAATACAGGAATTAAAAACAGCAGTCTTAAACTTCGATGTTTAAAACATTCTCATAATTGGATAGTTTAAAACACTTTTACTTAATAGTTTAAAACAGTCTCACACTTGGAATCAAAAAATTCAAATTGTTCTTCAGACGGGCACTGTTATAACAATGAACACTGGCTCTCATAACTTTGTCCGTATACCAGTTTTAGGTACCAACGAAATGCCATTAAACGGAAGAACTTAGGCCATATAACTAAAATATTCCACGGTCCTCTCGATACCCGATGTATGATATCAGGTATAGAGAGATTAATTTGACCCGGCCTAATTTTAATTGGTTGATCTGTTGCCCAGTGGAACCACACACGTCCAGACAACGTGAGCCAGCATGTGCCTTTGTTTTATTTGTGCCCCCTCACTCACTGGATGTTTACCTACTTGTCTACTTGGGAGTTCGACTTTGTCTCGGCCCTTATCAGTTTGAAGACAAGAGTTATATTAGCAGGTTATTAACAGGCTGTTCCTAGGCGTCCTTTTGTATGTAACATTCATGCAAGGAGTTTACTGGGTTTATAACCTCCTTCTTCTCCTACTCTTTGCAAGTCTTTCTAATCGCATTTCCCTTCCAAAGTATCGTGAAAGTGTTCTCCTTCCACTTCGTGCTGATTATGTAACACTCAGCTGGGCTAAAACTAAGACAATGGGGTGAGCATTCGGTCGAACGTTCTGCGCAACCAGACAATGTCGTGTTGTTGAATGGCAAAACCTTCCGTACGTCCATCTAGTAGCAGACAATGGAGATCTCGATATAAATCCGGCATCACGGTTTCACAATTCCCCCCCCCCCGAAGTTTAGAACTCTACGGGGTCTCAAATATGCTGTAAAGCTGTTTACCTTCCGGCGCACGGCCAGGGTCACGGTCGGTCAAAGATAACGTTACGCCGCCTGTCATAACTTCATGGTTGATGAGAATTAATTATATAATAGCAACGTCACTGTTAGGTCGTGTGCACGGCACAACAATGGGTGTAGTCATCGTCCTTAGTGAGAATGATATTCGGAGCTTTGCTGGTCAGACATGGTCGACATGGGGTCAAGTTAAAACCTGCTACGCTTTTTGGAAAACTGTCCCACTCTTAGGTAGCAATAGCCTAGACTAGCTCAAATACGTGATCTGCCGATAAAGCAAAGAAGGTGATAATGTGCGCCATGTATCTTCTTTATATATTTTTCTGAACCTTAACTTTTCCCTTGAAAATCAGCCTGCAGGTCGCGATTTGAGCTTTTCATGGCTAAAGAAACACACAAACAAATGCCTCTCATATCTCATCTATCCCTTAATCTAATTATTTGACCGAACCACGGACTAACTACGATCTGACAAACAGCTTTCTCCACCCCTCTTGGTTTAAGTTTTCTGTTCCCACTTAGTGTCCTGCGGGTCGATTCTCTGATATCATCCTCACTAGAGTCATTTCTCCCAACTAAATGTCTGCGCGGCTCTTTTCAGAAACCATCCAGCAGACGCCGCTGGTGAGACAGAACTGTAACTTTGACGTGGCCGGGGACCTGTGCGGGTACATCCCATCTTTTCCCTGTATGATATCATGATCAGGGTCTTAACATGAGTGTCATTTCTCCCAACTAAATGTCTGCGCGGCTCGTTTCAGAAACCGTCCAGCAGACGCCGCTGGTGAGACAGAATTGTAACTTTGACGTGGCCGGGGACCTGTGCGGGTACATCCAGTCCCAGGGGGACGACTTCGACTGGACACAGGACACCGGCGCCACCCCGTCATCCTTCACCGGGCCGTCAGACGACGTCACAGCGGGACTGACTGGTACTGCAGGTAAATCTTAATAGCGTTTTAAAACTTTTAAAACTTTTAAAAAGTAAAAACCAGGTGCTTCAGCCGGTTGCTTATTTGGGTGCGTATGTCATTGGGGGTTCTGTCGGTGAAAAATGATTTAGAATGCAAAATATGCCATTTCAATTCAAGGCTTGTTGTTGTTTATTACCTTCGCCATTGGTCTGTATTTGTGAGCATGTGTATTTGTGGACTGTCAGACTGCCCCTACGGTTTCCGGCTACGGAACTGAGTGAGTGAGTGAGTGAGTGAGTGAGTGAGTGAGTGAGTGAGTGAGTGAGTGAGTGAGTGAGTGAGTGAGTGAGTGAGTGAGTGAGTGAGTGAGTGCAGTGAGTGAGTGAGTGAGTGAGTGAGTGAGTGTGTGTGTGAGTGAGTGAGTGAGTGAGTGAGTGAGTGAGTGAGTGAGTGAGTGAGTGAGTGAGTGAGTGATCAAGTGTTTTGTGTGGGTGTTGTGTTGTTCACAGTGCATAATTCAATATACACAAATAAAACCTTGAATTCTAGTCCATCAAAAAAAAACTTTATTCCAACTATATAAGGTACAATAGTGTATGGCATCTTCTTCTACATAACAACAATCGTATAATGAAACTAATCTATCTACAAAAGGCTATGGATGAGAATGTGCTTTTGAAAACGTTGGTAGAATATCTAACATTTAACTTAAAGCATATTTGAACAAATATTATCATGATAATTGTAACATACTTCTAGACTCAGCTGTTCAGCTACTTGCTGCGTGTTTAACGAGATGTTTGTCCAGGATGTATTTCTTTGCTGTGTAAAAATCACAGTGGTCACACTTTTAGGGGTTTGCACCTGTGTGTTTTAAGAGATGCAGTTTCAAGTTACCTTTTGTCGCTACAGAATAGTCACACTGGTCACATTTGTAGGGCTTTTCTCCTGTATGTTGTCTCATATGTACGACCAAGTCAGACTTTTTAGCTGTCCAGTGCCCACATTCCTCACACATGTAGGGTTTCTCACCACTGTGTATTGTGAGATGGCGCTTCAAGTTACATTTTGTTGCTGCAGAATAGTCGCACTGGTCACACTTGTAGGGCTTCTCACCTGTATGGGATCTTATATGCTCGGTTAGGTGGGTCTTGTGACCCGTACTGTATCCACACACATCGCACCTGTAAAGTTTTTCGTCTGTGTGTTTTGCGAGATATTTGTCCAAGTGTCTTGCTTTAATATGGCAATCTAAGTTGGATTTCCGTGTAAAAGCATAGCCACAATGGTCACACTTGTAGGGTTTTTCCCCTGTATGTATTCTCATATGCTCGGATAGGTGAGACTTTTTAGCTGCCCCGTAGCCGCACCTTTCGCAAATGTAAGGTTTCTTACCAGTGTGTTTTAAAAGATGCTGGTCCAAAATATTCTTCTGTGCTGCAGAATAGTCACACTGGTCACACCTGTAGGGTTTTTCTCCTGTATGGGTTCTCAGATGTATAACTAAGTTACATCTGATAGCTGTTCTGTACCCGCATTCTCCACACATGTAGGGCTTCTCTCCAGTGTGTTTTGCTGCTACATGGATGTCCAAACTCGCCTGCTGTTTTGCACAATAGTCACACTGGCCACACTTGAAGGGTCTTTCTCCTGTATGGGTTCTCATATGGGCAGATAAGTTAGACTTGTCAACTGTACTGTACCCGCACTGGTCACACCTGTAGGCCTCTCCTGTATGGGATTTCATGTGTCGAGATAACTTTAACTTTACAGCTGTCCTGTACCCACACTTGTCGCACATGTAGGGCTTCTCACCAGTGTGTTTTGTTGCTATATGAATGTCCAAGCTTGCCTGCTGTGTTGCAGAATAGTCGCACTGGCCACACTTGTGGGGTCTTTCTCCTGTATGCGTTCTTATGTGTTGACGCAAAGTAGACTTTCGAGCTGCCCTGTACCCACACTCCTCACACATGTAAGGTTTCTCACCGTGTTTTACTAGATGAGCGTCCAAGTCAGATTTCCGTGCTGCAGAATAGTCACACTTGTCACACTTGTAAGGTTTTTTACCTGTATGTGTTTTCATGTGTCGGGATAAGCTAGACCTTAAATTCGTTCTGTACCCACACTCCCCACACATGTAGGGTTTATCACCGGCGTTTTTCATGTTGGCTTTTTGTGCCTCCATCTGGTCTTCAGCGTCACTTCTTTTGCTGTCGCAGCTATCCTGGGAAACCCCGGTGGGAGACCCATCATAGCAGTTCTGATCTACTCTGGTGGGAGACCCATGTCCTGCCGCTGCCATGTCAAGTCTATTTTGAGACAAATTTAAAAAAATTATATGTATATATCTACTATATATCTATATCTATCTATATATATATTATATCTATCTATCTATCTATCTCTCTCTCTCTCTCTCTTCTCTCTCTCTCTCTCTCTCTCTCTCTCTCTATATATATATATATATATGAAACCTCATTTGCTTAATACAATCGCAACCTTACCTATTATGCAAGTAACAACTCAATGCACAACTTTCGCAGATTTCAGATGTTGCCTTTTCATTACATTTTGTCAGTAGGTTGCTCAGTGCAGAACCACTGTGAGCTCTTAGAGACGATCCTTAGAACTTACTTGGCCCACCGAGCTCGCTCACAATATTTTCCTATTACGGTACGGTGGCTCACTCAGTGATCACACGAACCCCCCCCCCCCTCCCCCCCATTCACTTCCACAGTATTTCATAGCCTGGTATCCAGTCTGATTCGTGGTCGGGGCCACAAGAGCTCTGTCCCGCCCGCCTCACGTAGGTTTCCCGGTGTGTATTTCACGAGAGATTGATTAGCCCTCCACGAACGTGTTGGGGGAAAACAAATCCCCAAGCATATACTTTCTCTTATTAGCGAAACACTCCTACCGGGACGGCCTGTTGCACTGGGCGGGGGAAGCTATTAGAGAGCCCCCGAAGGCACAACCTGCCTCAACACCCCAATACCCCCAATCACCGACACGTAAGACTGGATACCAGGCTACATCTAGAAAACCGTGATCTACGTTTCACTGTGGCCATTCTTCCACAGAAATGACATGGCGGTTCGTTTCTGAGTCTTAACTGCTTTCTACAATGTTCTTTCTCTTCGCCGTAACCCGGGAGTCAGAGTTAACTCCACACTGTGATTCAACACTGACATCTGATGATTACATGAGCTTGAGACCATTTGACCATTTGCCAATCAGCAGTGACCTGAGTGTGAGGGACAGGCCTATAGCTAGGACCCACGGTGATGATCCGACTGGTGGTGATTCGGCAAGAATAAATTCAGATGGTTCAAGGCTGTGGTTCAAGTACTGATGTCATGAAGATCGTCGATGTAGTGCCCATACATCAGCCTCACAACCCTTACAACGGTTTTGCCCCCCCCCTCCCCTTCATTGACACATCTGAAAAAGATCTATAAGTCTTACCTGCTTTCTACGATGTTCTTCCTCCTCGAGTAAACCTGGTGCATGAGTCAGTTCAACTTCACTGATGTCACGAACATCGTCGACTCCCCGGTACGTGAGTGCCAATGAACGGTACGTCCCTGTTCACCGTAACTCTGGGCAAGTTTCTGCAAACGTCAAACGTCAACAACTAACTCCTAAGAATAAATCCTGGCTGTTAGTCTCAGGTTTGTCCGCGTCGTCTGCCACGTGTTTAGTTTCTGGCGTTCCGTCGACCGTCTCAGGCTTTTGATCTCTGAATTATCTCCGGATTTTTCCACGGGACAGTCTTACTTGATCTTTAATACTTTGGACGTCTCTTTATTTCCTAATTTCTGGTCACCACCCATGGCCATATTTAGTAATTCCTGTCAAAAAGGGTGCAACCTGATTGGAGAAAAAAAATGACTAATTTCGTAGACTTAATCCGTCAAATGCAGGCATTGGCAGGAAACCATCCGGACGTTCGGCCGTCATTTCGTCTGAGTTGACCGGCGAACTCATTATTTCCTCATTTATCTTCTGGTTGTGGGAGACCTCAGGGTCAGGGACTATGGATATCAATATCCTCCTTCGCATACTTGTGGACGACGGCTAATCTCCAAGCAGATCTTTTGGTGGGGGTAAGACAGTATCAAATTGGCCAGTCTGTAACCATTTCCCCACCCTCTCAGACGACGGCGTCTTATTTTTTTCCGAGAGCGACGCGAGTTACGCCGCGGAGGGGCGGCCAAGTTTTGCCGGTTTTGTTAGGCGGCGAAACCCTCTTTCGCCGGCAAAGTCCCTTGGCGGTAATTCGTAATACCGTTCCTCCGCGGCGTAAGTCGCGTCGCTCCCCGAAAAAAAATATAACAACGCCGCCCCGCAAGTCTGCGAAGGAGGATAGAATATCAAGCTGTTCAAGGCCGGAAGACCGGAACTGAACTGCTCTAAGTTTGAGTCTCAAAGTTCTGGGACGATTCCACTCGAAATAGCGGGGTCGGAACAGGTGTCTATTAATAGGGAACTTGACGAGTCAAGGCAACTGTGATAACATCGCACAAGCACAAATGGTGTTGAGTATCCGATTCTTAATTAAGTTTCTAGTACGATCGTGCCCATCCGTTGGCCCACGTCCTGTTAATATTAACACGGCACAAGTTCAAGAATATAGAATTACGGATGTAAAAGACGGCTTACTCATGAGGCGCGCCTGGCCGGACGTGACCCAGACGGATCGCATTCCGCGGGCTGACATTAACCTCCAAGCAGATCCTAGGGTGGCAAAAGACAGTATCAAATTGGCCATGCGCCAGGCAGTATCCATTCGCCAGAGAGGGTCCATACACCATCCTAGGAACTGCGGAAAGTTGTAACTCGTCTCCTCTGGCGAATGGATACTGCCTGGCCAATTTGATACTGTCTTTTGTCACCCTAGGTTCTGCTTCGAGATTAGGCCGACATGTCAACTCTAGTTAGGTGAACAGGGTTCCCATCCGAGTTAGGCAACTGGGTTTTTCATCTAAGTTAGGCAAATTTTCCTGTCTTAGTTAGGCAACTGGCTAGGTTAAATACCATCATGATGACAGACATGGTCATCGACTTTACTTGTTTGGAGAAGAAGAAGAAGTAACATTGCAAAAACAACATGTATTCCTTCTGCGAAGGCAAACAACAATTGAGTACCTTACACAACAGTTTTCGCCTTATAGCTCTTCGAGTCCTATCTCAAACCTTACATACTTTTGAGCTGTCCTGTGCCCGCACTCTCCACACATGTAAGGTTTGTCACGTTTACCACTACGTTCAGGGAGAGAGGTCGAGACCACTATGTTTTCTGAGATGGGATTTCAAGCGTTGTTTTGTTACTGTAGAATAGTCGCACTGGTCACACTTGTAAGGCTTTTGACCAGTATGGGTTCTCATATGGGCAGATAGGTGAGACTTGTAAATTGTACTGTACCCGCACTGGTCACACTTGTAGACAGTGCGTTTTGCGAGATGTTGGTCCAAGTGTCTTGCTTTATGGCAATCTAAGGTGGATTTCTGTGTAGCAGCATAGTCACACTGGTCACACTTGTAGGGTTTTCCCCCTGTATGTTTTCTCATATGCTCGGATAGGCGACACTTTTTAGCTGCCGCGTAGCCACACCTTTCGCAAATGTAAGGTTTCTTACCAGGGTGTTGTAAAAGATGCTGGTCCAAAGTAGCCTTCTGTGCTGCAGAATAGTCACACTGGTCACACCTGTAAGGTTTTTCTCCTGTATGGGTTCTTATATGGGCAATTAAGTTAGACTTGTAAACTGTACTGTACCCGCACTCATCACACTTGTAAGCCTCTCCTGTATGGGCTTTCATGTGTCGAGATAACCTATACATTACAGCTGTCCTGTACCCACAAACCCCACACATGTAGGGTTTCTCAGCAGTGTGTCTTGTTTTATGGTTATCCAAGTTGGCTTTCCATGCTGAAGAAAAGTCACACTGATCACACTTGTGAGGCTTTTCATCTGAATGGGTCTTCATATGTTTCGATAGGTAAGGCTTGCATGATGTCCGGAATTCACACTCGTCACACCTGTAGGATTTTTCTCCTGTGTGGATTTTCGTGTGTCTGGAAAAGTCAGTCTTCCGATCTGTCCTGTACCCACACTCCCCACACATGTAGCGTTTCTCACCAGCATTTTTCATGTTGACTTTTTGTGCCGCCATCTGGTCTTCAGCTTCACGTCTTTTGCTGTCGCAGTCAACATGGGAAACCCCGGTGGGAGACCCATCATAGCAGTTCTGATGTACTCTGGTGGGAGACCTATGTCCTATTGCTGCCATGTCTATTGACAAAATAAAGAAATTATACAAATGTATTTTTTAAAAGTGTAAAAAAGCTCAGTATTTATAGAATTGAGAAATCAATGTATTTCAACTTCTAACCTGATCACCTGCTTTATACAATTCCAAACTAATACATGACATTGTACATTACAACTCAACACACAACCCGCCTGCCTAAGCCCGGACCCTCACCCCTCGCGTGGTTATTTGGGGGTATCTAATATGACGATGACGACGATTTTGGCATGTTTTATGATAAATTGGCATGTTGCGTTTTAAAAACAAAAAATAAAAAATAAAATTTGGCCCCCTCCCCTGAAACCTTTTCGAAGTTCCTTGCCGCTATCTGGAAAAGATGGCTCTAAACCATGGCGTCTCACTGTGGCCTTTCCTTCACAGAAATGACCTCAAACTATTGCGTTCGGTATAAAATCACCTGGCTGCTCGATTTTTAAGCCTTACCTGCTTCATGTGACGCTATATATAATAATTTTTCTCTTCACAAAAACCGGAAAAACCGGGACTCGTGCAACCCAGGGTCAGGATAAAGGTAACCTGGGTCAAAGGTGAATATACTCACCTGATTAGCCAGATAATGTTTTCGACTTCGGCCAAGACGTATTGAATTCAAACTCCCACACGGACAGTCAACATGGCCGCAATGTACAAAGAGGTCTCACACAGTATGTTTGCCGCAAATATGCAAAAGTTACGCCCTTCTTTCTCAGCATTGCAAAAGCAATGCAGTGGGCTTCCAGTGCTGAGACAGCTTCAGCACTGGCATCCGAGAGCTGAGACGCCGTGACAACAATAACGTTACCGGACTTCCCGGTGCTGAGAAAGTAGGCTAGGTCAGCTGAATGCCGTTCATCTCCAAGTAGTTTCCACCAGCAAACTCATTTGCAAGCTGAATAAATAGTAGAAATCGCCCCCCCCCCCAAAAAAAAAATGTAGCTGGCCAGGGAGTTGGCCGGTTCCAGTTTGCCTGCACGGCAAATGGACCCTCTCTGGCCCGCGAACTCCTCTGGCCAATTATATCCCCTAGATTTTTAGGCCGATTTCTGCCTGCAAAGGAGTCTGGTGGAGACTCGTTTCCCAGCACCTGTCCCTTTTCAGGGTCATCCAAATCACCCCTAAAGGGGCTATATGGCTATCACAATCAAACGATCGAGGTCACATTTGTCAAAATTGCATGCCTGACAGGTTACTACATGTACATCGAGACGTCGACCCCCCAGAGTCGCGGCGACGTAGCCCAGTTGCTGACCCCGCTCCTGCAGCCCACGGCTGAGAGATGCCTCACGTTCTACTACCACATGTACGGCTCGACTGTCGGCAGTCTCAACGTCTACAAGGTGGCCAGGGGACAGCAGACACTAGTCTGGACACAGCAGGGAGCTCAAGGGAATCAGTGGAACTATGCCGAGATCGATTACGACAGCAAGGACCAATATCAGGTGGGTGTTTGTGTGTGTGTGTGTGTGTGTGTGTGTGTGTGTGTGTGTGTGTGTGTGTGTGTGTGTGTGTGTGTGTGTGTGTGTGTGTGTGTGTGTGTGTGTGTGTGTGTGTGTGTGTGTATGTGTGTGTGTGTGTGTATGTGTGTCAGTGTGTGATTAATTTACATCATATACTTCCCTCCACAGTTCCAACAATTCATACGTTCACGAAAACACAAAACACTTCCCGGTGGTCACAAAAAACAAAAATACATCCCGGAAATCTGAAATCTGCAACTTCCTGGGTCAAATATGAAATAATACGAGTATGTAATAATGATTTTTTTAAATGTTTATCTGTATCTACAGTTCGTGTTTGAAGGGGTGGTGTCTCGCAATTACGGTGACATCGGCCTGGATCACATCATTATGAAGTATGGGCAGTGTAGCGGCAGTACAGGTAAGCTATGTTCCGACCATATTACTAAACGTAAAAAGGTAAGTATGTTTCTACATTAAACATCAGAGTATGGACCAACATGACACTAAGTAACAGTCGAACAAATAGACTACTTGTAAGTTATAGATGATGATAATGATGATGGAATTCCTGAGGGTTTTATCATTGGATGCAGTGTGATGAATAGTTCCTCGTGATAAGTGGTTAGTGGGTTTTGCAATTTTCGTCCAATAATCTGGAGGTTTCTTTTCCTACTCCAACATATAGCGCAATGTGGAAGTTCTCTCGGTATGGAGGATGGGTCCATCCCGGACAGTTCCCTCTCAGCGTCCACGTCCAAACCGGGTAACCCAGCTTCGGCTGGACGCCTCAACTCCGCCAACTACTGGTCCCCGCAGGACAGCGACCAGGACCCATGGCTTCAGGTGTGTGTCTGTATTCCAGTAGTGTGTATATCGCAGTAGTACTTTGGACCAAAAGGTAGTGAGTTTGGATCCGTCAAATGGCCCGTTCATTGCCTGTACTTGTCGAAAAGAGGTAGCCAAGGGGAATTTCCTCGTACAAAGAACCTGTACATGCCGTACATACCAGGACAGCGACCAGGACCCGTGGCTACAGGTGTGTGTTTGTAGTTCAGTAGCATACATAGTCCGTCCAGCAAGCATACGTAGTCCATTATCGTGCGTTCGTTGTCCAGTAGCATGTGTAGTTCAGTAGCCTGTGTAGTCCGGTAGATTGAATCCCAGCTGTTGTCGCTTACCCCATGGCCCAACAACCTCCTTGCTCACCCGAAATGTACTTTAAAGGAAAAGGTTTGCAGTCCTTCAATGGGACGGGGCGATGATAAGCTATGGTGCACTGTTTATTGTACTTGCCGAAAAGAGCTGGGGGAGTTTCTCGGTACACTGTAAATACTGTACATACTGTCTGTTGTTTCTCTCAAGACCAGTGGAAGGGCAGCACAACTGTTTGTGAAGCTTATTTGAGGTAATCTGGTTCAAAATCCCTTTTGCTTTCCCAGGTGAACCTGCAGAGGCGCACAGCCGTGACGGGGATCAACACGCAGGGGTCAGGCGACACCTGGGTCTCCAAGTACAAACTGCAGTACAGCGATGACGGTGTGAGCTGGACAACGGTCGGGGACTTCAGCAATAATGACACGGTGGGAGGATCTTTCCCTCGCGATTCATGCAATTTACAGTTAGACGCATGCACATCCTTAGCCTGGGAGCCATCCGTTTTTGTACCCGAAAAAATTCGGGGTAGCGAGTGCAAGGAGCCCCGCTACAAAACGGATGGTACCCAGGCTGGCTAGCACATCCTCTCTTGATTAAGGTTTGCAATAACAAAAACCTGTATTTAAATTTGTTCCGCTGGCGCTCATGGACGCAGCCATATTGTCAAGTACTGTCATCGTTGTTAGATCAACCTACATCGCCCTGTACGTCATACATGCATTGCCTTCATTACCTATCAACATTCAAAGCTGAATATTACCTTTCAAAATTATTATTTTCATGTTGTTTTTTTCAGGAGTTTGACGGCAGCCAGAACGGAAACCGCATCACTCTGAACGAACCAATCGAAGCGCAGTATCTGCGGATCAAGCCCACCTTGTGGAACAACAACGAAATCCGCCTGAGGGTGGAAATCTACGGCTGTGATGCGGCAGGTGAGACTTCCTAATCCCCCGTTTCTTGTCAACGTCTTTGTCACATAGCTTGGACAAGACATATACCAATATCACCATTTCGTATCCGATTTAGTACTGGCTACATGTGGATGTCAACACTGACAACGTTATCATTAACGAGATATTATGAGTTGCAAACTGCTGACGCGTTTTTTTTTTTGTACACCAGGCATCAACGAGTGTGCAAGCAACCCCTGTCAACACGGTTCCACCTGTGTGGACGCCGTGAACTGGTACAGGTGTTACTGTGCGGACGGTTGGACGGGCGATAACTGTGCACAGGGTGAGTGCTTTACCCAGAATCCAAAAACATGCTCACATGGTTCTGGATAGTTCACGTGTATCCAGAACCGCAGAACCCGAGGCAAATCTAAACATTCTTGGTTACATGATGAATAACCAGATTTCTGCCTGATCCTAATTCTAACCCACTCAGGCATTAAGAACAAAACAGGCAAGGTACAAATTACAATGAACTTGTAAATACTAGTATATCTAATGTGTGGCTTTCTTTCCCAAATGCAGATATCAATGAATGCAGCCAGAACCCTTGTCAGAACGGAGGAGTTTGTACCAACACTCCCGGGAGCTACTCGTGTACCTGCCCTGCCGGCTTCAGTGGAGCGAACTGTGAAGCAAGTACGTAAAGATCTTTAAATATGATTATTTCTGGCACTGCAAATATGTGGCATTACTACAATACAACTCTAAGTTCTGAGTCTCAAAATTAAAGCTGATCTGGCTGTACTTTGTTTCCATAGCTGTTTTAGAGGGAACGAACATCGTGACGTGCGACTTCGACACGGACTACTGCGGCTGGCAGTTCGGGGAAGATAACCAGCTGAGTGTGTCCAGAGAACAGTCAGACGGCTGTGGTCGGTACGGACCGTCAGGCGACCACACTCAAGGAGGTACAGACATATTTCTTCATCCTCCCATATTCTCTAGGTTCTCTAACATGCAAATATTTGATGCCTGATGCTGTCTAAAGATGATGCAAAGGGGGTTCAGACAGGACCATGGTGTATGTTTGGTATCATGAACAGGACGATCCACTGTCGCACCTACTGGCCTGTATACCTGGAGCTATTGGTCAACGTCTTCAATTCGTGCTGAAAATTGGCGCTTGTTTCTTCAAACATTTCCCTTTTGGTATACTGTGATTTTCCACTGTTTTGCAGACGGGTCGGGCTGGTACCTGTGCATGCAGAGCAGCTCCAGCGATCCCCAAGACAGCACCGCCCGACTAATCAGCCCCTGGTTCTACGACACCTCTCCGAGAACTCTCAGTTTCTGGTATCTGTCCAAGTATTTCACCTCGAACACCATCCTGAACGTGTATCTGCATGTAGACGGTGTCGTTTCTGACGTTCCTGCGCTGACCATCAATCGACGAGCCACAGAATGGACGTTCGTAGAGGTCAATGTAACAAGGACGCAGTTTTTCCGGGTATGAAACATAAATATAATATCACCTCGAGCTCCGTGTACGAAGGTTTTGCGTAACCTTAACAGGAAACATTTTTGCTCCGTTACTTCTTCCCCTTCTTCTTCCGTAAATGAGCTGGACCACGTAGCTAGCTGTTACCAGAGTAACTGATGCTGTAGTGGTGTTGAATTACATTATGTAGCAAGTGGCAGGGTAGGAGTTGGAGGGGCTGCTCACCATACATTGTTTTCCTATCTTCTTACTACTAGGTTTTGATAGAAGCTGTCAAGCCAGGTTTTGCGCGTCCACAAGTCGGAATAGATGATGTGGAAATTTCATCAGTCGGTATGACATTTGTTCTATTTGCTGTCCATTTCATGTTCCAAAACAATTGCACTGAAATAATACGCTGATGTCTCTATATTGACAAAGTACGCATTGGACCGCACTGCAACATGATCTATCTTCTTTCAGACTTGGATGACTGCGCCAGCGGTCCATGTAAGAACGGGGCCGTGTGTGAAGATTTGCTCTTCGATTTCAACTGTGTGTGCGCGCCAGGATGGGACGGTCCGACTTGTGAGACAAGTGAGTAACTGTTGTCTTCAAACCAGATTTTTTTCTTTCCTTTGGTTTGACTTAATGGAGAATATATTCAAATCATTTCTATTTGTATTGTTCATTGTATTTTGTGAATAGATGGTATTACTCTAAAATCTTCTACATCTCGTTTCAGATGTAAACGAATGCGCCAGCAGCCCATGTCAGCATAATGGGCAGTGTCGGGACGGCGTCAACGGCTACACGTGCTCCTGTACTCCAGCTTGGACTGGCAACAACTGCGAATTTGGTAATGAATTGTTCTAATTTAAAAAGCCCTGTCACACATTTAGGACCTTCGTACGACTTTGATCTCGATTACTCCCCAACCAAAGTCGGAATTGGATTTGGAGTGGCCACCCTGTTCTAGCTTCAGTTTGCTCCTTTGATTGCATGTCCTTCTTGAGTTTGATGTTCCAAATAGCGCAGACTACTAGGAGGCAACCTCGCTGACCAACTCCCAACTACAAATGACAACTAACAAACTAACTCCCAACCATGGTCTTGAGAAGAGAGGGCCCTGGTCGTCCACATATAGGCTAATGTAGGAAATTAAGTATGTATTACGATTGCTAACTGTAATATAATTGTAACTGTTCTATAGCGGCATCGCAGGCAGCCTGTGCAGCTTACCCCTGTCAGAACGGCGGAGTCTGCACGGCGAGCGGAAACTCCTACAGCTGTCAGTGCACCGCCGGGTGGGGAGGGCAGAACTGTGACCAAGGTAGGATGTTTCGATGAGGGCTGACACAAAAAGTAGAATATTGCCTTCCTGTCGAAGGACTACATCCAAGCACGGTCCCAAGCCGTATCTTCTGCTACTCGTTGAGCTAATACCGTATCTTTTTCAATATTACACAGTGCAATGTAAATACAAAATGAATTCTCTGAAGACCCGTTTCAGAAAGCACCCGCTATCTTTCATCAGTGACTGATAATCCTAAAGACAAACGTAGATTAGTATCTGAATTGAGAATCAAGTAGCTCCTGTTAACCGGCCACCAGACAGAACTGTAGCTCCTGTGATCCATCCAGTATAGCAAGAGCTACTTAATTTTCATCAGTATGATGTTTGTGACCGGGGATTAAGCTTACAATCGTATATTTTATCCATGACAGACGTGAATGAGTGTTTGAGCTCCCCCTGTCAAAATGGCGGGCTTTGCACGGATATCTTCAACGGCTACAACTGCACATGCGCGGCTGGATACACGGGAAGCAGGTGTGAAACAGGTAAGACAATCTCACTCGAACTTCTCATTAGTGTGGCTTTACCTCTTAACTCTATCCAGAGGCTCTTTTGTTCTTTCTCGACCGGTACCCCCAAGACCTGACTTATATCTCCACACTGACCGTCACCACTTTTGAGTTTACCTTAGATTTATACTAACATAAGCGCATGTTGTATAGCAAGTGTGGGCAATAAGTTGAAGGTCATAAACAGAGACATACATCTAAACAACCACGCGTCTAGACAAGAACTGTACAAGTTAGGGGCCTTCACCGTCATCATCATCTTATGTACTGCTTAGCCCAATTTTACATTGGATTACTAGCAGCTGCACATACAGTATATGTGTTAGTTACAAAACAGGTGACCGGTACAAATAAAAACAAGGGTGACTGAAGGAAGGGACACTAAGGAACGTAAATAACTGAATCTGTGTGTGTAAAAGACAAGACAGTGCATTTAGTGTGAAGAACATATATACAAAACCGTTGACCTAATAGATGCGCAGTTGAGACCGTGAACCACCTGTTCATTCGTTTATTTTACCAGACATTGATGACTGTGCCAGCGGCCCCTGTACTAATGGAGGGACCTGCAGTGATGGAGTCAACACCTTCTCCTGCTCGTGCCCTGCCGGATTCACGGGGATCGACTGTAGCGAAGGTAGGTCGTCAGCGAATCGTTATGATAACGTGGCAAATGATAACGTTAAGTCGTACTAAGATAATGCATACAGATCAAACATATGCTAAACTGGTGCTCCATATCACACAAGATGCAATGGTCGTCATGAGGGTTCACAAGTTACACACTACGCTCGTCATTTATTCAGGTAATTAGCTGCTGATACGGAATCATAGCATCATAACCATTTGATCAAGGAGAATATGTTTCCCTTTTCTGTGGCCACAGTTATCCTACAGCCCCTCACATCTTATCTCTGCACGTTGGACGATGCCGACATCTGTAACTGGAGGCAGGCTGCAGACGACGAGACGGACTTCTTGTGGCTGGACGGACAATGTGGTGGCTATGGACCACCTGGCGACCATACAAGAGGTAAAGTCCATGTCTGTTAATGATGTGTTTCAGCAAGAACGTCTAATAGAACGTCCTTGGTTTCAGTGGCCCATCCTTGTTCAAGATTCGATGCCAGGACCACATCGACCCTGGCATACCGGCCTGCTCAAGCCAGCCCAAGGGCGTACCCGAGGGAGCCACCAGTATAAATATCAACCTATACATGCACGAACAGACGCTTACAAATATTCCTTCTTCCCTCGCACAATCCCCCAATAGAACGCCTTGCCTGGCCCGGTAGTTATGGCTCCCACCGTTGAGTCCTTCCGGGCCAGGCTGGAGGCCTGCCCGCCTTAGACCAAGGCCTCCCCCCTAAAGTGCCCCATCAGGGGCTATATGGGGGTGTAGCCGGGGCTCACATAACATCTTTGAGCCCCGGCAAAGATGAAGATGAAGATGAATCTCCAAGCAGAACCATTCAGGGGAAGGGGACAATCAAATTTGACACCCGAGTTACCGTGGCGACACTGCCTGGCCAATTTGATACTGTACTGTCTTGCAGCCACCAAAAGGTTTGCTTGGAGATTAGCTTCCTAACTTCTGTTTCACCAACGCCCACTTCGTACTTCTCCCCGTAAAGGTCCAGGTGGATATTATCTCTGCTTGGAAGGTTCGACCACACCGCGGGACGGCAAGGCCAGGCTCACCAGCCCGTACTTCCGCGCCACGTCCGACCGGACCCTGAGGTTCTGGTACTACAAGAACAGTTTCGGTTCGTCGGGAATCAGCGTGTACGTCACTTCCGGTGACTCGCTTGGTAACGCCGTTTGGACGTCTCCTTCCGGTAGAGAGGACGAGTGGAGGATGGCGGAGGTCGACATCACAGGGATGCCCCGCTTCCGCGTAAGTTTCTGTACCTGTATAGCCGGTGTAACACACCATGCAGCTTCTGTATCGGCATAGCCGGTGTAACTACCCTTCGGCGTAACAAACCAGCTTCATAGGCACACGGCGGCAGCTGGTTATATTGCAGGGAACGACTTCTTTCACCTAACCTTTATTTGCACATCTAACTGCAGACGTTGTTTAAAGCTATCTGGTGATGATGCCCCTCCTGTACTTGGTAGCTACTTGAAAATACGAGTCGAGTTTTTGACATAGACACATCGAAAACAAAACCTTCGTACACTGTGATACGTTCCACAGCATGGTTGGCCGAATATCTTAAAACTGGCTGTATTTTTTCCAGGTCGTTTTCGAAAGTGAGAAGGTTGGGTTTACCTACGCAGACCTTGGCATTGATGATGTGTCCATTGAAGATCCAGGTAACTTACGTATCATTGACATAAGAGAGCCTTTTACTTTGATTTACACAAACATAGTATGTAGGCATATGAATTATCACTTGATAAGTTGGATTTTTTCTGAAGATATCATTATTATTATTATTTCTGATTTATAAAAAATAATCGCTTATTATGCTACCACGTGTACACTTTCATAGATGTTCATTTGGATGGCTTTTAGTTACGTTGGCTGTTATTTTTCACGACCAGCAAGTGACGAATGCCAGAGCAATCCATGTCAGAATGGAGGGGTCTGTGTGGACGGCCGCTACAGCTACACCTGTACATGTACGCCAGCATGGGCCGGGCTGTACTGCGAACTGCGTACGTCTTTTTTGCTTGTTTCTCATACTAGTAACCCTCAAACCACCTGTAGGCGTAACACGTACACTACCAATTTTGTAGAGTAGGCCCAAGCTGCGTAAGACTGGATTGCAAGTTTTTATCCACTCACACTGGTATAGACCATTCCTTAATCTTTTCCATATATGTGGTAAGTTATTCCTGTCAGTCTGCGGTTATATCATTCCTCCCCAACTTCTTGTGACTTTACTGTATTTGTATTTTGTATTTTCATTTATTGGCAATGGCACACAGTATACAAGTAACTACAGACAGACAAACAAGCATATAAACAGACAAGGACACTTGTTGTGCCTCCAGCTCGCGGTTCGGCAGACTTTGAGGACGATCTCAGCGCCTTCATGTACACACAAGCCACGGATGACGACATGGACTGGTTACGGAACTCTGGCGGCACTCCGACCAGTGGTACCGGCCCCTCAAGCGATCACACCACTGGAAACGGTACGTCTGTACTTAAAATACTCTGCTTTTTCATACCTTCTGCCACTTCATGCTATAGTTTTGCATTACCAATATATTTCTCTGTTTTAGTCGACAGTTGTTTATAAATACGAATACATTAATAATGGACTGAGCACCATACTGGGGCATTTGTCTTTGTAATACATTCGCATAGTCAGCTGGTGTTCAATCTTTGAATGTTCATGTAGGGTCATGGCAGATGAGGGACTAATGATAAAGGTGATCATTTACAATTACTAATTAATAGATTTGATGATAACGTTTTCCAAACCTTTTGTGTTGAGTGTATATTCATGGCACTGATCTAACCTACTTGATCTTCCAGGTCATTACATGTACGCCAAAGCGTCCTTCATCAACAGAAACAAGGTGGCGAGACTGGAGTCCCCCGTCATACAGCCTACAGCCGGGTCATGTCTGCAGTTCTTCTACCACATGTACGGGTCACAGATAGGAACACTCAGCGTGTTCGTGAGACCAGATGGACAGCCGCTGGGTAACTCTGTCTGGAGCCGGACCGGCGAGCAGGGAGACCTGTGGCAGAAGGGAGAGTACGAAGTCGTGATGCAACAACCTTTTCAGGTACTACGTCTTCTCGGTTTCGTGATCTCTTAGAACCTACTACTAGTCGGTCTCTTCACTGATTATGTAATGAAAACTAGACTGTTGCCAGGGTCAGTATACAGGCTAGCTCCACGGCCACAATTCTTTTGTAGCACTATTTTTTCTACTATCATAACTGCACAAGTAAATTGATACCATCCTCAGTATGTCACCGTTTGGCTATGACATATTGTCACCATTGGCGTGGTTTATTCTCAGGTGGTGTTTGAAGCTGTGATCGGCTCGTACTTTCGAGGAGACATTGCTCTTGACGATGTACTGGTGGAAATCGGTCAATGTGATTCACCAGGTAAGGTTTTTCTACATGTTTGTGTTTAAACGTCACATTTAAGATGTGGATGTTCTGCCTTCATCAATTTATGGCTTATCTTTTACTTTCTATTCATTTTTTTTCATTTTCATACGGTACCAATTTTACTAGGAAGATTAGATATACTTAAAGATGTTCCTTTAGGCCCTGGGAACGAATTTCAATAACCAAATGTCATATTTCCTCTTTTTTCCCTTCAGACTTCGACGACTGTCTGAGCAATCCATGTCAGAATGGCGGAGTTTGCCAGGACGGCCTGGGGCAGTACAGTTGCACCTGTCCGTCTGGCTGGCACGGCACACAATGCGAACTAGGTCAGTGGGTATTTCTTTCCATAAACTGTACTTTGTTCGAATGGATAACAGCAAGAGTTGCTTAAAGCTATGTGCTAGTGACTATGCCCCTACTGCAGTTGGTGGTAGAGAGTTCCACTCCACGATAGTTACCAGTTGTAGAAAATACAAATTTAAGGCTATAAGAAAAAAATTGAAGTCCATACTACATGTACAATTTATATCCCCCAAACCACAGCTGAATAACATTTTAAACATTCCTTTGCAGACAATGACGCTTGTGCGTCGTATCCGTGTAGAAACGGAGGGACGTGTAACGACGGGCCGACTGGATACGTCTGTGCGTGTGCTCCAGGGTGGGCCGGGACGGACTGCGAACGGGGTCTGTATTTCCCACAGCTTGTTCTGAAAGCTAGTCTAGTTCATATACACACACCAAAGGACTCTTAGTACGGCAACTTTGAATGTTGCTTCGTGATGGCTGCACGTGTATTCAACATGCCACTCATTCAACTCAAGTTGACTGAGATACAATTATTGAATTTCTGATTTCTGGGTGATAGCAGTGAAGTTCAAAACTTTGTTAAATGTAGAGAAAACATTCAATGCCTTAATCCCTTCAATCCAATGCAGAACCTAACGAAACTGTGCTGCAATTATTTACTACATTTATGTACAATGTGGTAGCATTTTTTTTTCATTTTCAGAAATTAACGAGTGTGAAACGAACCCGTGTTACAACGGCGCCGTGTGTATCGACCAAGTGAACGGATTCTACTGCAACTGTACCGAGGGATGGGAGGGCTTCGACTGCCTCACTGGTGAGGGCATTTTACTTTTCTGTTGTTTCGCAATATTGAGAAACTAGTTTTGTTAAGTAGGTACAGTCTACACTAAGACCAAACTGTATGGTTTGATCCTCTTCTGCTAAACGATTATCATAGGGGATGCTATGTGAACGTCTAGCTCTGAAGACAATTTATCCATTTGTTTGATTTACTATATATCACGTATATGACCTATACTCATGCAGTCCCTGTGTTGCAGCCGACCAGAAATTCAATTCTTTTTTATCAAATGTAGATATAAATGAGTGCCTGAGCCAGCCGTGCATGTTTGGTGGAGCTTGCACAAACGGAGTGAACGGCGTTTACACATGCAGCTGTCAGCCAGGATATCAGGGACAAGACTGTGAGCAGGGTAAGTGATAAACATAATCCCAATGATCTTGTCATCGTTTCCATGTTGAAAGACCTGAGAACAGGATTAGGGATGTAAATTCAATCTCCCTGTCAGTGTGCGGTTATACGATTTTCCCCACACTTCCTAACTCTCTTCTGTATCCAAATAAATAATAAGACAGAAGCAAGCCAAGAAGCAAACAAACAAACAGACAAACCATCGAAAACAAACCTCCGCACGCGGACTAAGGTAACGATAACTCCTCGCCATTTTCTGTTCCTGTCGCGCTTCTGTATTCAAATAACCATGAGACACAAGCAAACAAACACACCGAAAGCAAAATCTCTGCACATGGAGCTAATAACAATAACTTCTTCCAGTGCTGCTGTACTCTGAGGCCTCCTACAGCTGTGACTTCGACACGGACCTGTGCAGCTGGGAGCAGGACCAGCAGACCGACCAGCAGGACTTCCTGTGGAACAGCGGGAAGTGCGGCACATGGGGACCGAACGAAGCACATGTACCAGGTCAAGGGCACTCGTATATAATAGTGATTAAAAAAAAAGGAAACACCAATCTCCAAGCAGATTCTAATGGTGGCAAGGTAATAACCACTCTCTTGGCCAAAGATGGCTAATGTTCAGTTCTCCCTCCAATGGTTATTACAGCCTCGCCAGGCAGATCTTTAATCTGCTTGGAGATAACACGCTAGGGGCGGCAGGCATGGCCAAGAGCTGTCTGCTGGCCATAAATCGTGACCCTGGCATGTCCAGAACGCGAGATACGAGATATCGAAACCATAAGCTTTGTGGTGCCATGGGGAGCCGCAAGGGAACCCAAAATCTAATGATTTCTTCGATAGGACAAGACATAGAAAATGCCAAATTTCATGAACATAATTCGTTCGTAGCTTCTTGAATAATGGGGCTAAACCGGATCCAAACATACATACACATACACATACAATAACATTTATCAGAACAAACGCTATCTAAAAAGCATATTAGGCATATGTAGCAATGACTCTACTTTATCACTACTTTTACAGGTGGCCATTACCTGTGTATGGACACCGCTCACAGCCTGGCTCAGAACGCTGTGGCCAGGCTGATCAGTCCCGTGTTCGTCCCCCAAGTGCACATCAACAGGGTGCTGCGGTTCTGGTACTACAAGAACGTGCTCGGGAACTCGGGATTCCGGGTCTACCTGATGCTGAACGGGAATCTGGACCCGAACCCGGTCTGGGAGGAGAACAGCAGGGGGAACGACTGGAGGATGGCAGAAATCAACATCGATGGAAGGAGTCAATTCCAGGTGAGTCGTTTGTACGCGTTTCTGAACTCTGGCGTCCAAAAACTCTAGGACACATGCTTGAAAGCATTTTCAGCTTATGATGTGCCTAAGAAAGAATTTTTCTACGCGATGATAGCAATCCTAGGTATGAGTGAAATGGGCGCAATACATTTACCTGAATTTACCTGAATTGCAGAGACTACGTCTCTGCAAATCAGGAGCCAGAAGGCGGGTAGCCCTTAGTAGCTCCTATGGTCATCTTCTTCCGTATGTATTCGTCGATGCTACTCTTGAATCTGTTTACTGACGTCTTATTCACCGTCTCCGGTGGTAACTTGTTCCATTCCTGGATCACTCTGACACTGAAGAATGTAATGGAAACATATAATGCCGCTGTCGTATTAGTCATAGACATCCGTAGGTAGTTTACAGGTAGAGAAAACTTGCGACAACCTCGTTAATTGTAGGCAAACTGCATGTGAATTCAGCAATCCCCAAGCATTGTTTGCCCCTGCTGAACATGTTCAAAATTGTTCGTAGTCGTATGTGGTTTCCATGTTCTGATTTCATGCCCATTTTGCGGAATTTACATATTTTTGTGTTTTTAAGGTCGTCTTGGAGGGATTCAGAAGTGGAGGCAACCTGCTGGATCTTGCCATTGATGATGTTACTATTGTTGATCCAGGTGATATACTGTTTGGAATGACGTTACGTGTTTTTGGTAAGGTGCTTTATTGTGTAACACTAACGACTGTTACCTTGTTTGTATTTGCCATCAAAATCAAAATCAATTACTGACTTCATATCCCCAGATCAGAATGAGTGCAGCAGCAACCCCTGCATGAACAACGGAGTCTGTAACGACGCTTTATTCTCCTACACCTGTGCCTGTCGGCCACAATGGGTGGGGGCACACTGTTCTTACGGTAAGCACAATTTTTAAGGTACATTTATGTGCAGATAATTCAAGATCAATTCAAAACAAAGACGCGCTGCGTTTACAAATCTTTGACCAGTTAGTTGAGCATTAAGAGTGCCAAATCATTGAAGTCCTTGGGTAAATAGTTTTAACTTTTATATGAAGACAGAATTCTGAATTTTTTTACTGAGTAGTTTTCCTCTTCTTCCAGGAATTGGGTCTTGTGACTTTGAAGAGCCCCTGTCCAACTACGTCTATCTTCAAGACAGCGCAGATGACTTTGACTGGACCGTAGTTTCAGTGGCCAATAGGAGACCCTCCACAGATCACACCACAGGGACCGGTGAGCAGGCAGAGTATTCAGTTGTTCCGCTGGATATCGTTATGATTTAGTTAGGAGAATCTAGGTTATTTTCAGCCCAAAAATGCGTGTCATGGATTCCTGTTTCACTATATGAATGCTAGTACAGTTGCAGGGTAGTGCTTTCTGAATAGCCCATAATTGTATGGAGTCAAATTTGGCAAATTTTATTTTTTCATTGGGATTATCTTTTAAAGCATTTGCCCATTTTGATACAGAAATAATTTTAGAATAGTTCATTTTGCTAGCATTGGATGGATTCCAGGCTACTCTCAAACCAGTGCCAACTTCGGTCGGGAGCAAAGTCTTGGTAAGGTCCTGACTGGGTTGATTTTCCTCTCACAGGTTCATATGCTTATATTGGAAGTACGGGAGGATCTTCCGGAGACAAGGCGCGGCTGCTCTCCCCCAGCCTGCCCGCCACCGCGGCGTCATGTCTGCAATTCTGGTACTACATGAGCGGTGCAGGGGTGGCGAGCCTGAACGTCTACACGCGGCAGCAGCAGCAGCCGGACGTGCTGGTGACGAACATCACGGGAGACCAGGGGGACCAGTGGGGGATGAAGGAGGTGGAACTGGTGTCCAGCAGTGACTACATGGTAGGTCCTGCTACCATGTGAGGGCGAATCGCCTGTAAACTTATGAAGATTGCATGGTTTGTTACTGTCAGTCAGTCAGTGACCACCATCAAGCTGCATAAATGATCACCTTTTCATATTTAGGAAATATAAGTATGTGACCATTTTTGGTGGTCCCTTAGTTTTGCCAACTAAGGAACTAAGAATGCTGACAATAGTGACCACCTGTTCACATATGTCGTTCCCCTGATTATTCTTCTTGTGCAGTTTTAACTGTATTCTATTTGATACTGCATCTTGAAAGTGTTGGTACGGAAAGTTGACTTTAAATTCCCAACACCTTTCCTACAGATCGTCTTTGAGGGTATCAAAGGCACTGGATTAAACAGAGACATCGCCATAGATGACATCAGTCTGACAAACGGGGCATGCACGTCGCCTGGTAAGTACCGATGAAACCTCATCATAGATTTTTGATAAATATCTGTTTAACTACAAATTCCATTAGTCACAGACAAAAATAGTGGATGCTACCGGTCCTGTTGCTTGTCTCCTCATATATGATTTCATTTGCCGGTATTATCAGTACCCCATCCTTTTATCTGTCTCCTTTGTGATATAAATCGTTTTTGCTTCGTTCCTTCCTTACACAGAGTTCAACGACTGCAGTAGTAGTCCATGTCTCAACAACGGCGTTTGTGTGGACGGACTTGGCCAGTATTCCTGCACCTGTACGTCTGGGTGGTATGGGAACCGATGTGAATCCAGTAAGGAAATATGTCCTTTTTGTTGTGACGTTTTAGACAGATGTTTGTTTTTCTTCTTTGTTAATTGAATGGTGCTCCTACATGACTAAATATATGCTTACAGATTTGTTAGGACTTCAATCATGTAATCTGTATCTTGTTATATTTGGTCTTACCCTTACCTCTTCCCTTATTACCTCATTGAAAAGCGGCCAATAGGCTCAAACTATTATCTGTGTTTTAGACTCGGTCGTGTGTGCCAACTCGCCTTGTCAGAATGGAGGAACATGTGTGCCAAGCGGTGGTAGCTTTACCTGCCGCTGTTTGGCCGGATGGTCTGGACAAAACTGCCAAATAGGTGAGCTGTACTGACGGACTACTTTGATATTGCTGGATAACGTTTATCTTTCGAGATTGGGCTTGCAATCTGACGCCAGAAGTCCAGTTTTAAAACCTTTCTTCACTTACTCTTCCATACTTTTATGCAGACACAAACGAGTGTTCAAGCAACCCGTGTGTGCACGGCCAGTGTATTGATGTAGTCAATGGCTACAACTGTGACTGTGAGCCCGGGTGGATCGGTACTCGTTGTAACCAAGGTAAATGTAGTTGCGAGACGAGTTTTTTTTAATAGACCACACCACTGGAAACAGAAATAGCTACAAATGAATACAATTGTACAATGATGTAACTTTGCAATTTTTATACCACCACTCCAATATTGAGCTTACACTTCACAATCGCATATGATCCTATGCCACATTTTACGCATGTATTATAAACCACAGAAGGATAGTTGTTGTGCCACACAACCTGACACACAAGATTTGAAATTGTCACTCGACCAGATAACGAAACACTGCTGCTAATTTTTACAGATATTGACGAGTGTGCCAGCGGTCCGTGCCAGAATGGTGGCGTGTGCACAGACCAGGTCAACGGTTACGTGTGCAGCTGTACCTCAGGGTTTACTGGTACAAACTGCGACCTGATCGAAAGTAAGAAATGTTGTTTTCGGATCTGCAGAAGATTAATGTAACTGTATGCAAGCTTATCCTCAATGATACATCAAGCTAGCGTATTTCAACGCATGAAACCGTCGAAAAGAAGTTTGATATCTTACGTTATATTGACATGCTCTGTTGCAATATGGGCACTAGAATCGTCGTAAAGCTTATAGCAAATTATTTTAACTCCCTCCCTGCTCTCAAACCCCATAATTAATACAGTTTGTCTTATTTATAATACAGTATTGGAACAGGGAGAGAGTTAAAAGGATCTGGCTACAAACGGCTACATTTTGTACCTTAGCAGACCGAACGTTAAGGTAATTCATGCATTACGATCACCTACCATATTGTGTTCATCTGCATCTTCTAGTTACCATCGCTCCACAAACTCCCTACCGCTGCGACTTCGACACGAACAACTGTGGATTCGTACAAGCGACGGACGACGACGCAGACTTCGTCAGACTGACGGGGAAGTGTGGCAACTATGGCGCACCTGCTGATCACACTACAGGTAGGTATATGTACCTCATAATATCTTGGCTGTTTTGAGTTACATCGTTGAAATATGGCGTATTTCTGTGAACATCACCAGACTGTTTCATCATCTAAGAAAAATGATGGGCGCATAGAGTTCAACCTCATTAATACAGGCTACTAATGTGGTTGTGCGGATATGCATGGATGACATTAAAATGCCCATATTAGCAATGCTCTGAATGGCACTTCACACAGATGTTCTTGAGAATTCGTCTCATAAAATCTTCCTTCGCTAGGGAGGACCCATATTTTTAGCACTGGGATAAGGCATGTACTTGTACACCGAACGATACACATGTATTAAAGTTAAAACAATTCTGCAGGTCAGAACGGTTACTACATGTGCTTGGAGAGCACCCTAACTCCCAACACCATGGCAGCCATGTACAGCCCGACTTTTGTCACAACTTCCCCGAGGAAACTACGATTCTGGTTCTACAAGAACACGATCGGAGACTCGTTCATGGAGCTGACCGTCACGACCCACGGTAGTACCGGTCAGCCGAACAACGTTGTCTGGACGGCAGACGACAGATCATCCGACTGGAGGATGGCTGAGCTTGATATACCGGCCGGACGGTTCGAGGTAACATTAAAAACACGCATAAAACTTACAACGTTTATGACAAATGTCAGTATTATGTACGTGTCGTCACTATAGACAGGATCCTTAATGCTCATTACAATGGCCAAAAATTCATCTAAGGGACGACCAGAAAGTGGCCACATTGATCAGGTGGTCCTCATGCACAGGTGGTCATTTCAACATTTGTACATGTTTGACTGTATTTTTATGTTCTACCATCACCTTGCCTTACAGCTTACCTTTAGAGGAGTGAAGAATGGATACAGGAGTACAGATTTTGGCTTCGATGACATACAGATCCTCGATCCAAGTGAGTGGTATTGAAATGATTGATTTCATTATTTTAGAATGGTGACAATTGGACTGCACTTCATCTGATATGGTCTTATAAAGTGTTTGCACAATTTCTCTGTTCATAATCAAGATCCTGGTAGGCTGAACATTAAACATCTATAACTTTGCATGACATATATATGTAACATATAGAATATTTGTTGCCATACTTAACACCTTGTGTAACTGTTGTATAATAGGTTCACATGTATGAAATACATGTTTGTGTTGTACCCACAGATACAAATGAATGCGCCAGTTTGCCTTGTCAGAATGGAGGAATCTGCACAGACGGGGACTTCACCTTCACTTGTACCTGTAGGCCACCGTACACTGGAGCTCTCTGCGAAACTGGTAACTTCTCAATGATGGTATTTCATAAACAAGACGGAGAGTACTCTATATTCTAGGAAGTAATGTCTGATTTAAAATAACAGAAATAAAACTCCAAGATACAGCATTATTTCAAATGTAGGTTGAAGAAATGTGAATGAAGTCCTCTACACTGCATATGATTTTCTCCCTTTTCAGACCATGATTACTGCTCGAGTCAACCATGCAGTAATGGCGGGACGTGTCTAGATTTACAAGATGGACATTCATGTATCTGCCCGGTAGGATTTGGTGGAGACGACTGCACAAGATGTAAGTAGCATAATTATCATTCTTTATACATGTACCATAGGGAGGGAAACATACTTTTTTTGTTGTGCTTTCGTAGGTGGATTTCCAACGGTTTGTAACTAAAACGGTAAATGTATGATAAGCAAATCATGCTTTACAGATGTGTTACAAGATGATGTGCTGTACCTATGTGACCTTGAGAATGACCTGTGTGGATGGGAACAGATGAGTTCCCCCGATGATACAGCCGACTTTACTGTCATCCCGAGTGGGAAGTGTGGCATCAGTGGGCCTGATGGCGACCGGACAACGGGTAAGTCAAGATGGTAACACTGGATAAACATAATCAGTAAAGACAATCATACCGGTAATTGCGAGACATGTGGCTAGAACTCAAATTTCAAATGGTGGCAATCTGAATATACAGATGATTTGGCATGTGTGTAGACCATGTATAAAAGTTCAATATTTCTTGGTAAAAACAACAGGTTGAAAAGGTTGAAACAACACAATACACTTTACGTCTATCGTATTCACTTATAAACAGGCACTGGCTCCTATATCTGCATGCCTACTGGGGCACGCAATGGCAGAGCCCGACTGAGAAGCCCCATATTCACAACAACCGGCAATGTCGGGAGGACCTTGTCTTTCTGGTATGTACTCCGGTTCAGTTTCAGCATGTGATAATTAGATTTCTCCTAGATGCTGTCACCATTTCAACAAGCATGCTGCAATGGTGGGACGTTGAACAGTTCAACAAGCCAGGCCTTCAATTCTAATTTGGTTTATTTAGTTCCATTTTAGTTCAGGCGAATCATCAGGTCTCTTTTGTTCTAATTCTATTGTTCTCAGCCTCCAATGATTTTGGGTTCAGCAACTCACTTGACGTAGGAAAAGAGTAACATTCCAATTTCACTACTAACGCTGTAACGGTTGGAGAATACCTAGTACATGTACTGCTAACATCCCATGATGAATTGCATTTCCCACAGGTATTACAAAAACACCCCAGGTGACTCTACTTTGAGAGTGTACCTGATGCTTGATGACAACGCGCCTGTAGGGCAGTATGTCTGGAGCGCTACCGGCCAGTCGGACGAGTGGAGAAGGGGCAGAGTTGATGTCAACGACACCGCACAGTTTAGGGTATGATTTACGTAAAAAGCTTTTGGGGTTTTATGTTTACAATTACCACCGCATCTCCGTCGAAGAGATTCATACAAGGGCATGGTGACGAGAACGCTGTTGTTTTTGTGACAGGTGATCTTCGAGGGGTATCAAGACGGTTTTAACCCGGCAGACATTGGACTTGACGACATCGCATTTCTTGATCCAGGTAGGAAGTTTTCAACATCAACAACTGGACAATATTACTTAATGATACTCAAAATGACTAATGCAAAGGACTATGTCATAGAAACTATTCATCTTATGCTATGTTTGTTTTTGTTTCCCATTGAAATAAAGATGTTGACGACTGCTTGAGCAACCCTTGTCAGAACGGCGGGTCCTGTGTGGACATGGTCCACGCGTACATGTGCCGCTGCCTCGGCGGATGGACAGGAATAAACTGTGACGAAGGTAGGACAGTTTTTCTAATTTCATTATCTTCTCTTATTAATCAAGTCTCTACCAGAAACTACCCTGGCTATAGGAAGAATGATATCCATTGAGTACTTAGGAACCACTTAAAAAAAACTGGTTGAATGTGTAATTCGATTGTCTAACTTTTTTGGGGGGGGTTCTATTTATAGGATCATTTATATCTATTTGCGTAACAATTTGGCCATTCTTGTACACGATCACTTTAGGTACGTTGCTTGTCTTTTATATTTTCAAAGTATACTCCCAAGACTTGCATCCGATGTTTGATTCATGCCTAATCAGTGATGCTATCCATTACAGTGTACGGTGCGATCGACTTTGAACGTGAGCTGCAGTTCTACGGTTACATACAGAGCAGTGATGACGATTTTGACTGGACAATTGAGTCAGGAAATACTGCATCATCACTGACCGGGCCAGACAGTGACCACACCACTGGATATGGTATGTCGATCCTTAATATCACTGTACGTCAATGATATGGGTCTGTATGTATATATGATATACATGTATATCATATATACTGATGTCATATCATATAATATAAATGTAAAGCGGATACTATCAATGGTCATATATTACGTTGATTACACCATTTTTAACATAGTTAATGAGATACTCAATAAAACAGAACTTACTGTGTGTGTGAAGACAGTTGAGTGAAAGCACATGGTTTGGGGGGGGGGGTACCTAACTACAGACCACAAAAGATTGGACACGGAAAATTACGTCCCAAAAGGCCGTTAGCCATCAAGAAGTTAGTATTGCATCTATTGACCGGTATCAGTGGTAATATGCATATACAAACGTATACAGAAATTCACAATAATGAATCAATCCTTCCATTGGAAACCCCGTGCAGGTCAGTACGCTCACATCGAAGCCACCGGGCACGGCGGGGGTCAGAAGGCCCGCCTGTCGGGGCCCATCATGCCCATCACCAGCGGGACGTGCCTCCAGTTCTACTACCACATGTACGGCCCCTCCATGGGCACTCTCTCCCTCCCTCCCCCTTCTCTCTCGATCTCTTTCTGAATAGAGCTGTTGGTCTATATAGGTCCCAGAAGCAAGGAGTTGGCCTGGAGTCCTTTTGATGGCAGTTGGATATTAGACATAGGAATTCACAATAATGAATAAAACAAGAAGTTCACAAATACTCAATAATTAAAAATATTTCAAAGACGTAATTATGAAAAATTTCTTACTGCTAATTTCCCCGAGCAGGTCAGTACGCCCATATCGAAGCCACCGGGCACGGCGGGGGTCAGAAGGCCCGCCTGTCGGGGCCCATCATGCCTATCACCAGCGGGACGTGCCTCCAGTTCTACTACCACATGTACGGCCCCTCCATGGGCACGCTGAACGTGTACACCCGCCACATCGGACACGGCCTGGAGCAGCCCGTCTGGAGCCTCACCGGGGACCAGGGCAACCAGTGGAGGATGGCGGAGGTGGAGATCGTGGACAACAGAGCATACGAGGTATTTACTACCGTAGATGTAGTGGTAGTGAATATTCACTGGATCAGGTTTTATGAGTTAAGGCTAGATCTCTTCTGTTGTGGATCTTAACGCTGAGCACCATGCTTATCGCTATCCTATGCTTATGATAGAGAAAACATCTGCCTGTCTCAATCTAAACCTCTGCAAACAGACGAACATAACATAGTGTCAGAAGTAGGATCCGAACCCTCGCCTTGACATACGAGATCAGTTAGTGTAAAAAATACATTTAATTCACGGTGGGTTAATTTTACACACTAACTGTTATGTCCAAGTGTGGGTTTGGATCCCACTGCTGACACCATGTTATGCTTTTTGGTCTGCTTGTACGAGAGATTTAGGTTCTCTAGTTTAATATGTGGCGTTAGTCAGTAACCGAGGCCAAAATTGTTTAAAGCGCTACATTTAAATTCTTTAAACCAATACCTACCACTTATCAGTTATTTTCTCCTGCAGATTGTTTTCGAAGGTGTTACAGATGGAGTTTTGTCGGATGCGGCGATAGATGACGTCACTGTTTACAACGGAGCTTGTCAGTCAGGAAGCGGTAAGGAAGGACCACTTTTCTGCTGGACAGTGTGCTTACATGACAACTTATAATATGTATATGATAAAAGAAAACAGATAAAATTGTTTCTATTTCTTGCTGATTTCTTTCATCGATCTCTTTCAATATCTCAAAGTACCTGACAATATCACAAAGTTAATGTACTCTTCTTGCTTTTCACAGAATATGACGATTGTGCGAGCAACCCTTGTCGCAACAGTGGTACGTGTCAGGACGGGGTAAACAGCTACACATGTCGCTGCCCACCTGGCTGGTATGGGACCCACTGTGAATTAGGTGAGTTTACGATGCAAATTGATGAAAGCTCTCGAGTTGGTCTTGTGATTAGGGTTGTTGACCTCTAAATCTCAAGGTTTTTGGTTCGAATCATTTGGGTTATGGTGCAAATTGATGAAACCCTCAAAGAGAAATGTAATGGCAATTTCGACCCGGGAAAGAGTGTTCGAAGAGTGGCACTTTCTGCCAACAAGTACATGTAGAGGCATCCTCAATAGATAGTTATTAACAACACTTGCAATTAGGTGTAACAGGTCGTTCAGCTGCCTGGCCGCGCGCCCTTGAGGCTGGAGTGTCAACTGAAGGGCAGTTATACAGGCTATACAGATGCAGCGCGAAAAACTCTTACTCGTTGCTTAATTGGCTTTTATCAATTTGGGAATTCCATTGACCAGATCGTATACGTTTGATACAGATAACGCGGCTTGTAGCAGCTACCCCTGTCAAAATGGCGGCGTGTGTTCCGGTGGAAATTTTGACAACTACGTCTGTAGGTGCCAAAGGGGCTGGACGGGAGACAACTGTGATGTCGGTAAGGTTCATGGTCTTGTCTCATCTACCAGGAGAAAGTAGGGTCTTTCAAAAATACGTATCGAAGAGCACAAAGTCAGTCATCAGTGGGCATTAAGTGCTGGTTCATGGCGTCTGTAGACATCTCTCTCCCGGCTGTTCTATTTTATCACACTACTTCTGCATAAAACCTCGAACAGGCACTTTGTTGTTCATTTCTTTTACTTTGTTTTATTTTGTTCTGATTCAGTTAGTTTGTTCTTTCTGCTCACTTATACATTGAGTATGTGTCATGCAGTCTGAGTGGCCGGTTTCTACAGATGGTAGTGGACAGTAGGGTTTCCTTTCACTTTCATCTTTTTATTGTATCTCTTGTTATTTGCAGACGTAGACGAGTGTTCTTCGAGTTCAAGTCTTTATTGCCAAAACGGAGCGACATGTGAAAACCTTCAAGGGTCCTACACATGCCACTGTGCGTCAGGCTGGATAGGGAACAACTGCGAAACCAGTGAGTAACAACTTTGTCATGCTCTTCTCGACATGTAAAATCAAGGTTCACATGAATCCAATTTTGGTCGCTCAGCACTCGTTGACTTAATCGAAAAGAGGCCAAGGAACCATTAAAACCATAAACCATTACAAACGTGACTGTAATGTAAAGTGCAGGTGAGCGTGCTTAACCGGCTGCAATAATGATATGAATTGCAAGGGGGCGGTTACCATTTTTCTGTCCACACTTTCAGACGTTTGCACGAACAATCCGTGCACGAATGGCGGGACGTGCCAGGTCGCCCAGAACGCCGTGCAGGGATTCCTGTGTCTGTGCCAGCCCGGATTCGATGGATCAACGTGTAGCCACAGTAAGTCTTTAAAAAAGTATACAGTCATGACATGTATCTGTAAATTTTGAAAGGCTTGCAGTGGTTTTTGCGGTTACCTCTCCCATGTAAATTTAAGATTCATGATACAGCAAATATGCATTTCCAATGCATTACTAACCCTACTAAGAAACTGTTCCAACTGCAGATTTAGAATACAGCGAAACCTATCGCGAAAGTATAAATTCCCATGTATACATATATGTAACTTAAGATTTATAGAGAATTGCATACATGTAGCGGTAAAATTTGTCTACGTTTGCCATAAGGTCCATTCAAGTCCAAATTAATCTGCTGCGTGAACGAAACACATTTTCAAGATATAACACGGTCTTGTTCTGTTGTTTTTCCCTAGTCTCAGTAACCCACGACAGACCTGTTTCGTGTAACCTGGAAGTTGACGACTGTGGCTGGGAGAACACGGTGGTCACCACGGATGACCTCGACTGGTTCCGAACGCAGGGTGGCAACTGTGGCTCCAGCGGACCCGCACAGGACCACACCACTGGGCGTAGGTGTCCAAATAACCTGTCCTACACAAGATATACATGTAGGAGACTTCAGACTTACAGGAACTATTGGAGGGTCCCTCATACAATCCTTTTTTTTTAATCCCGTCGACTTTTAATTCTTGCTGGCGCACGACTAGAGCCATTTCCTATGTACACAGGAAATGGCATACTTCGGAACGTCATACAGAATGACTCGAGGCTGACAGGTCAGGCATGTGTTTGACCTGTCAACCTCCTGTCATTCTGCCTGTCAATTTTCCCCCACCCACATGCTCTCAACCAACTCTGTCCGGACAAACATACACACAAACCCACAGACAACGCACCCAAAACTATAGCTTCGTACTCAAAAGTAATGGCGATTGTGTATCTCTTGTTTACAGAAGCATCCGGTACTTTCTTCTGCGTCGTGCCGCCAAGGGGAGTCTTCGATGACAAAGTCGCGCAGCTCTGGAGTCCCTCGTACACCAGTAACACTTTCACCATCAAAACGTTCACGTTCTGGTACTACTCCACCAGTGTGGACGTCCTGAACGTGTTCCTGGTTGTTGACGAGGTGATCGGGACGTTACTGTGGAGCGGGAGTTTCGCACGAGACACCAGAGCTGCTCAGTGGAGAGACGTGCAGGTCAATGTGTCAGCCAGTCAGGACTTTAGAGTAAGTACGCACTGTCAGGTTTTTCAGTGCTTGGTGATTTTACTAGCGCATCGGCAGCAGGGAAAGTGCTGGGATAACCATTATTTACTAGCAGTAGACTTTGTGCAATTTCTACTGGCATTGGTACGACCTTATGAAGATATAATTGTGCAATATTCCTGTGGATCGCCAGATGGTGCATATATCCAAAGAAGCATGACACTTTTGGCCATTGGAGTTAAGATCCGGTACGAAATCTGTGAAGAAGTATTCTACATTTTTGGTAACAGTAGCCTTTTTCTCATCAACAATATCATGTATCAGTTACCTATTTCTTTGTTTGTTTGTGCCTTTATTTATACTCGATTTTATATCGTATGTACAATATATATCACCCCATTCAGCCATTTCTCAATAGCATATTACATAGAATTATATGTCCAGCTCTACTAAGAGTTTCCCTTTTTTTATCACCAGATCGCCATTGAAGCCCACACCAGAGGCCGTTCAACCCCCATTGCCTTAGACGACATCACGATCTCCGACACAGGTAGACTCCACATTTAGCACAATGATAAAATGATAACAAATACTTCTTTGCAACTACGCATTCAGTTTGTGATAGTACAACGATTGCACGACGTATGTAACTCAGATAGCCTTAGGTTACACTCGTGAGGTCTCTCTGTCTACTACAATCTATTGATACTTTGATGTGGTACAGATTAAGTTTCTGACGGAGATCATCTGGTATAATTTCAGGCATATCCTACACACCAGGGAGGACCACGTTACCACCCGGCACCACAACAACGACAACAAGGCCCACACCTCCTGTGACTGCAACAGACCAACCCAGACCAACGTATCCAACATCAACAACGCCCAAACAAGAAGATACCGACAACGGTGGCTCGTCTCCACTTGTGGGCATCATCGCCGGCGTCAGTGTGGGCGCCCTGGCTCTTATAGCCATTATCATAGGAATCGTTTTCTACATAAGAAGGAGAAACGCCGCCGGCCAGGGAGGCGGCGGTCTGAGAGAGAAGGAAGACATCGGGATGAAGGAAATCGGGAAAGGCGGAAATGACTATGTCGCATTTGACGAAGACGGCACCGGAAATGGTCAGGCGGGGATAGACAATCCGTTGTACATCGACCACCCGCTGTTCAATGCTTTAAAGCTGGGGAAAACAGGTGACGATTCAGAAACTTAACTAGAGCTTCTGACTCGAATCATCTTTAGATATTTTCCAATCTCATGATCATCGGGAAAGATATTGGAACGAAGATGCTGACCAACCTTGACGAATACAAGAGACTGTTTCGCCATATCTTGTAGATTTACATTTATAGGATCTTATAGAAACCAACTCACTGCCCTCTGTCCTTGTAGACATTTTATAATTTCCTTTCATATCTCTCTACTTTGGATTCATATCTTTCTACTTTGGAATAAAAGGGACCAAAACACCTCTCTGTCTTTATGTCCATAACATGTAACTTCTCTGTCATTATGTCCATAACGTGTGTAAATGTGGGCGTTATTTGCATGATTAATGTTGATATTTTCAAATAACGTTCCAAAGGAAAAGATTTTCACACAATATATGAGACCGCCAATTGGAACCTAATTACCATAAACAATGACTTACAATGGAACAAAAGTTTTATAAAGGACTCTGAAATTTTCTGAAGGTATCAGATCTTGGAACAATTGTTTTTTTTTTTACATGTTGCATCTAGCTATCGGTAGGCAACGTTTAAGCCATAAACGTTCATCGTAGTTTCTTCTCAGGTAGACTAACGTAGAGTTTGTACAAACCACAAGCAACTGCCATTTGCTGTTCTACTCATAGTTACTCATTGTATCTTTGAAGCTAGATTAACTAACAAGTAGCATCTGTATAATATGATTCTTCATCCATGTACATTGGTGAGTGTAAATTTCAGGATTTTTGTACTGTATAAATATTGATACAATGTACTTAGTATTTGATACACTACATTACCCAGCTCTTTGCTAATGAAGTAAAGCCTATAAATCCTGTTCTCTATCCTGTTCTTAGTCAGGTAAGCAACTCAAATATACATAGCGCTGTAGATAGTCCCCACAGATGTTATCTCAAAACGGATGTTCATGATATGCCACGTTGCAGGTACTTAATCGATGTATAACGGTTCACGTTGATGTACAATTTTCGACACTAAGAGTTGCTCTCCATGTTGTAAGATACTTCAAACGTGCATTCTACAAGTACAAAATGTATAAAGAAAGAGGAAATACATTAAGAGATATCAGAAGCGTTGAAGTCGTTGTCGCACTTGTTATTGTGTGCTTTCCTGTGCGACGTAGTTCTAATCCTCCTGTTGTAAATGTCACTTTGACACAGAAGTTGTGTAAACTGTAGCCATATCACTGAACTTAACGCGTACAATGTTACAGCAAACGCCAGACACTGTTTTGTATCACCACGAAACATTTCTAAGGTAACTACAACAGTAGGAACATTCCGTCAACCTGTAGAAGCACTTTAACTGAGAGTGGGGGAAAGTCCGCTGGAGGAATACCTTAATCTCCTATCAATTAACATAGCGGCCGTGCCTGGCAACAACCCGGGACAGGCATCTCACTGAAAACGCCACATGTTGACAGAAGCCTGGAGTGTTTGCCGTAAAGTTTGCTCAAAGCAATTAATAGAGTTTACCTTCTGTTTTCTGTAGATACAGGCCTCCACCCGTGAACTGGTTTGGTTCACGCGTTTGGATAGGACGTGATAAATGAAGGATATCGGATGAATGCGCCAGTGACCCGGTCACATATAAGAGCCATATGATCACCATTCAGAAGTTCATTACAAATCCCCGTTTGAACTTTCTGTGCCCCGAATGAGCCACTTTTACATACCGCCGTCGCCGTGCAAGGCGAAAGAAGTGAGTTTCAGCTGTGACACTACCCTTAAGTAGGAGAGAGCTTTGAAAGTGTGTTCTAACTATGTCGTATGATCGCTGTGACACTCTCAGATTCCTTAGATACGTGTCGAGAGTTGCACGTTTTTCGCAGGAAGTTGATGACGTTGATTTACCCTGTGTACGCAGATTCTACACGGTAACACCTACAACAACTCTTATGACGTTAAAGTTACCAGCCATAATTCCGTCAGTTACACCCTAACACCAGCAAAGTTCAAGCAACGTGAACTTAAAAAGATCTACTAATGAATGCAGCATCAGTGATCCCCTAGTTATATGCACACTTTAATACATTCAGGTGTTCAAGACTTTCGAAGGCCTCTATAACACCGTTTCCTTTTCAATGTGGCGGTTTTAGGGTACCCTGTGGAATTATGACAATTAGCATTAAACCAGTAATAAACAGTAAAGATAATACAGAGAAGGACACTTTTTACGAAAATGACATCAATTTCTATAACCGTTATGATCCGTTCGTCCGAGGCTGTTTCTCCTATGCGGGTCCTAAGACTCGTGTGATGAAAACATAACTAAGGACGCCCCTTCAAAGAGCCGACCTGTTATGGAAACTTTGCCCAAAGCGGCAAAACAGCTACTTTAGGCGTGGTTTGCCCGTACGTGTGCGGGGGGTGTTCGACCGTAGACTGTATCGTCATAGTATTGGCACAATTTACGGTACTGTCTCTTTGGAACAGCGAGTTAGCCTGGTAGCCATACCATCGGGGGCTCCTCGGTATCTCTACGGTGCTGAGAGTGTTGCCCGCCCGCCCAGGTCGGTTAGCTCACACCGGGGACTTGTTACCGTTGTATCGTGTTGGTTTGAAATGCCTACAGGACGACAGTGATCAGAAAGGTTGGGGAAAGGGCTGTCGGAGAAAGGCCTCTGTCTTTCTGTACAGGGCAGGTAAAACACCACTAGTCCGGCCCGTGGAGAATAGTCACCAATCATCGGAACAGCAGAACTTATATCAGGCGAGTGTTCAACATTCTGTAATTATTTTAGCCATTTATAGTGCTGTAGAGATCACCTGTGCATCGATATTAGTTAAGACAGGGTTGTAGATAAAAGTTTTGTTTCTCTAAGCTGACAAATATGTGTAATACTGAGACCAGACGCTATCGTCAATTATCAGGCACATGGAAAGTCGTCTATTTTACCGCGGACATAGTATTACCTGTCAAATGTAGTAAAGTTTATATTTATGTATACATTAATCAAGTATGTGGACAAAAAGTTGGATTTTATATTCACCTCACTGGTAATTTGTTATTTGGACCAAGACGACCTTAACAAGAGCACGAAAGGCAACGGGTTTGAATGAATTGTTTGATAATGAATGGGTTGTAGTTAGTTATCGGGCACATGAAAAGTACTCTGTGTTACTGAAGACTTAGTATTCCCTGTTAAATGTAGTAAAGTTTATACATGTATGCATCCATCATGTATATGGACAAAAAGCTGGATTTTACCTTCGATTTTAATTCATTTCTAAGGCAATTTGTTATTTGGACAAAGACGTCCCTAACAAGAGCTTAAAAAGCTACGGCTTAAAATGCATTACTTCTTAGTCATTGTATTGTAGTTAATTTTCAGGCACATGAAAAGTCTTGTACGTTACCACAGACTTAGTATTTCATGTTAAATGTAGTAAAGTTTGAGCATGTATACATTAATCACGTATATATACAAAAAGCTGGATTTTAACTTTATCTACGTGGCAATTTGTTATTTGGACAAAGACGTCCCTAACAAGAGCTTAAAAGCTACGGCTTAAAATGCATTACTTCTTAGTCATTGGATTGTAGTTAATTTTCAGGCACATGAAACGTCCTATGTGTTACCGCAGACTTAGTGTTTTCTGTTGACTGTAGTTAAGTTCATACATGTATACATTAATCAGGCATATGGACAAAAAGCTGGATTTTGCCTTCATTTCTGTGGCAAATCTGTTATTTGGACTAGGATTTCACTAGCAAGAGGGTGAAAAGGTACGGCTTAAGATGCATTATTTCATAGTCATTGGATTGTAGTTAATTTTCAGGCACACGAAAAAAGTCTTGTACGTTACCACAGACTTAGTATTTCATGTTAAATGTAGTAAAGTTTGGGTATGTATACATTAATCATGTATATATATACAAAAAGTTGGATTTTAACTTCATCTACGTGGCAATTTGTTATCTGGGCCAAGACATTTCTAACAAGAGCGTGAAAAACTACCCAGTATTTTGTGTTAACTGCAGTTTATACATGTATACATTAATCATGTATGTGAACAAAAGGCTGGATTTTACTTTCATTTCTGTTGCCATTTGTTATTTGGACCATGACGTTCCTAACAAGAGCGCGAAAGCCACGGATTTGAACGAATCATTTCTTAATCATCGAGTCCAAACTCACGTATTCAATCGATGACTTGTGTCACAGATGGGCTTTTGGGCTAGGGGTGTAACAATTAAGACCAGCTTAGTGTCACCACGCGCAGGTCTTAGTGCACATTGCTGCAGCGGTAGAGAGAATGGCTCGGGGTAAAGTGAGGGGGTTTTACTCCACAAACACGATGAGAACGTGTTGACACGAGTCCGCCATGCCAGGTGCACCAACATGCCAACACGCACGATATAAATGTGACTATTTGGGCCCACATTTTTCACAACTTCCTACAACAGTTACAACACCCACAAAAGTGTATGTTCCTCACTCCTTGAAGTTGCTAAGAGCATTCCTATACAAGCATTCACTGGTTTAAAATGTCAACATAAACAAGGCGTCCTTTTTCCAGCCAGTTGCTCAGAGTGTAGTTATGTAGTCAATATAATTTGACACCACTGAAAGTCTCTGTTAAGTTCGTTTATATCAATTCTACACAACAAAGGTATGAACTGTTATTTCGCATTCTTTATCAATTTTCAGTATTTCCGTGAAGAGCAGTTTGAAGAGACGTTTTATCTCAGCTGTCAGCGATGTTTCTGGTTACACTTTTCCACCTGCTAGTGGTGCTACCCGGGAGACAGGGCGAAGAGGACTCCGGTAAGCACATGGTGGTGTTCTTCTTACCCCCTTTCCACTCTGCGACCGGGCGGCGACCGCGCTGAGACAGTGCGACGACCAAATTGAATCTGAGTGACCCATGGTTTCATAAGTCTTAGCACACCTTACGAAAGTCGCTGCACTTTTGCTGTGTCAATAAAGGCTGTTTACTTTGAATACAGTGCACGACATAAAAGTATGGTTTGAAAGACAAGAAAACACACAATAAGTAAAACAATTCGTCTCTTATATGTGAAAATCTTTTGTCGCCATACCCTCGCCGCCCTTAAGTGGAAAGGGGAACTAAATGACTCTCCAGCGGTAAATACATGCCTGATGTCACAAGATCAGATCAAACAGAACATACCAGAAACATCTGATCTCCCGGTAACGACGACTCGAGCGGTCCATGTTGTAATGACACAGGTTTGTTTGGACAAACGGCGCACAGAAGGTGCCGACACAATCACCACGAAGTTATTTTGTAAGTTTAGTCTGAGAAGACATATTCACCTTTACTTATAGTCTTATTTGTTCAATGTTACTGTGCCCTCTTATTAACGTTCAGGTGTAGCGATTTTGAGGAATTACTTTTCTTTCTTTTTACTCTTTCAAACCCCTCTTTTTCCTTCGGCAATTCTTTCTCGAGTGTTCTTTGGCCTGTATCGCTCTCCGGGTTTGCTATGGTTGATAACAAAACAAGCGTAAAAAACAAGCACACATTGGTTAACCGCCTGACAATATTTAGAATAAAACAGTTTGTTACAAAAGTTATTCTTCGTTGTCTTTAAGCTTAGAGTGTCCCGGAAGTGCTTGTCTTGCTTCTTTTGCAGTTTGTACAAACGTAATCTCTGTGGTCGCATTCTAGCTCAGTCTAGCTTTGCAGATGGCTTAGCGTAAGACGTTAGGTGTTTGTGATTTTACCATGATTTGTGAACATAATTGCTTCTGTAAGCATCTCAACCGGATCCGAAGGAGCCCTCCCGTATCGTTTTAAACAGACATCAGCTTACACGAGCGGTAAACAGCACTGTTGAGTGAGCTGTTTGCGTCCTGAGTGTTAACACGTATGGATCGCACATAATGTCCGCCCTTCAACATCATGATTAAGAAGTGCAATCAAAGATACAATCCGCACAATGAAAGTTATATTAGCCAAGTGAAAACTCAATTCATGTCACATATCTGTTCTGATGTTTATCCACCTCTCTCCTTCGCCGCATCGTAGCTGCACACGCCTTTGTTATCGCGCCAATGATTAAACATATAAAAGCCGGGGTCTTTATTAGTGACCTTAATTCCGGACAAATATATATAGTCGCCGCGATACCGGACATGCACCGCAGAGTGTTGTTCCGAGCACTCTGCGGATGCGTCTCTTGAAAGCTCTGCCGCAAACCTTTCAAACTTTCGTGCCCACCCTAGGCTTGCTCATCCAAAAGACAGTTTGTTTTACGTGTGTGTTGTATGTTTGATGACACGATGTCTGATAACTGTTGCGGAGTAGGGAGGGAACTATCCTGGGTTCACGTGTGGTTGATACTGACTTGGGCGGCTGTGTTCGTAGGCCCGCAGGTGCCGGTCGCCAGCAACTGTAACTTTGACGGGGAGCTTCTTTGCGGCTTCGTTCAGCAAACCGGTGGAGATGACTTCGACTGGGAAGTCGGGTCTGGTCCGGTGCAGTCTCTCGGACTGAGCGGTGATCACACGGGCGGGGGTAAGTACCAAGTCTTTGTCGCACTCAGCTTCTACTTTAGAGATTAAAAGACACCTGCCATGAAAGTTTGGGCGTGGTCTCTATCTTCTTTATTGAATAGAAGCTCCTTGCTCTAACCCAACTAATATCCCTTTCCAAAAGAGGCTACGATCACTGAGTGATCGGAGATTTCACAGATTATGAATTTGATGGTTGTAGAACAATTTTGTTATGTTTTGTATGTTTTGTTGTTTTTTAAAGCATACGTTTAGACCTTGTATCATATTCCAATTATGAATCCACTCGTTTCATGAAAGGCACACATTTTCAAAGACGCACCGTCCTCCCGCATACAGTAAAGTTGTTGTTAGTTTTATTTTTATTACACTTGTTACGGTATATGGCTCATGAATGTTTTTCTATGGATTTTAAGATACGTATCTCATGGTATCTTCAATATGCTCACTTTCAAACTATTCGATGTTACTTGTTCATTATTTTGTATCTTCAACTGTTTTTAACATCAGATAGGGTTTGGAGAGGGGTATACCAATATATGGATATTTCTGATTTTTAAAACTTAAACAGGTACTTTATACAAGCTTCGGTATAGTACAGATGCTATTTTGCCCGTTAGAAGGGACATTGATTTTTCTAAATAAAGCGTGAGAAATCAACACGTGCACCAATGACGGCCTGCAAATGGCGCTTCTTCTTGGGGCTGAGCAGCAATAAAATAACATGCTGTGATAACGTTCGAACGGCTTGTGCTAGGGCCACTAAACTTGGTGACTTTTCCTAAAATATTGTTGCCAACAATTTCATAGCAGTAAGATAAATTAAAAATTTTTCGTGTTGCCCCAACGGGTTTCTGACAGGCATTTTTTGATAATAAATCTAAGAGGAACCAGAAGCACAAACCAAGTAGTTCCTCTACAAGACTCAAAGAATGGCAAAACAATAGGTAGTGAAAAAAATTGAAATATATACCAAATATTAAACTAATACTTACACTGAATACTAGTACATGAAATGACGATAAGAGTACACAAATGCAGAGAAATCAAACAACAAATGGTATAACAATAGTACAAAAGAGCTAATTAGTAAAAGAGATATTAAATGTAGTAAAAGAAAATTGGTTAAAAAGTCAAGAGTTTTGCCGATAGTGCTGTACATATTTCAATACATGAATCAAAATCAATAAATGATTTTAATCTAAATATGCATCTTGTCTATAATTATGATCCATCATGGAAAGGTCAGACGGTATCATTCTAATTTTGTCAGATTCATTCACCAATATGGGAAGAGAAATGTGTACGTTTGTTTCATTCTTATTTTTAAGGAAAATGGTTTGATGTTATGAAAGCCAGATGAGATTAACTTTCTTTGTTAGAATATACAATTTGGTCGTTCTTTTCCGTTTCAGGATGCAAGCCTTTAAAGTGAGTTGTTTTGCTCTATTCACCAAAAAGATGCACAGGAAAATGCATTTTTGGATTAAAGGCAAATATATTTTTGGACCGACTATTATAAGCTCAAAGCAAAATTACCTAAACCTTTGTAGGTAGACAAGATGCCAGAAATTATATTACTTTCAAGTCGCGATTACGGGCTATCATTGCTGAATAATGCTTAGGTCACATTTCCAAACCGGGGCCCGGTCGGGCTGTTTGTATGAACGAAAAATTAACAATTCATATCATCAGGAATATACAGAAATAGTGCCCATGATTATTATCTAAAACTTGTCTGTGTTTGTTGTCTTTTATATCGTATATTTCGTTCCCAAAAGCTGCCCGGCCGGGCCCCGTTTGGGAATTGTGACTTTAGCATTACTCGAGCTTGCTCCAACAAAAGGCGGCACTTCAAGGCCGGCACCGCAAAGGCGCACGTGTTGATTTCTCACGCTTTATTTAGAAAAATCAATGTCGCTTATTGACAGCATCGCTGATCAAAACACAAAGTTTTACGCGGGCTTTACTGTTCCTTTTTCACTACCTAAAATACTAGTTACTTTTAAAGATAAGTAATCTAATGTTCCTTTCATTGGTTGTCCATTACAAAGTCCATTTTAACGACAGTGAAAAGCAAACAGCGGTACCCTACTGTTTCATAGTGGCGTATGATTTTTTAACACTACGCGTAAACAGCATACAGCATGCGCACCGCGTCTTTATATATGATACACTAAACTTCTTCCATCGCAAATGTAGGTTTTAAAATTCTGGAATTATGTCATTTAGCGACTTGAATATGTTCGCGTTTGGATGATAACAAAAATATCGAGCGCGGTACGGCGATTCTAAAAAGGTTACGTATGGACTTTTTTGTTACGTACATGTTGTCGAATTTTACCTCATATTGATTACTGAAACATAGCAGCACGCCAGACGTTTGTTGACTATTAGACGTTAAAATAAAGACCCATAATCGATTATCTTGATGTATGATGTACAAAATGACTAATAAACTGGTGGACGTACCAACCACTGAGTATCTGATACCAGCCCAGAAAAGAACAAGAAACAGTCATGCCTCCAAATATCAGAGTTATCAACCAAGAATTGAGGTATTCAAAAACTCGTATTTCCCCAGAACTATCGTAGACTGGAACTTGTTGCCACCAAGCACAGTTGGGGCATCATCACTAGAAAACTTTAAACAACTCCTGCAATTAAATGTGCAAAGTGTGTAACAATTCGCTCTGTGTGATATAGCTAGTTGCCGCCGCGCCGCGTCCCTGAGAAGCTGGTGTGTTACGCCGAAGGGCGGTTATATCGGCTATACTGATACAGATACAGATATCTTTATCGATTTCTCATAGGTAGCTATGCCTACGTCGACACCACCGGCAGAGCCACGTCCCAAACCGCCATCCTGCGGTCCATGCAGCTCCATTCCGTCATAAACCACTGTCTCACCTTCTACTACTACATGGCTGGGACTGGTGTGGGGTCTCTGGCTGTTCTACAGAGACAAGTCGGAGAGGTATGTTAGAAGTTTGAACCTTTGTTCATTCATTCACGAGAATCCCATCAATCGTGGCCTGTGGGCCGCTTTCCATTGATGTTTTGAGGGAGGAGGTTTGTGTTGATATACATGGGTGTGTCTGTGTGTTTGCTTGTGTTTCCGTGGTTAATTCTATGAGCTTGGGACGTCAAGGACACTGACAGAAAGGTAGGTCAAAGTTCCAGAAAGGTATCAGGCAGAAAGGTTATTTCATTTCCTGTCTTAACTTTCCTCTTATCTGTCTGCCTGTTTGCGTTATGGTGACCAGTGGGAAAATACATACAGGTAGAACCAGTGAGAAATTCACACTGATCAAGAAAACAAGAAATTCACCAAAAAAATAATGGACGTATGGGAGCTTCTTTTTTTGTATTCATCATTGTTCCGTTTTAAACCCCCATTAGCAACGGCGAACTGAGCTCTGGTCGGTAGAAGGAGACCAGGGCCGGGAGTGGAGACAAGCCCGGGTGGACATCACGTCTCCACTGGATGGCGGCGGCACGCCTCTGGCCTATAGGGTTAGTACAGATATGCAAGATCAGTAAATAAGTAACAAGTTCAATCACTGTACTTTTTTGTCAATAGAAATTAGTCACACCAGATTACGCTTTCATTACCATTGTCGTACTGTAGTAGCCATTGATTCTAAAATATTTGGTGATGTTAAGTGTTACAGGTATTTCTTCCTTATCCTCATGATACCTTTCCAGCTGTACATTGCACACTTATTCAACTTACGAGGACTGTAATGTTGCTAAAGTAGATCTTATTCATTGTCATTATCATCTGAGTCTTGGTGGTAACGGTGTGACAGCAACTTAAATCTAAGACGAGTTTGATATATTTAGAGAAAAATGCATACACGTATGTTTGTTTTAGATCAACTTTGACGCAGTGGTCGGTTCAGGACAGCCGGGACTGATCGCGATAGATGACGTCGTCTTCATCAACGGACCGTGTGACAGTGACGGTAAGGATGCGCTTAAACTTCACTCGAACAACATACAGTTGTCATAGCCGGTTCAACTTTTTAAAAACACTGTATGTGTGATGCCAACATTAAGTTTTGTTCCTCGATGCGGTCACTCGCTCATCTATGCACCCCTGATACTACGCTTAAGTACGCTAACAAATACAGTGAAAGCCAGAGGTCACGTGTTTCAGGAGAGCCACATGCACTTCGAGCACGTTAACGATCCCACCACGCTTATCGAAAAGAGTAGGGGTCCTTGCTGATGAAAGTCGGGATCAAACATTACAGTCTGATCATACAAGGATTGCAATTACTGTACACATATGTTACGCCTAAGGCGGTTTAGTGGTTATGTGAAGTAGACAAACAAACAAGACGAAGGAAGGCAACAATCAGTTCATCTTAAATTCGCGAAAACGTTTTCCTGACTACAACAGGTTGTAACGTACCACTCGGCATGGAGAGTAGATGGATAACAGACGACCAGATCACCGCGACACCCAGCGGCCAGGACTACCCACCACGCAATGCTCGTCTCCATGGTAACGGCTGTTGGATACCGTCCACTCCCCACAGCTCCTGGCTACAAGTGGAGTTCCCCAATACTATGATCTTAACTGGCATCAGGTTAGTAGATTTTAAGACATGATAGGGTATGACTACATTAAACTTTCCATTCAAGACGAAGAAAGCACATATTCACAAATGTGTACACACACACGCGCACGCACACAGACACAAACACACACACACACATACATACACACATATACACAAATATACAAACACAGACACACACACACACATAAATATACAAACACACACACACACGCACACACACACATACACACACACACGCACACATACACACACACACACACACACAGACACTATATGCATAAATCGGACTTCACCTGAAATCTGCATGTGGAAAAAGGGCCGGGAAACATGTTTGAATCACTATATTATAATTGTCCTTTCTCTCCTTTAGAACCCAAGGCTTTAGAACCGGGTGGATAACCAAGTACAAGGTCGAGTACTCCGAAACGCTATCTTCAACATGGATCACATGCAATGCGTTTATAACAACTGACCAGGTACTTTCTTAACATACATGCCTCCCGAATTGGGAGGCATGTAATTATCATATTTACAAAATAAACCAGTCCGACTAAAATTACTAGTAGTATAAATTCGAACAACTTTAAACCCTTTTTCATGTCACCAGACATTTGTGTGATATTTTGTCTTTTTCTGTGTGCCTTCAACATTGAGATTTTACCCACACTACACCACACCGGATATACACATGAGCTTATCCTTAACCTTCTATCCCCCAGCTGACCGGAAACGTTGATGCCGACAGCGTTGTGGAACACCTGTTCTCAGGTCGGCTCCAGGCGCAGCGCATCAGAGTCTTTCCCATACAGTATCACCTGCAGCCCAGTCTGCGGCTGGAAATCATCGGATGTGGTGAGTGATCTTTGAACATAATCATTTCTTAATACACCCTAAGTCCAATTCTAAGCGCAAGCTCCACGCACAGACCGTCTTGAAAACAGATGTAGCTTGCCATTCTCATTATAGAAATCCTCAAAGTTGCCGGGCGCCATGGATGCTTTTCTAGGCTCTTTTCTCTATTTCTGCAGCCAAAACTCTTTTAAAAAAACACAATTTAAAAATTGTGTTTTTTTAATGCCATCTAGACTCTTGCATATATTCGTCACTCCATGTATAAAGGGCATGGCAATACGTAGTAGAATCTCACATAAACTTCTAACATGCATTTTGTTTCCAATAACAGACTATGGGTCCTGCACGTTTGATGTCAGTCCTTGCGGATACATCAGGAACTACAACATTGCTGACTTCATGTGGACGTGGAAGACTGCAACAGGATCAGAAGTCTGGAGTCCTACCAGTGATCACACCTCTGGAGCAGGTGCGTGGTCTTGTTTTAGGTACATATTAAGTGCAGTTGTTCACGCGGCCTTGTGGGATGACCACGAGAGCGAACTAGAATAGGGTGATTTCGTGATTCCAGGCTACTCCCCACCTTGGTTTTGGAGTTGTTGGTAGCGAAGTCATGCGAATGTCACATATGAATGGCTATGTCAGAAGGCACCCGTTATCAGCAATGCTGCCAGGGTCGCCTTTGTATTGCAATTTCAATTAAAAAAAGTCGTCGTACAAAGACCTCAAACAAACCTACTATATATTTTGTTATAATCTGAAAATTCATATTTCTACTATCCACTGTATGTAGGAGGTTCCTTCCTGCTTGCCGACGCCACGGGAAGACACGTTGACGACACCGCCATTCTTTCCACTGAGGTTCAGCCGCCAACTCCGGCAAAATGTGTGGCGTTCTTCTACCACATGGACGGTCCAGACGTCGGTGAGCATGACGACTATTCAAACTGGTTGCTTAGATACAACTGAGAAGTCTCGAATGAGATACACCAAAGATCATCCGTGCTCTGATGACTAACTTCACCCTCATGAAACCTACATGCCATGAATACTTTCACGGTTCCGACTGCGCAAGCAGAGTGATGAATTGTGGGTAATGTTTAAGTTGAAGGCCCAAAGACATAAGCGGTGCACATCTAAATTTGTAGGTATCTATAACGGATGGTCTAGACTGTAGCCAATAACTGTTTACAATGTAGATTCCTTCACCTTTGGTATAATACCCACAAGGCATCACGCCGTGCATGTGCAGTTGAAACTATGAACCCGATTTTTTTCCCGTGCCAGATTTGCATTCCGAATTTGACGGTAAGTGCGGCATGGCTTGCTATAATCTACAACTGAACCTAAAACGAGCATGTATGAGTCATGTGTCTAGTGCCATCGTCATCGTCATTGCACATTGTTGCAGGTGCGCTGAACGTCTATCTGAAGAGAGACGACATGCCATTGGCCGAATCGGTCGCCATGACACCCGCGTGGAGGCTTGTGGGACAGCAGGGTGCCGGGTGGCGGAGGGGTGGGATAGAGATTACTGCCGACTTCCGTTATGAGGTACTGAAGTAGTGTTTGTAGTGTGTGTTTGTGTGTGTGTGTGTTTGTGTGTGTGTGTGTGTGTGTGTGTGTGTGTGTGCACATGTGTGTATGTGCAAGTGTGTGTGTTTGTGTGTGTGTGCGCGCGCGCGTATGTGTGTGTGCGTGTGTATATCTGCCTGTGTGTGTTTGCTTGTGTTTACATACAGTTGTGTGACAGCAACTGGGTGGGGGAATGCCCTAACTACAGACCAGAAAAGGTCAGACAGAGGAAGTTTAATAGGTCCCACAGGCTGCTATCCGGGAGCCAGCAGGAAGTTAGCCTGGAGTCTATTTCCCGATACAAATGTTGTCTTTAGTGCTGCTAGATTCTAATACGCCAACCACAGAAGGTACAAAATAGCCTTGCAACGTTCTAATGAGTATAAAGTGTTGACTAACTCTGTATGTTTCCTCCAGGTTGTGTTCCAGGCCGTTATCGGGAATGGGGGTGTTTTCGGGTACGGAGACATCGGACTGGACGACGTGTCAGTACGAGAGGGACTGTGTCCTTGGCCGGGTGAGCTGTCTTATCCATATAGATTACGTTTGTACGTTTGGAAATAGTTACCGTAGGATACATGTACCACTTTTGTGGGCAGTACTTAGACTGAGTGATACAAAAGATACCCAAGCCAAAATGCTTGAATAGCGGTCGTATTTCCTCGACATTTGAGTCGACAAAGTCATTTGTACACGTGCCTGTGGCACCGGGATTTTAATTTTCTTGCATGTATTTCATAAATGTATGCACAGAACAGATAGGTGCATTTCATATATCGAAATTCTAAGCAATCATAAATGTAATACCACTTAGTTTGCGAAGATGTTGGAAAATAATGTTTTTTTTTTGCAATTGCCCATGACAGAGTTTGACGAGTGCCTGAGCTCCCCTTGCCTGAATAACGGCACGTGTACAGACGGGAAGGACAACTACACCTGCACGTGCGGGGACCAGTTCTACGGACCCAACTGTGAGCACGGTAGGTTCACATTCCTGTTTCACTCATACCCTCTTCCCACTAGACGGAGTCGCTGAGCTGAGTTTGAGGATGATGGTAAATCTTAGGAGTAGTACATTACTTGTACGTTTACTGCTTATTATACATAAATTACATACAATTAACATGTATAAACCATATCACTCTAGATATGGATGATTGCAAGAGCGCCACCTGCCTCAATGACGGGACCTGCATCGACGGCGACCGGAACTACACTTGTATCTGCAGCGACGCGTTCTATGGGAGCCACTGTGAATTCGGTATGTTTTTCCATATTCTCGTTAATGTGTGCTAAATAACTTTATCATTTTATTCATCTATCTACTGTATCTGTGGCATATGGATCTGTGTCTGTATCTATAGATGCTCATTTTCCTCTAAGCTGAGTGTATTTACCAAAGGGAACAGCATTGTGACCTGTTAGAATTCGAAAACCTTTGATACCAACTCTAAACACAAGACTGCATTGAGCTTTGCTATGTACAGTTCTCCCTCATTTGTCTCAAGCTCATCGTCATATAATGTCTTAATGAAAGGGGTCTTCACCGATGTCGTTTCATTGTTTCAGCTGTATATTGTCCTGCTCTGACGGCCCCAGCTAACGGAGGGCTGAGTTCTGAGGGACCGAACTCCTACCCGGACGCGGTAACCTTCACCTGTAACCAGGGGTACGAACTGGACGGGACCGCTGTTTTAATCTGCCAGGATGACCAAGCCTGGAGTGCTCCTGTTCCTATATGCCAACGTAAGACAGTTTAAACAAGAACCCTAACCTCAAGACCACGTTGCTACCGCAAGCTTTGATATTCACATTCTGGCTCATTTGTCACGATATTTTAACCGATCCGACATTGTTTCCTTGTTTCAGCTGTACATTGTCCTGCTCCGACGGCCCCAGCTAACGGAGGGCTGAGTTCTGAGGGACCGTACTACTACCAGGATGTGGTGACGTTCACTTGTAACCGGGGATACGAGCTGACCGGAGCCTCCAGTGTGTCCTGTCAGGCTAACGAAACATGGAGTGACGATGTTCCAACGTGCATATGTAAGATAATCAAAATAAATTAAAGTACCTCTTTGTAGTTCATTTACCATCAAACGCCTGACAATTCATCATCAGGGGCCCTTGTCTTTTTCTTTAACATTGACAAGTTCATTACGTACGTAGCTGAAACAAAATATACATTGTAACCTATACATTAAAACTGTTACCTATCTGTGCATCAGTTACAGCTTGTGTTCCCTTCGAGAACTTGGCTCTCACAGACTTAGTACCAGAAGGCTACATCATGTCACCCTTCTACCCTGGCAACTACCCAAATAACGCCGACTGTTCTTGGACAATCACTGCACCCTCAACTACAGTCATCCAGCTGGACTTTGTGGAGACATTTGACATTGAGACTGGTCTTAAGTACGTGAATCACATGATACATGTATCTACAGCACCCATAATCAAATCTTATCAGTTTTTTACCCTATTTCCTTTTATAAGATAAAAAGAGGGTATATATTGCCCTGTGTTTTTCAGGTTCTTGCGACTAAACAATGATAATAGAGCAAACATTTTGTATGCTATGAATTCCGTAGTAACAACTCTACCATTTTACTGAAGTAGCAAATTACCAATCTTAACTACTTTTCAGTTGCCCGTACGACTATGTACAAGTCATCGATGGACAAATCAGCTTTTCTCCAGTTCTGGGCAGACTATGTGGAACCACCCTGCCTCCAACACTCCGGACGACCGGCAACGCCATGACAGTCCAGTTCCATACGGACTATAGCGAGCCACGTGCAGGGTTCAAGGCCAAGTACAGTATGAGTACGTATTACACTGCAGTTTGGTGAATGTAACACACCTTTACATTGAGGGCTTTGATAATTAAACAGATTTGTACCGCTCCCACACTTAAACACACTCCACTTTAATGACAGCCTAGGGACGTCTTTACAACCTTGTTTCAGCTATGCCTTAATTAACGAGTGAATAAAATGCCGAGACCTGCTACCAGGACGTGCTGTTTGCTCCCAACATGAAGTTAGAAGGGAGAAGCCTCTAACTCCATGCTCCCAAGGAGTAAAATAGACTTTTCCTAAATCCCCCACGTGCAATGATATTCCAATGTTATTCCCTCATTGTCAAAATTCTTCCCTATTTTCAGTTTTGCCATGTCTTCTCCCGCCGGTGGCCCCGACAAACGGAGCCCTGAGTCCCGAAGTGGCGAACTACTACCAGGACGGCGTCATCACGTTCTCCTGTAATCCGGGGTACGATCTGAACGGAGCATCAAACGTGACCTGTCAGGCGGACCAAACATGGAGTCATCCTTCTCCTACATGCACACGTAAGGAGGTTTAAGAGCACCTTTTTTACATGCATGTAAAGTATGGTGTAATGTATGATATGTATGTATATGCAAGAGTTCATTTGCCTTTAAACACATGGCAATTCGTTGGGTGTTGTTCGACTTGTTCAACTTAACATGATTCTGTATTTACGACTCCTAAATGAAGTATAACAATTATCCATTTGTGAATTAGTTACAGCAGCTTGTGTTGACGGCCAGAACCTGGCTCTCACAAGCTCAGCACCAGAAGGATACATCCTGTCGCCAAACTACCCTGACAACTACCTAGATAACATGGACTGTTCTTGGACAATCACTGCACCTTCAGCCATCCAGCTGGACTTTGTTGAGACGTTTGACATTGAGTCTGGTGATAAGTACGTGCATCATATGACATCTACATTGTCCATATTCATATTGTTTAATTCATTACCTTCCTCAGGTTAGAAAGGGAAATATACTGCTCTGTGTTTTCCGTGTTCTTGCACCAAACAATTTGTGTGCTAAGAAATTCACAATAACATCTCTACAAGTATTCGAAAGGTAATGTTCATTTACGAGTCTGGTTTTTACTTTACTGAGGTAGCGAGTCACTGCTAATTTTACCTTGTGTCTGTGATTCCAGTTGCCCGTACGATTATGTACAAGTGCTAGAGGGACCAGTCAGTTCTTCTCCCGTCTTGGGCAAATTCTGTGGAAACACACCGCCGCCGACACTCCGGACGACCGGCAACGTCATGACAGTTCAGTTCCACACGGACCGCAGTGTGCCTCGTGCAGGGTTCAAGGCCAAGTACAGCATTGGTAAGTACTGAACACTTTGGTGAACGTAAATTAGGGCGATGATTATCGTTGGTGTGGAAGCCTTCTATCGCAGTATCACAATGACTCTATAATGAGCACCGCTTAAAATTATGACCATTGTTTGTCCACATGTAACGGCCGTGACTTTTGACATTTGTATAAAAAAAGACCTAGCTACATAAGCATAACGTCTTAAACTATGCTGCAAAACGCCAAAAGACGTTACCAAAAGCATTATCTTCGCCGAAATGGGCAGGGTTAGCAAGACTGTTCCCTTGTTCCAGTTATACAATGCCCCCCTCTGATGGATCCTGCGAATGGACCACCTGGCTACCTTTCCACCTGAATCTTTGATCTGCACAGTTTTATGACACCAGTTCATCGCCACATTAAGTTCTTAATCGATTGGTTTTTACGGTTTCAGCTGTACGATGTCCTACACTGGCGGCCCCTGTGAACGGGGCGCTGGCACCTGTTGGCTCGAACTACTACCAGGACGTGGTGACGTTCACTTGCAACCAGGGGTACGAGCTGAACGGAGCCTCAAATCTGACTTGTCAGGCTGATACAACATGGAGTGATGCTGTTCCAACATGCCAACGTAAGACAGTTCAAAGTACAACTACACCTGTCTTGAACACTCGTTTAGAGGGTGGTCGAAAGTATGAAAAATGATTGAAAGTATGAAAACATTTTCCATTTGCAACAATCCATATGCCACCAAACACCTACCAATTCGTTGGGTGTTGAAGATCAATGATTCTTTTTTTTTCATCCTAGCAGCGTTCCATCTCTGTGACTCGTACAAAGAGTAACGATGCAAGAGTTCATTTTCCATCACACATCACACGTGGCAATTCGCTTTAGTGTTGAAGACGTATGACTCTTTTTTTTCTCTGTTCAACTCAGCAGAGTTCCATATCTGTGACTCAAAATAAAGTATAACAATTATCTATTATGTATCAGTCACAGCAGCTTGTCTTCACGGCCAGACCCTGACTCTCACAAACTCAGCACCAGAAGGATACATCGTGTCACCAAACTACCCTGGCAACTACCCAATTAACATCGACTGTTCTTGGACAATCACTGCACCCTCAGCCATCCAGCTGGACTTCCTGGAGACATTTGACATTGGCCCTGGTACTAAGTATGTGAATCACATGAGATCTACATCATCCAAATTCAAATTTTTATCAATCTATTGTCATCTTTGCCCTTGCCGAGATCGGAAAGGGAAATACATTGTTTCATTGATTATTTGATGCCGTATGATTTTCGTAGATCGGAAAGGGAAATACATTGTTTCATTGATTATTTGATGCCGTATGATTTTCGAATTGCTGTTAACCTAAAAATGATAACAATTAAAAGATTTTGTGTTTTACAGTTCAATATTATCAATTCAGTATTGAAAACACTTTATCTATTGACAAGTATGCTTTATCGAAGTAGTGAGTCACTAACTTTTAGGTACCTTGTGTCTGGAATATACAGTTGCCAGTACGACTATGTACAAGTCCTCGAGGGAGCCATCAGTTTTTCTCCAGTCCTGGGCAAATTCTGTGGAGCCACCCTGCCTCCAACCATGCGGACATTTGGCAACGTCATGACTGTTCAGTTTCACACGGACCACAGTATATCAAGTACAGGGTTCAAAGCCAAGTACAGTATGGGTAAGCATGGCACACTTGGTTTGGTCCATGGTCTGGGGGAGTTCATATTTGGCATTGAGTGGTCTTTTGGACCATAGACTGTGTCATACCAGGGGCCGCGATAGTATGTTCCAGACCAGTCATTTTTTTACGATATCACCCGGGATTCTACCTGTATCAAGTGAAATCTCATAGAATAATTTGAATATGCTGCCCAATATTCCTATATTACTCCCAGTAACTTTCCGTTGTCAACATTGATCCCTGTTTTCAGCTTTACCATGTCGTCCCACGCCGGTGGCCCCGACAAACGGCGCGCTGAGTCCTGAGAGAGTGAACTACTACCAGGACGACGTCATCACGTTCTCCTGTAATCCGGGGTACGATCTGAACGGAGCCTCAAACGTGACCTGCCAGGCTGACCAAACATGGAGTGGTCCTTTTCCGACTTGCACACGTAAGACAACCAGCCAAAAGTACAAGGGAGCCTTTTAGAAATTTGTCAAAAATATGAAAATTATTGTGTGCTCTTTCGCAACAGTTCATATGCCACGAAACACCAATTGACAATTCGTCAGAAACCATGGACTTAATCAAAATGGTATCCGGGGCCTTTCGGTGATTCTAATATAGGGTGGGTGCAGAAGACGTATGATTCTTTTGCTGTTGTTATTGTTGTTCAACTGACAGGATGCCATGTGTGTGACCCAGTGCTATTATTATCAGTTTCAGCAGCTTGTGTTGACGGCCAGAACCTGACTCTCACAAACTCAGCACCAGAAGGATATATCATGTCACCAAACTACCCTAACAACTACCCAAATTTCATGGACTGTTCTTGGACAATCTTTGCACCCTCGGCGTCAGTCATCCAGCTGGACTTTGTGGAGACATTTGACATTGAGCCTGGTCTTAAGTACGTGAATCATATAACCTTTACTGCACACCATTATACAATGTACAGGACACAAGGCACGGCACCTACATCGCCCACATTCACATATTATCAAGCTGTTACGTATTTCCCGTCCCTAAGATCAGAAAAGCACATTATTACTTTTTGCTTTTTATGTTCCTATGACCAGACAATGATAAACCCTTGTCCTGCTGTGCGCAACATATGTCGCGCGGCACATACATGTACAGTACCATCTATATAACACCCTGTATAGGTACGATTTGGGGGTATTTCAACGCATCACACAGCAGCGAAACGCAACGAATGCGGAAGTAACTATGCCACTGCAGGGCAAAAAAATTGGGGGTCTATGATCTAATTAAGACATGAAATTATTGAAAAATATTGTGCCAGGAATGCCAGCAGGACAAGGGATAAGAACCAAACACATTTATGTGCTATGAATTCCACAATAACAACTTGATCAATAGCAGTATTCAAAAGACGTTATCCATGAACGTGTATACGTTTTTATTGTGATAGGGGGTCACTAATCGTATCTTACGTCCAGTATATCCAGTTGCACCTACGATTATGTACAAGTCCTCGAGGGACAAATCAGTACGTCTCCAGTCCTGGGCACATTCTGTGGAGCCGCCCTGCCTCCGACACTGTGGACGGTCGGGAACGTCATGACAGTCAAGTTCCACACGGACGGCAGTGTGCCACGTACAGGGTTCAAGGCCAAGTATAGCATGGGTAAGTATTGCATGGCTTGTATAACGAATCTTTTGTAAATTCATTCTTAGGATGGTTGACAATACAAAATGGATAAAAGCATAAGAAATATGTGTCCCTTTCCAACAGTTCATACGCCATCAAGCACGTGACAATTCGTTTGCAGATTTATGAGTCAACTTAGTATATAATTATAATTATAATATAATTATAATATATAAATTAAGTGTTGTAATTAATCATTTTTCTATCAGTTTCAGCAGCTTGTGTTCACGGCGAGACCCTGACTCTCACAGACTCAGTACCAGAAGGTTACATCATGTCACCAAACTACCCCGGAAACTACCCAAATAACGCCGACTGTTCTTGGATAATCACTGCACCCTCAACTACAGCCGTCCAGCTGGACTTTGTGGAGACGTTTGACATTGAATATGGTGCTAAGTAAGTAAATCACATGAGATCTACATCATCCACATTCAAATTTTATCAACCTTTTACCGTGGTTCCCGTCTCTACGACCAGAAAGGGAAAATATTGCTTCGTGGTTTTCGTGTTCTTGTGAATAAACAATGATAAGTGTCAAACGATTTTGCTTGAATTCCACGGTAACAACTTACCAGTATTCAAAATACTTTATTTATGTACAAGTATGCTTTTTTTACTGAAGTAGAAAGTCCCTAACCCTACCTTATGTCTGGAATATTCAGTTGCCTGTACGACTATGTACAAGTTCTCGAGGACAAATACTGTGGAGCCACCCCGCCTCCAACACTGCGGACAGTCGGTAACGTCATGACAGTTCAGTTCCACACGGACTACAGTGAGCAACGTGCAGGGTTCAAGGCCAAGTACAGCATCGGTAAGTATTGCATGGTTTCCTTGGGGAGGTCCTTTTTGACATTTGGACTTTTGAATCCTATAGTTTTAGCAATATCTTTATGTCATAACATGGGCTTTGATAAGGTTCGATGCGGTCTGTACTTTGGGGTATACCACAGGCTTCTAATTGTGTCACACGATTTTTCATAGAATAATTTTTTGGGGTAGAGATATTAGCATCGTTGTTTCCTTGTTTCAGCTATACAATGTCTTACTCTGACGGCCCCAGCGAATGGGGCGATGAGTCCTAACGGATTGCACTACTACCCGGATGTCGTAACCTTTACCTGTGACCAGGGGTACGAACTGGACGGGGCCGCTATTTTGATCTGCCAGCATGACCAAGCCTGGAGTGGTGCTGTTCCTATATGCCAACGTAAGACAGTTTAAACAAGAACCCTAACCTCAAGACCACGTTGCTACCGCAAGCTTTGATATTCACATTCTGGCTCATTTGTCACGATATTTTAACCGATCCGACATTGTTTCCTTGTTTCAGCTGTACAATGTCCTACTCTGACGGCCCCAGCTAACGGAGCGCTGAGTCCTACAGGAACGAACTCCTACCAGGACGTGGTAACGTTCACCTGTAACCAGGGATATGAACTGAATGGAACCTCCAATTTGACCTGCCAGGCGGACCAAATGTGGAGTGATTCTGCTCCAACTTGCACACGTAAGTCAGTTTAAAATTACCAGGACAAATTATGAGGATGGTCGAAAGCTAGCTAGTTAAGTATGGAAACCTCGTTCATATACATGTATGAATATACCATCAGACATCTGGAAATTCCTTGGGTGTTCAATTGTATGGTTGATTTTTCTTCTATTGTTATTACTCCGTGAAGGAGGTCAGGACCTCCGGACGGAGTGTTGTGAACGGCTGATTTTTCATGTTCGCAGTCAAAACACTGGGTTCTCTTTGTGTAATCGGCACGCAATTTTATACGCCGCCTGCGGGCATGCCCGTGTTGATGCACGAATGTGTATTTTTGCCGTCGCTGCTTTCGCGGTCAATGTAATATTGCAGACGCACCCCTACAATTACGAGGCGAATTGGAATGGTCCAGAAAAACGCGTTGTTTGGAATAGCAGTGGGGGGGGTGGAACTTCAGCAGATACGGGGTGGTTTTGATAAGTGGTTCCAGATGTTTTTGCCCATGCTTAAGAGATGCCAAGTTTTTTGGAAGATGTTCGCAGTCAAAACGCATTCTTCCGTACGTCGCATTTCCGTGTAATTTCGCATGTGGTGTGGCATTATGTCCGGGATGATGCACGTCTTTTTATTTTTACCGTAGCTGTTTTGATATTGAAGTAAATGCATATTTTAAAAACATCCCTACTTTTACAATCCTGTGGAATAGGCCGTAGGTTTAGGCAGTTGTCTGGTAGCAGAGGTTCTCTAAGCAGATATCCCGGGTATCTGACCGGCGGTAGTGACACTCGCTGCAACTGTTGCTGGAATTTGGCCTGTTGCAGTCGCGCTTAATAAGTAACAGGCACGGTAAGACGGTGGGGCTGTCTTTGTTACTAGTGACACGACCATGATAGTCCGATCTTTATGTGAATGCAATGATTGTGTGTGTGTAATTAAAATGAACTTCGAACTTGAAGCACAGTATCTTTACACGCCCTGGGAGCAGTAATGGATTAAGGTCCTTTTATGTTTTACATGTGTGGTTGTGACGCGCCCTCATTGTATTAACCGTTACCTAATTATAATGTCTGCACAGTAGGTCTAGCCTGGTATCCAGTCTGATCGTGATTGGGGGTATTGGGGTGTTCAGGCAGGTTGTGTCTTCGGGGGCTCTAAGAGCTTCCCCCGCCCAGTGCAACAGTCGACCGTCCCGGTAGGAGAGTTACGCTAATCAGAGACAGTATGCTTGGGGATTTGGTTTCCCCCAACACGATAGGAGGGCTAATTAATCTCTCGTGAAATACACACCGGGAAACCTATGTGAGGCGGGCGGGCCAGAGCTCTTACGGCCCCGAGCTCTTACGGCCCCGACCACGATCAGACTGGATACCAGGTTACAGTAGGTCTGGCGTTGACGCTTGTTTTTTTTTAAATATATAAAACTTCACGGAGGATTGTCACCTATGGCTTCTTGTTTAACTGTTAGGATTTCATGCTTGTGACTCCAAAATAAAGTCTTACTGTTGTCTATTTGTGAATCAGTTACAGCTTGTGTTCAAGGCGAGAACTTGGCTCTCACAGACTCAGTAACAGAAGGGTACATCATGTCACCAAACTACCCTGACAACTACCCAAGTAACGCCGACTGTTCCTGGACAATCACTGCACCTTCAGCCATCCAGCTGGACTTTGTCACGTTTGACGTCGAACTCCAACAAAGGTATTGTGTGTCATCTTCATACGGTAGTCTCACTCAGTTAGATCCTTTTATACATTATTACCTATATGTAGAAATGTGTTGTTGTTTTATTCCTTTCTTTCTTTATTTCAGGCATAAGTCGCCCATACACAACATACATATAAAATACACACACAATAACATCAGTAAAATAATAATATAACTATATGTACAGACGGGCCCAGTTATTGCGAAAGAATCTGCTACGGAATATCACTTCAGATTTAAGAACAGATTGGATAATGTTGTTTGATGACTTGTATAGACGGGATATAAATGAGTAACATTGTTTACGCCATGTAGCATCAAATGTGTCAATCCTATTGTATACAAACATTTCACTTGCACTACAAAATCTGGGTAGTGACATTATGATGCGAAGACAGTTATTGTAAGCAACTCGACACTTTGATACAATTCTAGAACTAGAAGTTTTATCTAGAACTAAAGTTTTATCTGACGTCCAATGGTCTTACAGTTCTTGGGACAAACCAAATAGAATCTAACCTTGAGTTCTAACATTTTCATTCTAGTACGTAGTTTCAAGACAAGTTAACCAAACTCTACTTATTATCAGTGTACTATATAATGTACCCTATCTATGCCTATTTCCATTGAATTGTCTCGTCACTCACTCACTCATTCAGTCAATCTGCAATTCGCAGTTGCCGGTACGATTATGTAAGAGTCCTCGATGGACGAGGCAGTGCTTCTCCCACTTTGGGCAAATTCTGTGGAGCCACCCTGCCTCCAACAGTGCGGACAGTCGGCAACGTCATGACAGTTAAGTTCCGCTCAGACGGCAGTACGCAACGTACAGGGTTCAGAGCCAAGTACAGCATTGGTAAGTGCTGAAGACGTCGTTTCCTCCATGGCCTTTTGGATCATAGACTGTGACAATAACGTAATCTATGTCATACATGTACCTGGTTCGTGAGAAGGTTTTATGCAGGCGTTCCGGACCTTGCGGTGTTTTACGGTATCACAGTTTCAGTTGAGTAATTAGAACTGGATTGCTGCACAATATGTCAACATTACTCTCTCTCTCTCTAACTTACTTTTGCCCACATTCTTTTCCAGTTATTCAATGTCCTGCTCAGACGGCCCCAGCCAACGGCGCCCTGAGCCCCGAGGTGGCGAACTACTACCAGGACGACGTCATCACCTTCACCTGTAACCAGGGGTACGAACTGAACGGAGCCTCAAACGTGACCTGCAAGAATGACACAACATGGAGTCATCCTGTTCCAACATGCACACGTAAGACAGTTTGTAGTACAAGATCAGCTGGTTACCTTTTCACCTGAATCTTTGATCTGCACAGTTTTATCTCGATGACACCAGTTCATCGCCATTTTTTAAGTTTTGATGAAGGTACGAAAAAGTTCTTAATCGCTTGGTTTTTATGGTTTCAGCTACACAATGTCCTACACTGGCGGCCCCAGTGAATGGGGCACTGACACCTGTTGGAGCGAACTCCTACCAAGACTTGGTTACGTTCACTTGTGACCTAGGATACGAGTTAGACGGTGCTTCCAGTGTTACTTGTCACGCCGACCAAACATGGAGTGCTCCTGTCCCAATATGCCAACGTAAGACGATTTAAAACTAAATTATCATATAGTCTCAATTTCATATTGGTTATGACGCCATAACTTTACCAGTGGCAATTAAATCCCATCAACTCAGTCGTGTTTAAATGCCTTCAATACCGCAACCACCGGTGACCCCCAAATGGAACACTCGTTCTGTTCGAATGACCGCTGGTGACCCCAAATGGAGCACATAAAACGATCATAAGGACATACAATATTGCCTATGATACGTGTAGTTTACAAAACTTAATTACAATAAGCTTTTATCTTATTTTGTTTCATGTTTGCAGCTGTACAATGTCCGTCTCTGACGGCCCCGGCGAATGGATTGCTGACACCTGTTGGAGCGAACTCCTACCAGGACGTGGTGACGTTCACCTGTAACCATGGGTACGAGCTAGCCGGAGCCTCCAGTGTGATCTGCCAGGCTGACCAAACATGGAGTCAACATATTCCAACGTGCACACGTAAGATGCATTTAGAATTTTCACGTAAGATGAATTTGGAATTTATTAAAAGGAGCCATTCCATCTTGTGTCGTGAAAGTTGGGCTACCTTGGAAATCAGTCTTTCAGAGACTGAAGGTACCACCCAACTGTCTTTTAAGATAAATAAATAAAGTAGTCGGTCATCAGGACCCATGGCTGAAAGCACTTCGTTTCTTTTATGGCAATCATGTCTAGCTGGATATTCTATATACCTCTGAGCAGCTGCATATAGGAAATACATGGTTTCTTGTTTTGCATTCAACCATCATAGAAAAGATATCTTGGTTTGCGATACCCTGTTGGATACCCATTCTGTGATGTTGATTCCTCCCGCAGAAATCGTCATTACCACAACCATGACAACGACGGAGTCTGTCTCTACCACGCTCTCGGAAACAACGGCAACGACTACAGAACCCACAACAACGGAGCCGAAAACAACGCTACCGGAAACAACTGTCACGACAACGACTACAGAGCCGACAACAGCGGGGCATGAAACAACGCTACCCGAAACAACTGCCATAACAACTACAGAGCTCACAACAACGTTACCGGAGACAACTATGATGACAACGAGTACAGAACCAACAACAACGATGCCGGAAACAACGCTACCGGAAACAACTTCCGCAACAGCGACTACAACGCCCACGACAACGGTGCCAGAAACAACGCTACCGGACACAACGGTGCCTGAAACGACAGTGCCGGAAACAGCACTACCGGAAACAACTATCGTGACAACGACTACAGAACCCACAACAACGGTGCCAGAAACAACCATACCGGAAACCACCATACCGGAGACAACAGTGCCGGAAATAACGCTACCGGACACAACGGTGCCTGAGACAACACTACCGGAGACAACGATACCGGAGACAACGATACCGGAGACAACACTACCGGAAACAACGGAACCGGAAATAACACTACCGGAAACAATGCTACCGGAAACAACGCTACCGGAAACAACAGTGCCGGAAGCAACAGTACCGGAAACAACACCACCGGAAACAACGCTACCGGAAACAACGCTACCGGAGACAACGCTACCAGAGACAACGCCACCGGAAACAACGCTACCGGAAACGGCGCTACCGGAGACAACTGTCATGACAACGACTACAGAATCCACTACAACCCTGCCTGAAACCACGCCATCGGAAACAGGCACATTATTGACGACAGAATCCGTAGTGACGATACCTGAAACAACAGCCACGATGCCAACGACAGAATCCACACCAACAGTTCCTGAAACGACAACCAATAAGACATGGGCCACGGACTCGTCGTCAACGATGCTTGACACTACGTATACTTCGACGGAATCCGCCAGCGTGAAGCCGACAGAACAGCTAAGCACCAAGCATCCTGAGGCTACAAAACCTGTACCGACAGAGGCACCGACTATCGTGCAAAAGACAGACTTCGTCTTCACCACTACAACTAAATCGACCGAAAAGCCAGTCAATGCCAACACAGAAAAACCGAAGCCAAAGCCAACCGAGCCTCCAAAGGAAGACGAACCAGAATCGTCTTCGTCTTCCCAGGTTGTAATAATCGCCGGGGCTGCTGGGGGCGGAGCTGCAGCGGTGGCGGGGGGATGCGCCTGTGTGATCATGATTCGGAGGAGGAAACTGCTCGCCGGTTCTCAAAAACGGGAGGAACTTGAACTAATGGACCTCAATAACGCTAAAGAATAATTCTAGACATGATGATGTGATGTAAATAATGTTCAGATGCAGCTTATGTTTGTACAGACGCAAGAAGATGCTGCCTTTTGCCAGTTTGATGCGCGCCAAACGTCAGGTCAAAGGTAATACGACACGCGCGTATTGTCAAAGATTTCTGGCGCCTGGCTTTTGTGCTGCTACTTAAGTATGATTCCTTACGCATGGAGAGGCTTGTGTGCAATATAAAGCGGAGTTTCAAAGTCACAGTCATGTACTTCCCTGCCATTTGCTACGAATGTGTTTCATAAAACAAGATTTTGACATTAAAAATTCGAAGAAGTTTGTACATTCTGTCCACCCTGAAATGTATGAGTAATTGAATGTCTGCCTTGTCATAGCTAGTATTTTGACACAGGCAACACAGCAGTGTTAAACTCTTGCGACTACAATGTACAAGTCGAGTGCAGGATCTGCAGAAACAATCATGGACAGGTCTCGGTGAGGAGAATCCAAATCAGACCCGAGACAAGATGGCGCCGATATGACGTCAAATCCAACATGGCGGCGCCCATGAATGTCGACGAAAACAGTATAAGTTTTGCTATCACCAACCTGTAATTAATCTTTAGAGCTGATTGAGTAACCTATTTTGTTACCTAATAATACATGGTCTATTAACTATTGAATAAAGTACTTTGTGTCTGTGATTCTACTAGTAATATGGCTCCATGATAGGTTTCTAAACGTGTTAGTGACGTTCTGGAGAAATTTCCGGGGTGATAGAACTGTCTTGAACAAGGGCAAATTTTCTTTTTAAAATGTTTGCTGCTTCCACATCTCTATTGAAAACTTTTCTCACACTGAAGGTGGTTTCAGAAATCGTAATCTCAGCCAGTCTTCTTTCGGTAACGAGTAAATACCAGGAATGAGCAAAAATAAGATGAATGGTTTACCCAAGGACGACAGTCTGATGGAACGTCCTCAGTTTGCCAAAGGAATTGCTCAGAGGCTTTCCATTGAAACCTATTCACCCATGCATGTGTTTCAAAGAATTTCTACTAAAGTTATATGTTTAACCTTCAGATGAGTCTGTAATGAGTTTTCAAACGTGTGATTTCTACAACACACGCATACCAGAGATATTCAAATAAACAGCAAGATATCAGACGAAGAATCGTTCAAATACATTTTATTTCATGTTGATCCGTGTCCATATTCTTGAATACATAGAGTTAAAAGTAAGATTGTCCAAGTCAAGTCAAATATCTCATGTACATATCATACATCGCATACGCATCTAAATACAACACTACAGTCTTTGACTCGCATACAGTACACGTGTATAGCAATGTGAGCAGCATTTGTATGACTCGCTCCCTTCTGGTCATTAGCACGAACTAACCATTGAACCACTCCAAAATGAGCGAGCACCATCAGACAGAGAATGTACGGTTTGGATCATCACGTTTCAAGCAACGTGTGCGGCTTGAGCTGGTTAGAAGAGAAAGAAGAGGCTCTTCTGTATAGAATGGTTATTCTAAATCTTGACTAATAGAGCGGATGTCGGTTGAAGTACACGGATGAGAACCGGTTGTTAAGGAAGGAAGGAAGATGGCTGGATACGGGAATTTTCAATAAATCGTTGGATAGCGTTTCAAACGAAGATTCGCAATATGTCACCCAAGCGCTGCCATTTGGAAGCCCTAAGCGCAATACAAATATCATGCATGACGAACGACTTGTTTTAAAGGCTAACAAGGGCTGGCAGACATCCTGTCTCAATCCTACTTTGGAAAGAGCCACTAGATTTTTCCTAGCTCAAGATCTTAACCTTCTCCCTGCTGATGTAGCCTTTCGGCACCCAAATTTTATTCGTTACAGGGTTAGGTAGCAGGGAGAAGGTTAAACTGATATCTGTCTCGTTTCTTCCCATTGATAACAGAGATCGTTGATGGCGCCTGCCCAGCCGTTTGCCATGTCTGACACGTCTGTGTGATTTAATGCTGTACGTGGTCGGTGGAATTCAGACACACGCTATCTCTGTGTGTCGCGTCTTGCTATATGGTGGCGTTCCTAATAGCCCAACTGAATAGCCAAAAATGTACAGGTTTTTGTCAAAAATAACCAAAAACGTTCTTCTTAATAAAGCAGCAGAGTGGTCAAAATTTAGTATGCAGTGTTTGAATTGTTACATCGTTGTACCAAATTTCAGCATAATCGCTTATACGAATATGAATGTAGTGTAATCGCTTTATATATATATGAATGTAGTGTTTGAATAGTCGGGCCCGCCGGAGGATCTCATAAATTACAATCTTTATCTTCCGACCTCTATTTTCCATGAATAAATAGTACGTTCCTCACTGCAAATCGTCCACGAGTCTAGCTTCGGTCGTTTGGTCCCACTGAATCAGAATTTGAACACCATGTGATAACATTTGTTTGAAAAACAGTGCTCATCGCAGTGCTCAAGGTTATACCGTTTGTATTAAAGTGCTGGTAGTCCAGGATACTTAATAACAGTCCTGACAATGAACGTCTTAAGCTCTATTTCGATAATTAATCAATAAAGTTCTTGAATAATATCTCTCCCGTTTAATAGTCTTGCAATCTTTTGCAATTTTGTACAACCAGCTACTCTAACAATCTTTGGAGTCAATAAAATTGATTATAATGCAATCTTGTTTAAAAAGCATGACAAAGAAACATAAGTAACTGCCCTATCCCACGTATATAAACGAACATAAACTTCAATACTGGAGTTCAGCATTTCTGCTGTTAAGACAAATACAGGCACAGGCTTGCGTCTTGAGAAAAGATTAACCTCATTTATATCTAAAGGCCGGCCCCAAGTACAGCCAAAGTGTAGAGTTAACCCACGGTTAAAGGCACATACCATGTACCTTCAACTTCACACACCATGTACCACCCAAGTGTATAATGCAGAAACCTCCTTCTCTTATACAACGCCAAAACGGTTCGCGAATCTGGTGCAAACGGACGCACCACCTTCGTCAAAAACGAAGCATACAGATACGGGAGGATCTCATATCTAATGTAAGGTAATTAAATAATTTGAGAATCTAACAGATTTCTCAATCCCGTTATTGAAAGTTGCGTCCTTCTATATCAATGTACATCGGTACAGTATATTTGGGTCTTTCAAGGAAACCTTTAGAGAGAGCCTGCGTCTTTGGGGATGTTGCTGAAGACTTTTTCCCAGTGGAAGTCCTCCCGCCAACAGTCGTTCTGCGTCAGGGGCTGGCGGCTCGTGGTGTAGTACATGATGTAGAAGTTACACATCTCGTCAGCACCTGTGGCCCTGTCGGGGGAAAAGAAGTTGTTTTCTTGTTCCTTTATCTTTTTTCTAATTATCTAATTACATGATTTTTAGTATTCTATTTTTCTAATCCTTTTTCATTTCTTAAATTTCTTACATTACATTTGATCTTTTTTTAATTTTCTAGATTTTTTAAAAATAATCTTTCATAATTCTGTAAGAATATTTTGGCGCTTTTTCTTACCCTATGCGCACGTCATGGTCCAGATTATTCTTGTACGAGCATCTTGCAGCCTGTGAAGAAATAAAATGAAAATTACTCAGACGTAGTTACTGTAGAAAAATGTAGATCAGTTGCACAAATTGTGGCGAAAAGAAAAACAGCTTAATGTTGTCTGAAACGCTTGATTCTTTAGTGAATTTATCTAGCTGCTTGAACTAATTTGTATTACGTAATTTTCTACCTGGACGTCTAACCTTCATCAAACCTACTTACCAGTATGTCCCCTCGTTTGATGGTCATTCCCTTGTTGCTTACAGGGTAGAACATCTAACGGGAGAGAAGAACGAAAAGAACTGTTTAGTAGCACGAATATATAGACACCTCAGTGTCACTGTAAGAAAAAAAAACAAAGCTCTTCTTGCATGTTAGTGTTAACGTCTTAATGTTTGCACAGCCAAATAAGGTATCGTAGTACAACTTTGTACTGAATCCAACAACATGGAAAATAACAAGAAATGGCTTTGTCCACTATATAATAGAATAGAATAGAATTCAATAGAATAGAATAAAACAAAATATAGAATATAGAATATAGAATATAGAATATAGAATATAGAATATAGAATATAGAATATAGAATATAGAATATAGAATACTGATTGTGGCAACGTGAAGCCATGAGCTAACTAACCTGCGGCTGCTGCGGACTTTTCTTGCCGATCTCCTCCCATTGTCCGTCCCGGATGCGGTACCCGGAGATCACCGTGCCTGATGATCGCAATGAGAGAAGCACACCGGTTGTAAAGAGTCAACAAAACATCAGTTTTAGTGCAACGTCACTGTTACAAATTACAACATAAAGCCCTTTTTTTCTTGCAAAAATATGAGGTATCGTAGTACGAGTACACCTTTGCACTCTCAACTTCAAATGTAGATTTCTGAATACCCAATCCAATTTCACATCTAAACGCTGTTAGTGCTATTCAAGATATCTATTAAGCCAACTTGAACCGCCTTAGATTCCATCATAACACTTACCTAGCTTGTGAGCGTGGGTTCTGAAGCCGAACGGGTGAAGAACAGTGTCCTCCTGATACATGCAGGCCGTGTCAAGCGCCGCTGTAGCACAAAACCAGCTTAAGTTACCTTTAAACATGGAAGTTTTTCAGAATTTCTTCATTTCAATAATGAGACAAAAATTATACAATGATGGTCCCATGCCATATTAATTGTAAGAAAAATCAAGCAAGACGAATTGAACCCTGTAAAATGACTGACATGTGATACCTGAGGAGTGTGCAGGGATGGTTCCTTCGCCGTTCCCGAGAATATACACCCCAGCCAGGTACTTCTGTCTGTTGCAACAAAACAAAAACAGCAATAAAACATCGACCCTGACATCGGCTTCAAAATTACGCTGCACGTACAATCTAGATGTTTACCAGAAGCATCTGTGTGGCGAACGGATCTTCAGAAGCTATTTCGGCATATCAAATGGTCTAGTGACGTTCTGATGACGTACACGGGCTGCTGTGTTTCAAAAGGAAGACAAAATGGAGATCCGGGATCACAGTAGGCCCGGTGAGAGGTACGAGTAACGTCGTAGTCTACCCGTGGCCATGGCCCCTTGGTATACATATATTTATAATGCCTGCTATGGTCTTTCAGACAAAAACAGCGACACAGTGATCCTTTCCTTACAGCGTATGAAAGACGCTTTGGAATACGCGGACGGCATCTTTGTCTGTTGAGCTTGACAACATCGTCTGCGTGATTTTGTAACATCCGTAGGGACTCTGTGCCAATTGAAATCTTGCCAGAGACGAAGTACCTAGATCTCATTTGGCTGTAGGGAATCTTGTGACTATCTCGATACTTCAATATCTTGTCTAGAATTCCAATGGTGACATAGTGGCATATCTATGTTTCATGACAAATCTAATATGTCATGAATTCAGAGCTAAACATTGATGTAATGCCTACCTATTTGTTTCGTGCTTCATAGTCAGTACTTTGAAACTTGGCATGAAATCTTCCTTGACAGCAGTTAGCTTTCAACTTAAGTATCTCTACTCCAGGTCATCGTGATGGAAAAAAAATCATAATAATAATCATTTAACTTACGGAACGTCCGTCACTTGGAGGCCGACCCCAGAATTGTCCGTTGCGCCCCCTGTGGGAAAGGAAGAGGTATTGCAGCGTAAGTGCATCAGTAGCGCGAACAGTGACCCCCCAGCAGGCAGCGGGCACAGTTAATGGATGCTAGAGGATGATAACTCCTCAGTGACTTACTGATAGATGGCGCCCTGGGAGCGGGGATTTGGCTATAGTAAAAGCCGAATAGATAAAAGCTTGCAAATGGAACAAGCCTCGAGTCAACCCGACTCATCATTTGACAAGACTGTGTAGCCTCCTTCGCAGAATTCTTGGAGCAGTGGCGTTTATGTTGGGAAGAGGAAAACGCTGAGACGCGTGATTTTCTAGTTGGCTAAGGTTCTCTAATGCGGCAAATTGAGTTATGCCTAGCGCAGGAGATGCAACTCTGTCCGTGGATACAGCTCTCCCAACGATAAAGCCTTCCCCCGAAAAGAAACCGCCACTCTAGCAGCTCTTGGAAAACAAACAGTGTTCCGCTAGAAGTCTGCACAGCAGGCTACAAGATGAGCGTGTCACAAATGACATGCTTGACGATGCTAAAAATGATAATATAGCTGGATACACATTAACACCGTGAATGATCAGTAATAACGTTTTGAATAGACTGACCTTTGAACTTGCTGACGTCATTGTAGTGCACCTGCAGCACCAGGTACTTGATGTCTGTGTTCCCGCCAATTTCGAAGCCGACATCTGTGGTGAGAAAACAAATGACATCGAGACTTAGGACCCATTCCCACTAGGATAAAGTTGTTCGGATTGAGCCGAATTGATTCGCTTTGATCCGGCTCCGATCTGGCTCGAAGCAGGATCCAAGCCGGATCAAAGCGCATCAATTCGGCTCGATCTGGACAATTTTATCCTAGTAGGAAAAGGGCCTTAGGACGTGGTCCCATACGTCTTACAATCGTAAACTGCAGTAGGGTAATCTTGGGCCAGTCGTGAACATATTGTATAATATTACGCTGTTTTGCATAGGAAAACAGTTACTCAAACGACTGGATAGATTTTGAAAAGATGTCAGACGAATCAAGTAGCATCCACTATTTTTCGTCATTCTTGTGTATCTCATACCTGGATCTCTAACCTTCATCGACTAAAGCTGTTTTGTGTCAGAAAAAGTTATCTTACGTTATTGTCTGACATCATTGACTTTCATGGAAAAGGATTCAACTTTAGATATCGTACCTAAATCTACCAATCACTCTTTTTAGATACCACATTACACTGGTGGTACAGTTGCAACACTGACTACTTCAAGCCTATGAGCGTATATATCTGGCAGTCCGCATCTGTACTTGTTAGCGCCATTTATTACATTATCCTACTTCTAAAGCGTCCGCAAGGATGTCAAGGAATATGATGAAAGCGTCCGTAGACGCCCGAAGGCATTCTGAGTTTCCACCATCACTCCTCACAGATCGTATGATGCTGCAGTGAGTACAGTACCTACTCTCCAAGCAGAGGTTTGGGTTTGGGGTTATTTTGGCGTGTTTTTAGGCTTTTTTATCGAGGTTTCTCTTTTGCACTGGAATTTGTTTGGGGTTTGGTGGGGAAAAAATTCAGTGCAAATGAGAAATCCCGATAAAAAAAGCCTAAAAACATGCCAAAAATAACCCCAAACCCAAACCTCTGCTTGGTGCGTATACAGTACCCGCGGGACTGATGCCTAATTTAGATGGGGACGCCCAAATCTCGTGAAGCTCCGCGGATTTCTCCGGGGCTGTCGCTACTCACACGTTGTCGCCGACAGGACCGATCTGTCGCCGCGCGGCCGTTACTCTGATTTGATTGGATCTGATTTATCTGTTCGGCTGTATGGAGACGTGCAGCCAGCCGAAGGCTAATATAAATGGCTGGCCCTGGTGACTGAATAATGTACAATATACCATACGAGCGGTTTTGTATATATACAAAATGCACATATATAACGACGTTTACAAAGCACAAGACTTGGGTACTATGTATATATATCCGCGTACGTACATTGTACTAATCAACAAGTCATTTTGCTGCAAAAGCGGTCCGGTTTTGCTAATTACTGACCTAACAAGCGAAACATCTGTGATTAAAAAAGGAACTTGAAATCGCTACGTTTGCCGTGGAAAAGGGGGGGGGGTCTTCTGTTGTGAGGAAGGAAGCGGTGTGTTGTTAAACTAGAAAGATTCGCAATCGCTAAATTAAGCACGTACCAGAGAGCACGCTTGAGAAAGATTGCCTGCTAAAGGCCCTAGGAGACTGTGTACTGGAGGAGCAAATATCGATCAGGAAGTCCGGCCTTAATTGTTCATGTCCTTGGTGCTGACGATACCATCAACACTTCTTCTACAACTTTCACCCCGCAAAATGATACATGTTTCTTACGTCTATGAAGGTTAGACAATCTATGTACGTAGGGTATTTCGTAAATAAAACAAGTCAAGAAACTGGATAAATTCTTCTGAAGCGTAAGACGTTTCAGATAGCATCCGCTATCTTTCATTGATGAGAAGCCCTTCTAGCATGACCACAACTGCTTGACAACGTACACACACGTACACTGCATGGAAAGAGGGATCTGCCAATGCAAGATAAGTCTGATATAATGTTTTCTTTAGACGATAAACTACGCTATTATAGGTTTCCGTATTTCAAACATTTTGTGGAGTGAGCCCTGCATATCTAATAACTGGTGTTATTTTTAGCTATTTTTAGCTATTGCGTAATTATGTACAGGATAATGTTTTCAACACACACGTCAGGGAATGGTTGCCTAAACAACAGTGATACATGCCAGGTAAGTCCGACAATGGTCGCCTGAATCATCAACTGCCAACAGCAACCATTACCAGACTTAGCAGGCATTTACCGCCATTGGCAAATAACAATTTTCATACAGTGACAGTGATTGTTTCTCCTCCCAAGGGTATATTTTCTCAAGGGTTTATTGAGGTTTACTGAGGGAAAACTCTCCTTTAGCTGCCCACCCGAAGGTGGCAGCTATTCTTCCAGGAGAGGGTACATACATGTAATACATAATACATCACGTACAATTACATATACATTTACATTACATAGTATTTTAAAAGAAAAACAAGTGTGTAACATCGTATGTGCTCTACTTATTCATGTCCCTCATGTGTTTTAGTAGGCCTTGTTGAACTTCTCATGTGATGCCACTGTTTGCAACCCATGTGGTAGAGAGTTCCATGCTGCAGTAGTTCTGTATGTGAAGGCTTTTTAGTGCTGTTTGTTTTTGGTTTGTCTAGTTTGAAGGTGTTCCGAGTAGCATATCTGGTTCTGTAAGTGTGTTGATGTGACACGTTTTAGATAGCCTTCGCTGTCTTTCACCGGTGAAACCCTTCTGTATGTAACATAACCACAACTGGATGACAACGTCTACACAGAGATTTTCCTCCTACCTTTCGGCAGTTGTAGAGACGGCGCGTTATGAGCCCAGGCGTAAAGGACCTGCACCCCATCACGGCAGGTCGGGTGGATGGTCGAGCCGCTCATCTCTCCACAGTTCCTGAGATAAACATGAGATTAAATGTAATGTTAGGCGTACTTATATAAATTACTTTATGTATTAGTCTAGTCATTTAATTCTTATGTACTTAACTTTATATAGTAGCCATTTAATGCTTATGGTCAATTAGGGAGACTCTATGTCTATGTGAATTTTTTATTTATTTTATTTTATTCACATGGATTTTTGAGCATTGGATAGGAAGCACTTGTTGTGCTTATGTAAATCCGCTGCTCATAAAACATAATACAAATGTAAACATAAAGATGACATAAAGTATAACATAAACATATGTGATTTTTTTCTTATAGTGAAAATGATTAAATAAAAAAAATAAAAATAAATATTTAAAAAACAACAAAATCATAATAAAAAAACATGGGATTAAAAACGATCATGACGATATCACAGTAAACATAAGTAATATACAGTACCATGAAGGTAAGCATGAGTGATAACACTGCAATATAACCAGCCAAGGTGTGCTTATACTGGTTATGCAGATTATGAAACATAAATGGTTGTCAATCTTTGCAAAAGAACACTTACACGGAGGTTCACAAATCTCTTTGATAGCATGTGCTGTTATATGTTGCCATGAAGCAAGCGCTTCACATCAGACACGTCAATCTGAAACTGCCTAGTAATCCAAACCGGAGCCAGTTGGGCTAAAAATTACCGGTAAAACTGCCGCACTAGCTAGATTAGATCGTGGGATGACAAAATTGTTATATCTATGGGTATTAACGTGTTGTTGCCTTGATGAAATACACGTTGAAGAATCATGGACAGAAATCCCCTGGCTATGGTGAATTCGTTGTCTGATTGATCATCTAGACATAACACGGTAAATAAGTGGAACCATGTTATTTATTAGCCATCATGTCACGATGCCGCGTTTTACGTTGTTTGGAATGAATCCTGAAGTTTACAGTCAACCCGTCATTTGTCAACGGAAAGCTGATTATGATGACTAACAACGAACGATGAGTAACAGCCTCACCCCATGATCTGTCATGTCTGACTCATCAGTAATTCTGTCACCGGAGGACTTTGGATTTCACCTTTACCTGAACTCATCTATAGTCATCGGCCTAATCACCTAGCCTCCGCCTGGCCTTCCGAAGGGGGTTAGGAGAGTCAAATCCTCCAAAAACAGGGTCTGATTGCCAGGGTAGTGGGTCCACCGTCCAGGTTTCATTTCCCTTGAACTCTACGTTTTTTTGTGGCCAATTAATCTCCTATTTGGCCAAATTTTCCTGTGTTTGAACCCCCGGTTGTCGTTAGCCTTTTGGAGACTACTAATCATCTGTCTGGACAAGTTGGTGCCGTATCTGTGATGAGGATTTTGTGAGTGGTTTGCTGATGAGCAAATCAGTGATGAGCTAAACCCATGTAAGGCAATTTCATTGGCGCCGCTCCCGAAAAAAACTATGCCTTTCCTAGCGCCTGTATCCAGTATCGCGACTTCCGCAAGTCTCGTCGACAGAAGAAATATGTACAATCAATCAATATCAATCAATACCCTTTATTTATACTGGAAGTGCCCTGTCGGCCTTAGCCGCTCTTCCCAGAGGTCCAGTTGAAGGGAACACAATAAATAAGTAAATAAAATTTAAATTAATACAAAAATAAATTACTAAATACCTAACATAATAATCATATCTTGTCCAAAATCACAATCCGCAAAATCAGTCCGCAAATCAAATTTCTCGACTACTGTATTCTTTGTTTGAAAGTTCTCAATGATGGAGCAGTACTGATATTTTAGGCACCGCGATTGCACGCTCTGATCTGTCGTATGGTATCGTTTCGATAATGGTTGATAGAATACTGCGGTCGTTCTACACAAAATCGGTGTAGGAAATCACCCATCCATACGTGACCGGGAATATGCATCAGCCTGGCGGTGTGGTCTCGGCTTACACCCACGCCTTTCATCAGGGCAGCGTCAAAAACCCGCGGATTTAATGAAACATTACTGGTTTGAAGCGCACCAGTTAGAGTTCGCAGAATTAGCACTGAGCATTTCATTTTTCCTGGAAAGAGAGATCTGGCTACTAGTACCCTTCAAGCAGCTTTGGCTTATTTTTGACGTGTTTTTATTGGGTTTTCCTTTTTGTAATAGTGCCCTTTTGGGGGTTGGAGAAAAAGATACCTGTAAAAATAAGAAATCCCGGTAAAAATGGCCGACGCCTACCTCTGATTGGAGAGTGAGATTTGGCTATAATCAGGCATGGCCATAACATGTATACTCGAGGGAAGAGGAATGATACGATCTTCAGTTGCTGCAAAAGGTTGCTTTGAATATATTTATCTCTGATGACACCGGCCTTTAGCCGAAGATCCGTCAACCAACCGATAAACCAAACTCCAGATTTCTTCTCCGAAAATATATTCACTAACTTTTGCCTTATTTGGCCATAAGTAATCCGACATTTGTGACCTCTATGACGCAGGTAGCCCTGGGTTCTAACAGCCTGCGTAGTTACCAGACGTCACGGCCGCCCACGCCTAGCAACCAGCCTGTGGAACCAAATCCTTTTATGGGATAAGAACTTTGGCAAAGGGGTGAACGCGGTCCATCAATGCCAAAGAAAAACGGAAGAAGATTACCGGTAAGACAGGCGATCTTTACAGTAATGCTTCAAGTGTGTATTTTTGAACATTGATTTTGTGCCCCATGTAATTTGTATCTGCAGACCTTAACCCGACGAAATTGTATCCTGTCTTATATAATTCTTAGTCGCAGCGTTCAAACACGTAGTCCAAAATGTCTCTTTTAAATTCTTCTCATGAACCGCGTTCCGGATCAAAAGAAATGGGAGCAGATTTGGTGCGTGCACACAACATGTAACCTACGGCGTAATTGGCAGCTTGCGTCGGTCCGTATCATCCTACATAACTACCGGGAATTATCGCATGTATTTTGCATGGCGGAAGACGGGGTAATTTCTATTACAGATTCACGGGGATTGCGGGAGCTGTTAAGGTTGCCGAGGCGGTGTAGTGTACATGCCGTGGGCTGGTGTTTCTTGCGTGGACTGACACCTAAAGGCAATCAGAGCGATTTCAGGCTGGTGAAACTGGGTTGTCAAAGTCTATTTTCTGATCATATGAAAAAATAATAACCCTATTCACTAGCATACAGATATCTGTGAGGCAAACTGTTGCTGTCGATAAACGGTTGCTTGTATTGGTGTTACTCATCGCACAGCTTGTTTTTTGGGCTATTTCAAACGCCTCAGGTATGAAATGATGGTCCGAAAATGTGCCCAGAAAAGGCAGTAAATACAATGTCAGACATATTTCCTCATGGCCAGATTATATGAAGGTTTTCTCATCCAGATTTTTTGTGTTGCCGCCATGAAAATGCATTGGTTGAGGAGGCAGTGTAACATTCCGTGGGCGGTGGGCAGGTGTGCCTGTGTGGACCGACCATTAAGGGCGATTTGCGGCTCACACAGTCCGGTAATGGTGTGTGTGTGTGTGTGTGGCAAAGGTTGTGAAAGAACCTCAGTGCACCTGCTTTCAGGACAAAAGGATTTGAAAAATTGAAACTAAGAGCAAGGCGCTTGCAATATAAAAATGTAGCCTTTATCGTAGCATTTCGTAATGTTCTTTTCATCACTAACACCTGGTGAATTTTTGGCGGTGTATGTATAATTTGTTTGGTATGTCCTATGATCATGTTTCTGTATGTTTCTGTTCTGTGCGTTATATTTATCTGAATAAACTGATTTTTTTTTCAAAATCTGAAAAGGAGGTGCTTTCATTTCCCAACTACCAAGTTTCCAATTTAAGAACTGAAGGAAAACCTTCAATATTTAAATGAATAATCTAGCTTGACGACGTTGTCTCTGTCCTGACGTCATCTGCACGGATGATTCTCACTTTATCTCGCGCGACTTGACGTTTTCATGAACCCGGAGCCAAGTCATTACACGCCTGGACACCCACACACGGCATCAGGTGCGGTCCCGGTCGATGGTGCCGTTACTGCAATGCAGCCCAACTACAACTTACTACTGTCGATAAATTACTCCAGGAAACGCCGTTTGCCTCACACACTTAATCTATGAGCAGATTTCTTTGGGAAAAAGACACTATACGTCGATGAAGGTTAGACATCCAGGTAATACGATACGCCAAAAAGCAGTTACTCAAGCAACTGGATATGATTTTGAAAATCATATCCAGTTGCTTGAGTAACTGCTTTTTGGCGAAAAGACACTACAGTTTGCCATCCCGTAACCACTTGGCCACCGTAGCAGGTTTCTTCTGGGGCAACACACGGTAGTTGGTGCTGAAGATGATCACACACTGCCAATTAGCCCATGCGAGAAGTTAATGCGATTACCAAGAGTGTAAACAAGAGCGGCATAGCTGACGTCTGCCCTATTAGATGTCAGTCTTTTGATGTATCACATATCGGTACGGCCCTTTTCCGCTAAACATGTGATCGCTAAGCGACCAAAATAGGATTTGTCAGTGATCCTTGATTTTTTTTTATTTCAATATGATGAAAGTATGACTTAAAAGACAGCAAACTACATCAAACGTCGAAAAATTTCGTTCAGCCTCCAACACCATGATGGTACTAAGTAACAGACAGTTCTCAGTCTTACTATTAATATGTAAAGAGAAATTTATATTCCTTTTAACTTTTTATAAACCCACTCTAAGTAATCTCACAGCCCCATATATCCATACAATCACTACTAAGCGAGATGAAGCCGAAAAGAATAGAAATTAGACATTTATTTACACTCCTATATGTTCAAATGTATGTAATGTATATATGTTTATGTTCATGTTCTGTACCCATGCGACCTGTACTTAGTTCTGTAGAACACAAATGTACAATAAAGGTATTCATTCATTATCGGTCTATGTCACCGCATATGCATAAATCAACAGCATCAAGATGTTCCCTTAATTCTCCTGACTTGGAGGTGTTGACCATCAAGCTTCTATGGGCCTTGGTCAGTAGAAGGGCCTCCTAGAGCACGTCGGCAGAACGTACTGCGCCTGCGCAGAACCCCGTATTTTCGCGTTTTTTCTTGGGTTTTTGGTCAACGTTGCACCAGAATTTTGCCTGTTGCAGAGGATATTCTTTCCGACATAACATTTGGAAACTACTGTCGAAATGCTAACCTTATATGAGCGAATACAACCTTATATGAGACATTCTGCCGAAATACTATGCACAATACATTACGGGTTTCGCGCAGGTGCAGTACGTTCTTCCGACGTGCTGCCTTCTAGAAGTGTGATGTAGAGGGTAAACAAACGCCGGCTAATCTTGCGGTATCGCCCACCGAACCACCCACACTGCGGGCGCTACGTGCCATGAACCACGAACACGTGTCATCAAGAATGGCCCACTCCTCTCATGAAAAGATCTAAAGCCCGGCCGTGCTGTTAAAAGTGTTTGATCGGGACTCAACGGAAATTGCCTCTGTGCTCTTACAGCTTTCAGATGGTTCTTAACTATTTGGTTAAGTACATTCCTGGTTATAGCTATTTAGTTCATTTTGTCTTGATTATATTGTGCTCAGTCTAATCTAGAAAATCTATCCAGTTAAATCTTCTATGTTCCTATTTTATTACATATTAGAATTTAGTTGTTTTGTGTTCGTGACAATGTGCTCTGTCAAAAAATAACGCCCACCATATCCTTTTAACAAGAATCGATTTCCAACCTCCAGGAACTTTGAGTTTTTGTGGCGCTCAAGTTCACCCATTTCCTGCGTCATCCTGCCCATCAACCCCCCCCACGTGCTGTCAACCTCCTCTGTTCGAACAAGCATACACACAAACCCACCGCCAACCCACCCAAAAACAATACTTCCGTACACAGGAGTAACGAACCCACCGCCAACCCACCCAAAAACAATACTTCCGTACACAGGAGTAACGAACCCACCGCCAACCCACCCAAAAACAATACTTCCGGACACAGAAGTAACTACGATAATATGATGGTGTAGAAGGTGAGGGTTACGACAGGTCTGTCCTCCTCTGTTCGGACAGGCATACACACAAACCCACGCCGCAGCCACCCAAAACAATACTTGGGGTCGTGGAGGTCCCGGGTTCGAGTCCTGACATGCCACCGATCATGTGCCATTGGGAAAGGCACTTTACACGACTTTCCCCACTAGACTCAAGTGAAAATGAGTATTGTCTGTCCAGTATTCGTTTCTATGTGCGGGACACAACACCAGCAACAGCTGCCTCTGTTCCGCGTTCGTTGCACTGTTGCAATTTCAATAAATTAGATCAAAACAATACTTCCCTACCACGATTACAGTACGGTACACAAGGTGATAGTTACCAGACGTCCTGGTCCGCATTGCCGGGGACCTTGCACCCGAACAGCAGCATGTGATGTGCCGCGTGCTCGACCGTCTTCGGCTCGAACCCCACTGAAACGGCACCCAGGCAGACATGTAAAGTTTGGAGTTATATTTATGGGAAGGACACAAAATTATACTATACTTGGTTCAACGTCCAGTAGACGCAACTCTCAACGATTGATTTCAATTACAGTCATACATAGGTCTGAAGCAAGAAGTCAAAGATCTCATACCTCCGTAAGATATACCTCCGTAAAATATTGTCAAGAGTTTTTGTGAATTCTTTGGTTATTCTATCCATCTACTTTTCCACCTATATAATAAGACATGAGGACATGAAATGTGATAACTTCGATAACAGGGTCATTTTTAACATCCTGCCAGTGTTCCCGACGCGACTAGCAAGTGGTGGAAATAACTCACACACAGACAAACTGACAAACAATCACACAGACACACGGGAAGCAGCAATACCTCCCGTTTCACGGAGGTAAACCCTGGGGTCTCAATCAGGACCTACCTATGTAAGACGGTTCTCCCTGCGGCACCTTGAACTTGTAGCAGAAGTATGAGTCACGCTGTAAAACAGAAACAGATTTATTTAGATTCCAGAGGTTTAAGACAAACCTCAGGAAAAAAACTCGACAGTGCTGTTTCATTTCTATTTAACGCACAAATTGAGGCCCCCTAGACGGATTTGTGTGATACTAAGAAAACACAAAAAGATCACTCTCCATCAATGAACTTTGTTGATCATCAGTCTCTAGTGCAATAGGGGTGTTGTGAGACATGGTTTATTAAGTGGATGCCCCCTCCCCTTAAGGTGGTTATCAAAGTCCTTAAGTCCTTAGAAGATGGACATCTTAAGATGGAACTAAACACTCCTACAGTATCTTGTTTTTAGTGTTCATAGTGTACATCACTACCCTTCATGGTAACATGATTTTGACTTTGAATGATGATTTTGAGAACGCGGGCGTTTCCCCTTACAAGATGTATACCTCAAGCACCGAGCACTCCCACACCGTCCTGTTTATGGTGTACATCACTGCTCTTCGTGTCGGCTTGTTCTGATTGTAAACACGTAGAGATGCTTCCCACTTACGTACAAGATGGACACCTTAAGAAGCGAACACTCCCCCGGCGTCCTGTTCATACATATCCACAACCCTGTTGATAGCATGTTATTTTCGGTGGGAGTGCATCATCAGGGGACCTAGAGTGCATTACGGTACTGATAATACGGCATTCACGGCGGCTGCTACACGTCTTTGAGCTCTCATAAAATTCGATAAGATCACAAATATTGCCTTAATCCATTTAGTGAGTCGGTGTATGCGCCTCACGGCTGCAGAAGCTGCAAGAACTGAAGGTAGAACCGCTCACTGTGTGCGCCAGAGAGCGGCGGTAGAAAGGAGGGCTCCTGATCTTAATTGTGTTGTTGTGTGGTATAGCGAATATTAAATTTCTTTCCTGGCGTTATTGGAATATCTTTCGACGATGCAGCCATACAAGACTAATTTCGAGTTGCCGAAAAACGCTGTAATCATAAATTCATAACGCTTGTTCAATGAGTATTGCGTATTTTACATACTAGCAATTTTATCCATCCCAAGACGACGTTTTAGTGACTGAGGCATACATATTCAGGCAGAAATACAACCATTAACGTTTTCGCTGCACTTGATTTATCGAATTAGAGTCATCGCCTTTTCAAATGGTAATGACTTCTTCTACACTTTATAATCATAGATGTGCTTTGATTTCCTTGAAATATGTGCATTACTTACATGGGCGTCTATCCCGCGCAGTGCCATCACTAATTCATTAATTTGCTATGTATTGATCTAATATTGTCATAATTTGAAATGCTTCAAATGTCCCTATGAAAGATTGATGACGCTTTTCATGTTGCCTACATACATACATGCAGATACCAATGTCCCTGTACCGTTTCGCCAAACGACGTGTTTTTCCTGTGTTAGATCGATGTATAATAGTCGTGCTATGGGAAAATAATCGTCATTACATAGGACTAGGTGACCGTTGAGCCACCGGAGTCGAATTCGTGTGACCCTTGATTTTATCACTGAAACATGATGCACGATACAAACGTATGCTAAGAAAACATACAAAACGTTTTTAAAATCTTTCTTTATCTATTAGTCGCTCATCGGTCGAAGCTAGCCTCTACCAGGCACCGCGGATCGCTGGAAAAATAGTAGAAATTGACCGAAATAAAGGAATAATATACCAGGGGAGTGGGTCGCGAATTGGATCTTCTCTGGTCAGCTTCCTCCCCTGGTATATTATTCCTTTATCTCGGCCAATTTCTACTATTTTTCTGGCGATCCGCGGTGCCTGGTACAGGCCAGGTCGAGGCCTCCAGCGAAAACGGGGGACTGTGTGTAATTCAATGACCACCTCTGAGACGTGTTGTATTGACTGGTTATTATTGATCGCTGAAAGAGGAATCCTCGCCTTAATGCAGCTTATGAACACCTGTTAATGGGCTTAGCTAAAGGGAGATCTGTAGGCTGGAGACATACATCTCAGATATGGTCCTTTTTGTATGGAGCAAAATACGAATCGCACGCCAAACACACGTCTTTGATAGCCATTAAAAATACAGTTTTGTAAACAACGTTCATTGAGGGTAGTTTGAAACATATGGCGTCTTGGGCGTTTACTTTGCGAGTGTTACTAGTATTCTGCATGTGTACGTGAGTTTGGATGTTGAACAAGTTGATATGGTTTTGTTTAAATGCTTAGGTTTCGTTATTTGTACATGCTGTACATATTCATTATTGTTATGGTTTTATTTGTGTTAATTTCCACTTATATCGTTAATTCTATTATGTAGCCCAAATCCCCCCAAAAATCAACAAATTGTTGCAAGGGCTACTCAGATGTTTTGAAGACTGAATAAATAAAGACTATTGCTGATGAATTTTGTGGCACCAGTTGATGGTAGTTTATCATGCACGACCGTCACTCGATGGTCCCTGTGCTCCCGTAGATGGTAGGTTCGCCCTGGCTTCAATTCTGTTAATCAGAGAATACGGGCTTGTTCATTACATTTGCTTCCTCGGAGGGAAGGTTTATATTTTGTAAGTGCTATTGACGTTGACTATGTATATGCGGGAACAACATTTAGCAAGATGGAAGAGTCGTGTTAGGGGAAATTTACTGGTAGGGAGAATCGCTTTGACGTGGTAATATCTGGCGCCATTTTGTCTCACAGATGCGGGTGTAGTTTGTAAATATTGCCGCGGAATAGCTAAATAGGGCATGCAAATAAAGCATGGACACTAGCTAGTCCACCTGCATATACCGTCCCAGCGGGTTAGATGTAAGAACAGCCCCCTTAACCGTGTACTCAGTACCAGAAGATGAAAGACTCCAGGATGTTTCCCGCGGTTGCGACTAGCATTAAAGGAAATTTACTCCGTTTAGCGGGGGCGTTTTTCGTGCGGGTGGAAATTTATGAATATGAAATCGGAGTCGACACGGATACTACACTAGTGTTACTTGCTCGTGGATAGAGAACGTGAACCATTCGGGCAACAGTTTCGAAGTCTCATCGGCGCAAACTGTTGCTAGCACAGTATCTTTTATTACATGTATGATATTATATTGAATCTTGTTTCATTCTATATTTTATTGAAATTGCAGCGGCAAGACAAAGGTCGCCCATGCAGCGTTGCTGATGTCGCATGCCCTGTGACATTAATTGGACATTCGCATACATCCATGAATAACGCCAAAACATTTACTGAATTTACAATGAAATATTGAAACAACACACGGAATTTACCGCGAGAAGCAATCACACTTATCGTAGATACAGAAGGAATCATACAGATTCAAGGCTGCCAAACATTTGCAATCAATCATACGGCGGCATATTTTACGCTAAGCAAATTTATGTATATTTATCATTATTTTAATCTGAATTGATGACCGACAAAAACGCCGACACATTTTAGTGGGAAAAGCCGTTACCACGGATTTTACTACCTTCAATATAACGCCTGCACGATACACTCAATACCTTTTAACGTTGAGTCAATATGAATACGGGCGCGGTTGGAAAGTAAATGCGCAACATGTGCTAACACTTCCCCTTTCTACCTTACCTTTTCCGGACGAACGCCGGGCATCCTGACGTCCACGACATCTTGGTGACGGTCCCGTCGATACATGGGAGCATCCAGGTCTTCTAGCCACTTCTGGGAGCGCCCCGGAGCCCCCCAGACCGTCACAATCAGCGCCAGGCCCAGCCACCAGCCGTACCGCGCACCCGCCATCGCCGAGACAGGCCTCCGAATATCCCCGCTGAGACGAGCTGCAGCGTTAAAATGCAAAGATCAGTTCCTCTTTAACACTATAATCGAGTCGTCGGCGGGCGCGCGCAATGGGTGGGAGATACCAACCGCTCTAGCCTTGCGCTGACGATACGAAATCAGCGGTCCTGGGCTTTCTACCGTAACATATGTTTGCTCCAGGTTTGTGTGGAAATACGAGTAAGATTAATATCCAGCGCGAGTCGAACGGTGTAGCTGTGTGTGTTTTTCACGGTGCGTTATTTGAACAGCTATCGACTGTGATCATAAAGGGCCGGAAACGCACAGAAGCGATGGCTTGAAATCTTAGAAGTGGATCCAACCATTTTCTGGCGGGGCAGTTCTTTTTTTACCACAAATAAGAGATACGCTGTGAAGATTGTCAACAGTTTGTCGTTTGCTATCTCCGCAGTTTTTCAAAGTCTGAAATAAAGGGTAAATTTAAGGTTTATTCCTTTTGCGATCCCCATAGAATAAGAACTTCGAGTGCCTTTGTCTATCTGGACATATGTAGAATATATTTGTAAAATCATTTCTGAAGGCTAATTGCAAGCACATGTTCAAAGACGTTAAATAAAGCAACAGGGGACGTACAACTAACTACTGTCTGATCAAGTTATATAATTACTGCGTTTCCTATTCTATTATGAGGTTTGGCTTCTTGTTTGAAGGCCGAGGATAATGCATGTCATTGAATAGTCCCGCGTTCTGCATAATGAGCGGGTTTTTTACAGACGGCGACGTCAGTACCATGCCGCCGTGACGGGCGGTGACGTGTGCCCGAAATTCGCCGCCGTTCCCCGGCCTGCTCAAATTGCCCAGTTGACGTCAATGTAAAGCTCGTTAGCGGGTTGTTTCCGCTCCCCGCCCGGACATTACATTGTCGCACTCTTCAAGCACCGGTTTGGGCTTTGGCTTTAGTTTTGGTAGCCTCCTGTGCAGGCTTCGGGCGGATGGGAGATTTGATACTGCGTTTTGTTTCTTTCTCGGGCTTTCACAAAAAAAGATACCGGTACAAAAAGGACCAAGAAAAAAACCTAAAACACGCCAGAAATATAGTCTCCTGTGCAGGCTCCGGGTGTGTGGGAGTTTTGATACTGCGTTTTGTAGAGTTTTTAAAGCGTTCTTTTAATTGCCGTGGGCGGATGGAAACCTTCTCTCGCGGCTGGTTGTAGGATGGCCGGCAATTAAAAGAACGCGTTAAAAACGTCAACTCAAAACGCAGTATCAAAACTTCCTCCCAAACGCCCGGAGCCTGCACAGGAGACTATATTTTTGGCGTGTTTTAGGCTTTTTTCTTGGTCTGTTTTGTACCGGTATCTTTTTTTTTGTGAAAGCCTGAGAAAAAAGTATAAATTAACGCCAAGAATAAGCCAAAGGCAGCCCAAACCGCTGCTTGGAGAGTACATTGTCGTGCGCGGGTTGAATCACACGCACACCCCGACGCTAGTCACGGGTGTACTCTATGCCTACACGGAACGAACGTCATGGTTTGAAAAATAGTCAAGATTTAGCCGAATACTGAGGATAATTTGCCTGGGGAGTTTGGCCACTATTGAGTTCATTTCCCCGCGCAGTTCCAGGGGGAATTTTACCCTGACTCTCCTGGCCAATTATTGACTCTATTTTTGCCGAATCTCACTTATCAATAACCCCGTAGGAAGGCCTGGCCTGGTGGAGGCTAGGTTTACTCCCCGGGGGAAAAGTCGTTTAGCCTCCACCAGGCCTAAAGGCCCCTTTTCAGCTGACGGCAGGCGCTGAGAGGCCAAAATTGGATTTGTGTGACTGTTTGCGTCATTATTGCAATATGATGCAAGATGCAAAAGTATGACTTAACAGACAACTTGATATGGAAAACGTAAGAACAAATTTTTAAAATTCGTTGAGCGATCTCAAATTTGCCAAACCTATGCTCTCTCAGCCTCTAGTGGAAAGGGTTTATGAATAGTAGAAATACTAGAATTGGGCAAAAATAGCCCGATGGTCAATAATAATAAGCCAGGGAAGCGGCCTAACTCCCTTGGTAAATTTATTTTTACTATTCAACCCCGCGTTGTTAGCGGTGTAGATCAGCGGTACTCCCCAAGGGAGAGTCGCTGCTGCATGTACCGGGCGGGGCGGTCATCCGGAAAATCATACATCAGAACCGGACTGTTTCATTACAGCATTCCGGGGGTGTCCCATGCGTGCCACAATGAAGCTCTGAATCCACAAGAAAATAGATGAATATACAGTAGGCATTGCTGCGTAACCATGACTGCACCGTGGCATAAGGTGTCACAACAACCAAGACAGACGTCTTTCAGCACCAAGGACAGAGCCCAGACCGTTTGTGTAAATAGGTGTAAAGTGCCTTTTCAAAGTAATCTCAAGTCTGATCTTTCGGTGGCAAGGCAGTATCCATTTAATCCAACATTGGCAATTGGATACGCTGTCCCTAGGCCACAGAAAGATCTGCCTGTGGATAATTTCCCAAGGACACAACTCTGGGGCCTGCCGGGTATTCGAACCCAAACCCTAGACTCTGAAGTCATCGTCTAGTGCAACATCGCCTCCTTCCGATCCTACTCAGAACTGCAATTAGGTTTGACTGCATGGGCAATTTCTCAGTGCAGTAGAGATAGCACTAAATTACCCATAAGCGTCCAACATAGCCAATACTGTAACATGAAAGAGAACTCGTGCATCCAACCATGCAATGGGCCGGGGGCGTCTCAAAAATGGCGTTATCACGCAACACAAATGTTCATCTATTATTCTGAGATATCATCTGTACTGTCTAAACAAGAAAATAACGTGCAAGTAAATTATTGAAATTATTTCTCATGATGTTTTGATGCTGGACGAATAGCCGGTATCCCACTGTGTCCAAGCAAGATGCTGTGCCAAACGTAGCAGACACAGTTTTTCAATTTGCTTTCAATTTTGTATCGTGCCCTATTCCTGTCGTGGGTGTTCTCTTTTGTGATGAAATAAAATACAAGATACAATAGGTCACGAAATCACCTAGTATTCACCCCACCTGGAGAAGCACTTTTGAATTGCACGTTAAAGTTACACCTACGAAAACGCACCCACTCCTTCCCCACGTTTTCAGAAAAAAAGTAGCAGACGTAGCCTCCCAAAAAACGTACGGACAAAGCACGTACGGCGGGTTGTGACCGAGGCTTAACTCCAATACTCTTTCCCAAATGCTGAGTGCTAAGCAGCTAATAACGTATAACATCCACTCAATCAGAAATCCTTTACTAAGCCTCATAAGTCACACGACAATGAGTGCATCAATCTGGAAATAATGGCAGTAAGCATACACATGCATACATGTGCTGGTTATAATTACCTGCTTTAGTCAGCTCCATCAAAACGTGATTGTTAATCCCTCGCTCCTTCTGGCCCAAGGATATTTTCTGAGAATTCTACTAATCTTATTCCTGGAAAACCGCGAGCCTTGGATTGGAGCAGGCAAGGTCATGTGCGTTTTCATAGGATAAGCGGCGTCATACTAGCCTGGCTATCAGACCTATTATCACCACCGTTTCTTTCTCCCTGGTCTCAATATCGATGTAAATATCAGATCCGTCGTTTTTATGCATGATGAATTAATTGGGAAACTCACGTGTTTTTTTTTCAATGCAGGCCAAAAGGGTTAAATCTATTTTATGATACCTTAAGCATTGTTCCATCATTGTCTGTGCATCCATTACAGACAGAAAGAATAGAGTAACTAAACATCGATCTTTTTACTTCGAAAGTTTGCAAGTTGGTCTGTGATTACAGGTTCAACCCGCACTTTGACATGCTCTGTGACCACACTTCAACTGCTGTCTATCTGTATTGCTTTGTTACCATGTTTTGTTCCCAGGCAGTTCTGGTCTTTTAAATCCTACTTTTGCATCTTGCAGGATATGAGCCTGGGGCAAGTCTACGTTCTTGGATATGCGAAGACTGTCCAGCTCCAAGAAAACGTGATTGTTAATCCCTCGTTTCTTTCTGGCCCACAGGGATATTTTCTGAGAATTCTACTAATCTTATTCCTGGAAAACCGCGAGCCTTGGATTGGAGCAGGCAAGGTCATGTGCATTTTCCTTAGATATGTTGCGTCACACTGCAGTTAACCTGTTGAATAACTGGAAATTCTACTTAACTTTTTCTTGGAAGATCGCCAGCGTAAAAGATTGGAACGGACAAGGTCAAGAACTTTATCCTCCAAGTTAGTCACGCCGTACTTTGGTAAGCCTAGACCTTCTATCGCTCATGTCGTCTGAAGGTCAGAACTTGTAATTCAACACTTCGTTTCAAACTAGGCACTATGTTACTTTGTACCTTTTGCGCGGATGTCTTAGTTGCTTTCTTAGTTCTATACAATGTTCTTCGTCTTGGAAGCTTTAGTCATTGGTCTTTAGTCTTGTCTATATATCTTACTCTTGTCTGAGCTTTCTGGCTTGGATGTTTTTTCACATCTTTGTGCCTCTTGTTCTGGTGTCTCGGTTGCTTCCTTAAGCGACGGTCACAACCCGCCGTACGTGCTTCTACGTTCTGTCTACGTGCAAAAACGTGGGCAAACGTAGGGCATCCGCGCGTGGTGAGTTACACAGTACCCTTGGTCTTGTGAGTTTTTCTTCTCTATGGTAAATTGGTGTCTTACCCTTTTTACTCTTTACTTAATTATGTCAAGCACCCGCACGAACCAAACTCGAAAGTGACGTGTCCTGCGCCTACATCTTCCATTAGAGACTTAACCTAGTTCACTTCAAACATGTCTGTGTCGGCCATTAGGTTGTCTACGAAGGTGACTTTTGGCTTCCCCCGACTCTGTCTGCCCTTTCCAGGCTCCCAGTGGACCGACTTGGATATAATTACTCCGGAGTGCCCGATGCAGTGAGCACAGAGCTTCATTCTGAGCGACCTTAAGCTTCTTTCTCGATCTGTAACTAATGTCAAGTCCTTATATAACAGTTCATTAGTGAGCTGTCGCTCCCAAGAAATGTTGAAGTGCACCCAAAGCATCCGTATGGCACACCCAAAGACGTCATCCAAGACTTTGTGGCCCATGTTTCACTGCCATAAACAGAATGTATTCTACAATGGCGATGAAAAGTTTAACTTATATTTTATTTTACGTAACCAGATTACCATATTTGCCATGGTTTATGGCAAAGTCTACTCAAGGACAGAGCCTTCCCAACTTTAAAGTCCTTATCTGAGTTTTCTATGTTGTAGCCTAAGTATTTGAAGTTCATGACTTCCTTTACTTGGTCAC